AGCTACAAACAACAAAATATTCAAAAATATATTACAGAAACATAAATTTTGTTTCAAAAACTACTTTTAAAAAAATGAAGTGAGAATTTTAGGTTTTTTTTGTGTGTCTATACTCATACGGCTACTTTAGCAACCAGACGATAAGTGAGCCAAATCTAACATGAGCAGCCAGTTACCCCGCTACGTCACGACGTTTTCATTACGTCAAAATTGATTTCTTTGTTTTTTACGTCACTAAAACCGATTTGCCGTAAGACGAATTTTGAAGTTTACACAATAAAATAAGTTCTTTAAAAATTCTAAAAAATAGCATGTTACAATGTCGATAAACACCTCCTGTTTCGCATTTAGAGGGGTGTTATTGTCCAATAGACATGTCCTGAGATTTTACATTAGAACCCGCGACGCTAACGCGTCTTGGGTCCTAATGATCTCAGGACATGTCTATTGGACAATAACACCCCTCTAAATGCAAAACAGGAAGTGTTTATCTCCTAAATGTAGATAATGATCATAATGACGGTGTTTACATTTGTTTGTTGATGTGACCTCATGACCTGTGACGTTTAGATAACGTCATATGGATATCATGGCTACTCACTGTGTCAGAGTCACTTCTCTGCAGGTAGGGTGAGTCTGTCGTTCAGATTGGCATATAGGACAAAGCACGTTTTCCAAGTTGTAAGTTAACATTTGGGGATTTTAGAAGATGTATTGTCTGAGAACTGAGATTTCTACTGGTAGTGCAGGTCTTTACAATATTTTTTAATTTTTATTTTCTTTGAGTATGGTGACGGTCGTGGTGTTGTCGGTTGCGCTTGCTGATAGTGGTTGTAGTTGTGGGGCTAAATGTTATATATTATTTATATTCGTTGATTTTTTTCTTGGTGGCGGGCAATATTTTCCATTTCTTATGTTTATTACATTAAAATATATATACTATTCAAAAAAAGTAGGGGATATTTGATTTTTAAGTGTTATTAAAGTCACCTAATGAAACTGACGAAGAAACAAATGACAAAATGAAATGAAGTTCACATTCATCGATTTATTCCAAATGATCGTTAGACTAAGTAAGGCACAGACTGACCATTATAAGGGTAAAATAATACCCGGGGTCAAACAGCAAAGTTACCACAGCATCACAACCAAGTCAGTAACGGGTAAATCCTCCTCTGTTTGCCAAACAAGCATTGATCCGACGTGGCATACTCCTAATGAGACGTCTAAGGTCATTTTGGTCCAGATTGTCCCATTCCTGTTGCAACGCAGCAGCAAGTTCTTGGACATTGGCAGGACGTTGTTGACGTTGACGTAACCTCTGTCCAAGCATGTCCCAGACATGCTCGATGGGGGAGAGGTCGGGACTCAGTGCTGGCCAAGGTAATGTGGTGATGTTCTGTTGTTGGAGGTAACCTGTAACGATCCTGGCCCTGTGACATCTTGCGTTGTCATCCTGGAAGATGAAACGGCGGCCATGACGTCGTGCGAACGGCACAACATGGACTGCCAAGATGTTGTCCCGGTAGTACTGGCCTGTAACACGCCCTGCAACAAAATGTAAAGCCGTTCTTCCAGCAACAGTGATGCCTCCCCACACCATAACAGAACCACCCCCAAATCGATCATGTCTGATGACGTTAACGTCTTGGAAGCGCTCGTTTCGACGACGCCACACCCTCCTACGTCTGTCCAAAAAATCAACAGTGAACCTTGACTCATCTGAAAACATCACATTGCTCCAGCGTCGATTATCCCAGTGTTGACGATCCCTACACCAACGACGTCTTGCCTGAATGTGATGATCTCTCAAACAAGGGATCACGCGAGGACGTCGGGCGCGAAGGTGACCCCTATGCAGTCGATTCCGAATCGTCTGGCCACTCACTCTCACACCAGTGTCTGTTTAAAGACGAGCGCTGATCTGATTTGCTGTGATGACACGATTTCTCAAGGCCAAGGTACCGATAAATCGATCCTGGGCTTGAGTTGTCGCCCTTGGTCGACCTGAGCGTGGTCTGTCCTGTACAGATTGTGTATCACGGTATCTGGACCATAGCCTGCTTATGACAGACTGAGAAACATTCATCGTCCGCGCCACAACCGCCTGTGTTGTGCCGATCTGTAGCATGCCAAGGGCACGTAACCTTTCATTTTGGGTAAGCCGACGCATATCAAAATTTGTTTTCTGGTCACTAAAACAATTAAACTGATGTTTCCACCCTGGAATTCAATGCCACAATGACTGTAACATTCAAAGTCAGAGTCGTGCAAATCTTGGGTTGGACCCCCATGATGATCCCAAGCATCACCTGCATTCCATGCGGTAGCTATTGGTGCGTTTGGGCGTCACATGTAACTGGAAATGTTTCTTCTGTTAGGTTCTATAGTGACTTTTTTCGTAGTCATTTGCATATTTTAGTATTATGCCCCCAAAATCAAATATCCCCTACTTTTTTTGAATAGTATATATATTTCTTTGAGTTAAACGTACTTGAAATGGGGTTTAACGCCTGACTGGGCTAATGAAGTCAGGCATACGCCATATTGTGTCCTATGAGGGAATTTGTGCCGGGGACCGGTGCTACGGCCTACTCTTATATCGAATTCCAACTTCTTACGTTTATTACAATAAAATATATATTTCTTTAAGTTAAACGTACTTGAAATGGGGTTTAACGCCAGACTGGGCTGATGAAGTCAGGCATACGCCATATTGTGTGCTACGGCCTACTCTTATATCGAATTCCAACTTCTTATGTTTATTACATTAAAATATATATTTCTTTGAGTTAAACGTACTTGAAATGGGGTTTAACGCCCGACTGGGCTGATGAAGTCCTTTGAGGGAATTTGGTCCGGGGACCGGTGCTACGGCCTACTCTTATACGAATTCCAACTGCTAAGGATTCTTTAAATTACACCTCATCCGATGAGTATACGTTGCCCAAGGCCTTCTGTCCTGCACCAGTGACAAGGGGGAACCACGCCGGTGGATTTCGGTGGATTTTCACTAAGTGATGTAGGCCTACAGGGAAAGGTCATCATCTACAATTTGGTACCAAAAGACCTTCTAAAGGAATTTGTGGTGGGTCTTTCAGTATTTTGACTAGACTAATACTCAAATAGACTATCGCGAGACTAGATTCACGCATATTACTGTATAGAAATCGTCCATGTCAGCAATTGCGGGACATTTTGGCTTGTTTTCAGGACGCGGGACTTTGAAATGAAACATTTTGCGGGACTGACCCGCGAAACGCGGGACGGGTGGTCACCCTACTTATAATTATTATTATTATTATTATTGTTCGATTTATATAGCGCTTCATTACACGTGAAGTGTTTCTAAGCGCATATCACAAACATATACTTCAAACACACAGAAACAATCAAAATCAGGAGAACATAATTAAACACAGCTGCCTGTTAGGCGCTATTATTCAAAGGTTTATATCCAACAAATCAACCGGCTAATCTCAATATTGAACTCAGTCGAGGTATTACCTGATGAACACCTACACCAAGTAGAGTTCAAAAATAAAAACGAAGTTTAAAAGAATCAACTTCATTAACAAAAATTAAACAATCAAAAACTAAACAGATAAATCAAATTCAAACGAAACAAATAAAACAAAGAAAATGAAAAGAGCAGTTCGTTACCATTCTACATTAACAAAATAAAGGAAATCAACTTGTGAAATTTTTTTCAAAAAATAAGAGCAAAGTAACACTAATGTTAATAATTATCAAAAGGAACCAAGATCTTAATGATAAAAACATATATTTAAAGTTTCATCCAAATTGGATAAAAACTGTGGTCTCTAGAGGGTCCACAACCTTGATATACCATATCTATCTATTTCTTAATTAATTACAGGTATGTAAATTACTGTACCGGTAACCTAAATTTTATGAATATTGTGGTGATGTTATGACGATGTGCAATGCATATTGATATTGTGTTTACCTGTTGAAGATGAGTCAATAAAAAATCTTTTATTAAATATTTAGCACCCATGCCATTTAATTACATTATAAGGTCCATGGTTATAGTAAAGTTACCCCAGATATACACCAAAATAACAGTAGAGATTAAAGCAGCTAAGTCTCTAACTCAATATCATCCAAAATCTTCGACATTGAAAACACAAATTATTTGTCGGTTTAATTCAACACTAATGTTGTGATCTTACCAGGAAAAGATGGCCTTCTGATAGGCCTATCCAATATTTAAGACAAAATAAACATTTTAAAATTGGTACACGAATCGTGTACCATAATGCGTTTCAGCGCTATTTGTAATAAGGGACTCGAAAAAAGAGGCTAGGCATATTCCACAAGTCATGTCAAACGGTGACGCTATATTCTTTTCTTATCTGGAGAGCATGCGCAACAAACACTATCGGCGTAGACTGGAACAACCAGACGCTAGAGATTGAGACTTCTGGCGTATTTCCTCGAACCTAACTTATTAGAAATTACAGTAAAACAGAAACGATTGAATGTCTAGTAGATCAATTTATATACATTCATTATTACATTATTGTATGCGTTGCGACCCATTTTTAGGTCCCAAATATTAGCGATTTAGTCCCTTTAAGTATCTTTCAAAAATTGTCGAGCCCGGGGGGAGACACTCCTGGACCCCCCCTTAGCCGAATCGTTTGTCACTGCCACAGGGCCCGGAGGCCCCTATTGTGTGGACCCTATGTAGACCTAATTAATTATAAGCCTTCAATCATGTTTTTTTAGTAGTACTATTAAGGTCCATGGTAGTAGCTATTCCTCAATAATTATCAGTGAATAAGCACACGGACGTCGTTTAATATCAGTTTATAATGTCAGTGTTTGCATACTAATATCCCAGTCGTTACGACATTTTTTTTTCCTTTCAATTCTATCAAATCCAGAAATCACGACCACAAAGAATTTTCGCTGTCGGGTCAGTGGTATAGGGGAGGTAATCCGATTTAGTCTATTTTGGTTAGAGGGCAGCACTTTCTGCTCATTAGCATAAAAACATCATTTAGATTCGGCGCGTTGCAGAGAGTAGCATTGTTGACAATGGCTTCGTCTCAAGCCCATAAGAAGAAATGCTGCTATTACTACGACGGTAAGTTAAATGAAATATGTGTTTTCTTGAGGTGTAAATGAAAGTAATAGACATTAAAATCAGATCCCCCCATGTGCATTGTTTTGTTGTTATCAGTTTTCTCAGTTTAGAAGTTGTCAAAAGTTGCAGAAACAATGACGAGAAAAGTGTCATTTCCCTACGCCGGTTTTTTTGGGGGGCAATTTATACAGGAGAAATTACAGTCCAGTATAATATGTCTACTTATATCATTTCTTTTTATAATAAGATTGGTTGATTTTTTAAACTGTTGCAAGGTAAACCTAGAATCTTTGTTGGGCACAAAGGTAAACGATTGTTCACAGCGTGGCTAAATGTAAAAGTATGGAACACCAGCATTTCCGATTGCTATGTACGGGTTTGGATAATATTAATTTATTTTATAAAGATGATTGTAAACCTTACAGAACTCTAAAATAAGTGTGGTAATAAACCATGTTTTGTTATTAGCATTATGCTTTATCAGATTATTGTTGGAAACTTTATAGCTTTGACCAACTGATAGAATTTATGCCTAGTTGAACCTAAAAAGATGGAAGCCCATCAAATGAGATTGCTTTGTGCAATTTGGTTTTTTTTAGGGTGACACTTAACCGGTATTGTGCATGATTCTGTTTATTAAATGGTTCTCTGCACTTAGGTAACAATATTTCAGTTTTTTGGGGGTGAAAAGGATATGTTATTTAATATATAATATATATCTCTGATCTTTTTTTTAGTTTGGTCATGGTGACATTCACACCATCATCATTGGCATTAATAATGTTTACTAAAAAAAGTTATTAAATAATACTACTTGTCTGTTAGTGTTACCGGTGCTTTGTTTCCTTCTACCTAGAAAAATCATTTGCTTTTAGAAATTTTTTTTTTTTATATATAAATTATAAGTAATGCCGCTTGCATTGTGGTTTCTATAATTAAGACTGGATATTTTATTCCTTAAGTTAGGGTTAGACATTACAGTTTGATCTATCATTATTTTTTTGATTTTTGACTGAGATGACCTGCATGGAAATGTGGTCGTAATGTATGTTGTTATACGTTTTAAATTATTGATCTGTTTAAGATATGCTGTATTGCTGTTAGTGTTCACATTAGTGGGTGATAAAGTCTATTAATTTCAACATTTTCCATGGTTTGTGCCATAGACCCATATTATTGATCCTTTCTGCTGAAACATATGGTATGAAAGAAAAATTGAAATGTATGTACTCCATGATGTGTAAAACTAGTTCTAAAGATAGATAAGTTTTTATTTGTTTAAAAATTATATTCAATTCCGCACAATCAGTGATATATTTTCATTGTGAATAAAATTTCTTTTGTTTAAAGGAGACATCGGGAATTATTACTATGGCCAAGGACATCCTATGAAACCACACAGAATAAGGATGACACACAACTTGGTTTTGAATTATGGTCTCTATAGGAAAATGGAGATTTATGTAAGTCATAATAATTTGGTTTAATTAGATTTAAATTATTATCTAGGGCCCTGTTTCTCGAAATCTTAACTAAAGATAAAATCCAAATTTTAGTAGATACTTCAAGTTTGATTGGCTAAGCACTAAAATCAACGTAATATTATCCAACCAAATTATTAAAATTTGGATTTTATCTTAGTTAAAATTTTGTGAAACAGGCCCCTGATTCTTAAGGATGCATTATGTAAGATTTAGATAACAGGACTCCGTATTCAAAGGTTATCTTAAATTAAGATGCTTAATTTTTCCACATAACCAAGTATCTTACCTTAAATCTGTATTCAAAGGCTCAGTTCAAAGATAGTCTACATGTATGCCTATCTTCAATAGTCTGATTGGTGTATGAATATGAAATATGGTTTAACATCCCATTGATAAACTCAAAAACATAGTATGGAACACAATTACTCTTTTGATTAAAGCAACGTTTTGTTGAGGGCTCTCTCAATATTTTCAAGCAAATGATGATGAAAATAATATTGAAATCGTTGAGAGAACCCCCAACGAAACGTCACTTTAATTAAAAGAGTAATTGTGTTCAAAAACTTGTTCCATATTATGTTTTTGTGTTTACGGTTGTACATATTGTTCCATCTCCAATGCCCAAGTGCTGAGTCAGGCCCAATATTTGTTTTTTATTGTCTATGGGCTGCATTTCTGAATGGATCATCTTGGAACTTTGCATATTTATTCCGTAAATACAGTATCTATTATTTTGGTGCATGCCCTGACCTCCTGCGATGGTGTCACACCCACTTTTTTGTCACTATTTAATCTGTACAATTGGCCCGATATTTGTTTTTTTATTGTCTATGGGCTGCATTTCTGAATGGATCATCTTGGAACTTTGCATATTTATTCCGTAAATACAGTATCTATTATTTTGGTGCATGCCCTGACCACCTGCGATGGTGTCACACCCACTTTTTTGTCACTATTTAATCTGTACAATTGGCAAAACAAACCCAACACGTAGCTTTCTTTGCCTCTTGTCATACTACAGACATTTCATTCTCTTCATTTTAAAAAACAGGAATGTGGACGTATATTGCAAAGGCAGCGATGCTCTTGTATCACATCATTAACTCTCTGCCAATCGTATTTCAATCTGTTGAAATTGTAGAGCATCCGATGGCTTCAAGAGTTAATTATACTCTGAACGAGTTAATAAATGTCTAAGTCATAATTTATACATTTAAAGCCTAAAGAATGATCTAAAGTAGACAGATTTAACTCAGGAATAATGCATCTTTTAGAGCTTCATGTACATTGTATGACCAGTTTGATGAGTAAAAACAATGTTTTTCACGTAATATATCTGTTATGTAAAACCGCTGCTATTGTTGCAATCTCCTTTAAAGTAAAGGTTCAATTCTATATTTTTATTTTTTCAGCGTCCACATAAAGCCACAGCAGAAGAGATTACCAAGTTTCACAGTGATGACTATATAAAGTTTTTACGATGTATACGGCCAGACAATATGTCCGAATATAACAAACAGATGCAAAGATGTAAGTTTGTTATGATAAAGTCACAGAAATGTGTATTATGGCAATGCATAAGTATGGAGCTTGTCCCAAAAGAGCTTGGTTAAATATTGTCATTTATGAAAGCTTTCTCACCCTTGAAAACTTGAACAAGCAATATCGGTGAATACAGACATTCCTATATGACTACTTCCAATGTCACTGAAATAGTTTGAAAGAAATATGTACCTACATTGTATTATTTTGTTTTAGTTAATGTTGGTGAAGATTGTCCTGTTTTTGATGGAATGTACGAATTTTGTCAACTGTCTACTGGGGGGTCTGTTGGTGAGTAATTTATATTGATAATGGTCAATGTTCATATGTTCTTATTGAATAGGCTTATATATACAGGCCTTGGGATTTGACGGGAAGGATCGCAAATTCAAACTAGCAAACACAAATTATCATGCCAGGAAATTATTCAATTTTATTAACATAGATCTTTGGGCTCAAAATAGTGGTCGGTTTCATCGCCAAGACCATGGATGAATTCTCCCCGACAAAGCCCTGGTCGATATCAGATGTCACCATCACATCACTGTTCATTTATTCAGGTGCAAAATTATCCTCTGATATATGGAATTATCAATTAACTGATCGATTCCGGGGTGAAGGAACACAAGCGAGACTGGAAGGGAAACGTGAAATTTAGATCGGTTGTAAATACACATATTTCTACATATTTATTTCAGAATTTTGCTAAAACTATTTAAAAACATTGACAGTTATTTTTTAAAATTACTTAAAAGAATATACAACCAAAAAATATTCGAAATACAGACTACAGTATAGGAATGTAATCCTTTTGTCTCCATTAGAACCTCTATCTAACTCCAAAAATAGTAGCCAATCATAATTGTTCATTATTTCATGTAACTTGATAGTAAATAAATAATACACATACAAGCTGACATACTCGGCATCCAAAAATAGTAGCCAATCATAATTGTTCATTATTTCATGTAACTTGAATGTAAATAAATAATACACATACAAGCTGACATACTCGGCATACATGTGATTGAAAGGTATATCAGAGGCCAAGTATCGTTGTGTCAATGTTCAGTGGACTACCTACAGCACTACATCGTAGCCCTCTCATCATACATGTAGATGTCAATGCGTCGTAATCACCGTACATGTAAATGTAATTTGAGCTTGTCCCACCGTTCTAAAGCAAAAGAAAAAATTGTGGAGCTGTCAAAATGTAATTGGACATACGACATGTTTGATATCAAAAGAAATGGAATTCTTTCAAATGCTTTTTATACGCCCACATTGAAATGTGGTCGTATATTGTCGTCGTCCGGCGTCCACAAGCAATTGTGGACGCTCTAGAGGCTAACGTTAATATCCGATTGACTTTAGATTTATATACAGTGTTTAAGGCCATGAGACGAAGAAGCCTATTGATTTTCAGCGATTTTCGATAATTACTGCCAGAGTTATAACCCTTGATCACTTCAAAAAATCTTGTGGACGCTCTAGAGGCTAAAGTTAATTTCCGGTTGACTTTAAATTTATACACAGTGTTTAAGGTCATGAGGCGAAAAAGCCTATTGATTTTCATCGATTTCTGATAATAACTGCCAGAGTAATGGCCCTTGTTCACTTCAAAAAATCTTGTGGACGCTCTAGAGGCTAAAGTTAATATCCGATTGACTTTAAATTTATACACAGTGTTTAAGGTCTTGAGATGAAGAAGCCTATTGATTTTCAGCGATTTCCGATAATTACTGCCAGAGTTATGGCCCTTGATCACTTAAAAAAATCTTGTGGACGCTTTAGAGGGTAAAGTTAATATCCGATTGACTTTAAATTTATACACAGTGTTTAAGGTCATAAGACGAAGAATCCTATTGATTTTCAGCGATTTCCGATAATTTTTGCCTGAGTTATGGCCCTTGATCACCTTGAAAAATCTTGTGGAAGCTCTAGAGGCTAAAGTTAATATCCGATTGACTTTAAATTTATACACAGTGTTTAAGGTCTTGAGACGAACAAGTATATTGATTTTCAATGAATCTTTATGACTTGAACAGCTAAATCCATGATGTTAAAAGTTTCGTATGCTAAACGTTAGCATGGCGCAGAACTTTATAAAAACCGAACAAATTCTAATGGTTTTCTGATAATTACTTAATGAGTTGTTACTCTTAATCAGATTTTAATGTATTACAAATGTTTCATTACCGAAAAAAGTAAAAATATGCGACAACTCTTGTTGACTGCCCGGACGATATAGCTGCTGTGGGCGTATGTTTCGTTGCCTGGCAACCTATCTTTTTATTTATGAACAGTTACTACAGTATTACTCCATGTATTAAACAATGTTTATTTATAATTTATACATTTTAAATTAAATGTAAACTAGTTATAATAAGCATTGTTTCAGATAGAAATTTAGTGGTGTTAAATAGCTCCCGTAAAATATATGGCAAACACATTTTATCACTCTTGACTCCAGCGTGATTTTCAGATCTCAAGACCTGTATTATATATATATAATCTTTTCTTTTAGTATATTATGAACCTTCAAGTTACTTATTTATTTTCTATATTTCAGCTGGGGCAGTAAAACTAAATAAACAAGCTGCAGATATTGCAGTTAATTGGGCTGGTGGTCTTCATCATGCTAAAAAATCTGAAGCTTCTGGGTTCTGTTATGTAAATGATATTGTTTTGGCAATATTAGAACTTTTAAAGTAAGCGACAATCCTGTCATTATATATATATATACTAATGAATGTGTTGCCTCTATAGCTTTATTTGGTTATACAAGATTTATTCAAAGTGGCGAGTGATTGAAAGTGTATTTCATTAATATTGATTATCTTCTATATTTGATCAAAGTGCTCATGTAAACAGTTGTCACACTTGTCTGTTCGTTGTCCTCAATTACCTCAATTGGTTTGGAATTTATATACGTCTATATGCAACGTGTATAGTATTTAGACAGTAGGACCCACATAATCATATGATGTCACGTGACAATTACTTGATAAGAACAATTACCAGTAAAAGCATTTTCTTAAAACTGGACTCAATATAGTTATTTGTTGCTGACACTGGATTTTTACAGTGGTATGATAATGGTATTAACTTAAATTATTTCTTATAGATATCATCAGCGGGTGTTATATATTGATATTGATATACATCATGGTGATGGTGTGGAAGAAGCTTTTTACACAACAGATAGAGTTATGTCAGTCTCATTTCATAAATATGGTGAATATTTCCCTGGTACTGGTGATCTTAGGGTGAGTATAACTTACAGCTTGTGATATTATTTATTACACAATGAGTTGAAGGAACTAATCTGGAAGAAAAATGGTTGAAAATTTTATATGGCTGTGTTTTTTTTATATATACATGTATGTTGCTTTCTAATTTTAAGCTTACATAATGTATTTAAAATGTTTGTAGATAATCATACAAATGTCTTAATATTTTACAGGATATTGGAGCAGGTAAAGGAAAATATTATGCAGTTAATTTCCCACTCAGAGATGGTATAGATGATGATAATTATGAAACAATATTTAAACCTGTAAGTTATGGTTGCTTATTGTGGCTAATTTAAAATAAAAGAAGTTGTGTTGCTCTTTGTTGTTACGGAATAAATACATATGGAGAAGTATCTCAGACTAAATACAACATTTGATTGTTATTATTTCAGGTTATGACTAAAGTTATGGATATGTATCAACCTAGTGCTCTAGTTTTACAATGTGGTGCTGATTCTTTATCTGGTGATAGATTAGGTTGTTTTAATCTTACTCTAAAAGGTATATCATTTAATATTTCCTGATCTGATGTAAGAATATATCATTTCCATATAATCAGAATCAGTAGTGTTATATCTGAGTTAGGGCTACAACTTTACCACTCAATTGAATAGTTGACAGTACTACTCAGTATTTTGTGACTTTCATTAAACCCCCTCATGTTTAATTAATAGTTTCAATCATAGTTTACATTATATTACTTCCTTTCGATTTCCAGCTTGTACATGACACATAGCTGAACAGTAGGACTTTAAACCCCATTTCATGTTTACAATAAGGGTCGCCTGTCCAACCTCGTGGGGTTTCCTCCCACTGCTATAGACCCCTATGCACAAGTGGATTATTGAAATAAAATTTATATATATATATATATATATATTACTTCCTCCAATTTCTTCTTTTATTAATAGTATGTTCCTGCCAGATATAACTTCAACGCAATATTCTAATTCTTTTGGTTTTTTTAGGTCATGGTAAATGTGTAGAATTTATGAAGAAATGGAATTTACCTATATTATTACTTGGTGGTGGAGGTTATACTATTAGAAACGTTGCTAGATGTTGGACATATGAAACATCTATAGCTCTTAATGTTGAAATTGCAAATGGTTAGTACTGAATTTATTTCTGTCTTTAAACCTTTAATTAATTAACTTTCATTATGTATAGCATGATTTCATTTGGTTTTAGTAATTGGTCTACAAGATTTGTCTGTCTGTCCGTCACACTTTTTGGGACACAATAACTCTCCTTCTAATGGAGCTAGAATGTTCAAACTTGGTGTACATGTAGGTGTTTATTAGGTCAATGCCCCAATGGAGTTTGAGGTGAGCATTTTCTGCTTAGGGTAAGCAGAGATAAGCAATTCGATTGGTTGATGCTTTTGAAAAAAATAAATGTGCAATTAATTATGGTTGATGCTTTTGAAAAAAATAAATGTGCAATTAATTAATATGTGTCATCTAGTTGTTTTGAGATTTCTGTGGGTGACATCAGTCTCACTGTTGGCTTGTTGAGATACTGATGCCTCACTGGTTATTGTTAAAAATTGGATTAGGAAGTATTTTTTTAGATAGATGAAATTAAGATATTTTATTTGTCTTTCTTCCAGAGCTACCTTATAATGATTATTTTGAGTATTATGGTCCAGATTTTAAACTTCATATTAGTCCATCTAATATGGCTAATCAAAATACAGGAGAATATATGGATAAGATAAAGTAAGTTGCACACTTATCTTAGTTATAATGGGATGTTGTTTTCACTTGTGTATGAACTCCCAAAGCATAAAACAGTGTTGATTAGTTGTATTAGTATTCATTATTATTGGCTGAAAAGATAGACAAATTATTTACACGTTTTGCTATATTCTTTTTTCAGAACGAGATTATTTGAGAATTTAAGAATGTTACCACATGCTCCTGGAGTACAGATGCAGCGTAAGTTTGATAATATTTTGGGACATTTTCTTGTTAGTTAAATTCATGTATAATTTACTAATAATAATTCATTTATTGTGTAATTTCTCTATTAAAGATTATTTTTTTTACAAATAACACAAATCTTTTCAATTAAAATAATTTATTTGATTTATGTACCTTAGCAATACCAGAAGATGCTGTAAATGAAGAAAGTGATGATGATGATAAAGATAATCCAGATGAAAGAATATCTAGTAAGTAATTTATTATTTCACTCGTTTGAATATTTTCAATACTGCTTTGTGTGCTTTGGTAAAATGTCCAAACTCGATGTAGTTATTCATTAGGCGAACGCATTTTCTGCTTAGGCTATCCAGGGATAAGCAGTTCCATTTTTTTGAGACACAATAACTCTGCTTCTAATTGGTGCATATATGCCAAGCAGAGTGATAAACAATTTGGTTCCCAGATGCTTTACTAATGGATAAAAAAATGTGCAAGTAATTAGATAAGGTGTCATCTGTTTATTTTTATACGCCCATATTTTCATGTGGACGTATTATACCGTCGCCCCTGTCCGTCCGTCCACAATTGTTTGTGGACTCTCTACAGGTCACAATTCTTATCCGATTTTGACGAAACTTGAAATATAGGTTTATCCCCAAAAGATCTTGGCTGCTTTCGATATTGGCATGTATCGGATCGAAACTTCATGGATTATGGCCCCTGATTGTACGAAAAATCACGTTTTTAGCTTGTGGACCCTATAGAGGTCACAACTTTTATCCGATTTTGTTGAAACTTGAAATGTAAGTTTATAACCTAAAGATCTCGGTTCCTTTCTATATTTGCGCATATCGGACCGTAACTTCCTGAATTATGGCCCCTGATTGTACGAAAAATCGCGTTTTTAGCTTGTGGACCCTATAGAGGCCATAATTTTTATCCGATTTAAAAAAACGTATTATTATATCACCGTTACACCCTAAGGGTGACTGAGTTCGAATTTCGTTCTCAAATAGCGTAAAAATATGGTATATCAAGGCTGTGGATCTTATAGAGATCACAATTTTAATCCAATTTTGTTGAAACTTGAAATGTAAGTTTATAACACAAAGATCTCGGTTCCTTTCGATATTTGCGCATATCGAATTGTAATTTCCTGAATTATGGCCCTTGATTGTAGGAAAAATCACTTTCTTTTTAGATTGTTCTCTATCCATCTCTCGAAAATGTGGGCGTATCCTGCCTGGCAGCCGCTGGTTGAATTGATGCAGGAAACTGGCTTGTTTTTACTTTATAATGGATAATTTTATAACCATTGTTTTTATAGGGGGATCACGTGGCTAAGTGGGTAAGACGCTGGCTCGCTAGTCTGGAGGTCGGGTGTTCGATCCCTGCATTGGCCAAGAAAGTTCATCCAGATTTTCCGGCGTGGTTCTCCCTTGTCCGTGATGCAGGACGGAGGGGCGGACAAGGAAAGCTGTCTAGTCGTTCGGATGGGACGAAAAACCAAGGTCCCGTGTACACATTGGCGTGCACGTAAAAGATCCCTTGGCAGTTGGAATTCGATATAAGAGTAGGCCCAAGTGCCGCTGTCCGGGCAAAATTTCCCTCATGGCACACTGTATGGCGTATGCCCGTCTTCATTAGCCCAGTTCGGAGCAAAACAGTAGGACGTTAAACCTCATTTCATTTCATTTGTTTTTATAGTTCGAGCTAGTGATAAAAGAATTGCTTGTGAAGAGGAATTTTCCGATAGTGAAGATGAAGGAGAAGGTGGACGACGAGATCGACAGAATTATAAACCTAAAGCTAAACGGGCTAGAACAGACGAAGAAAAGAAAGCTGAAGCTGAAAAAGGTAAAAAAATTTAAATCAATTCTGACAAAAAATAGGGAAGTGAGATGTTTTCTTTCAAAGTTTGCAGAGACACAGTCATATCAGTCACACATGCCACATGGAAGTGATATAAGCCCCGGCATGTGGTACCCGTCTACACTTTCATCTCGGTATAGTTCAGATAAGAAATATAAGTTTAAAGCTTTCATATTTAATTAGCAGATGCAAAGGAGGATAAAAAAGATATTAAGAAAGAAGTAACGAATTTGGATAAAGATGAGAAAGCAACAGAAAAAAGGTTTGTTTACTTATTTAGTATGTCACTGACTAGAATATTCCAGATTTGGGGTTACTTATGACCAGCTTTGTTCCTTCAACCAAATAGCCAACTACTGAGTCTAATCAGTGATTTGTCCATCAACCTAATTAACCGACATTTTAATTTCTACATCGACGATTTTAGTTGAAAACACTGAGTATGCTTTTAGACATTTTTAGAAGTATTTATTTCTCTTCTATTGTCATATTGAATGAAATTAAATATATTTATTTAGCCGTTGTGTGTATGAAAGATGTCAAACTAATCAGAGCCGAATCACAAAATATTCAATATGGCGGCGCCCATGAAAGATAATTTCACAGAGGCGGTTTTGTTTGCGAAAACAAATTTAGGAGTATCTAACCTTGTTTTGAAAGATAAACAGATTGAAACTCTAAAGACAGTTTACAATGGTAAAGCTGGATTGCAATATTACCCACTAGCACATTTTATATATCGCTTTTACTGGAGTGGCAGAAGTTGACATTTTGCCAACCTGACATGTGTTTACATAAAACACATGCTTCGAGGGTTATTTTTACTCTGTTGCGTATACAAAGCTGCAGTCCAGTCGATAAGTCCCGCCCCAAAATGATCATGTGAGCGTTTTAAATGGACGGCATTTAGGGCAGTGATCATATTCTCGAAGTATGACATAGATGGATCGCTGCGTGCAGTATGTGATTTGTCTACACCCACATTTGATCAACTCAACTTTTTCAAGAATTCCCGTATTCTACAACTAATTAGAGAATTTGTTTATTTCAGTGACGAGAAAAGTGATTCAACAGAAAAGAAAGGTAGAGATTGAATGTCTTTGGTACCGAGTTGAAATGTATTCATGAACTGTATTTAATTCTTACTGTGAATAAAGAGTTTATTTTTGTAAAACAAATCATTTTTAATTGCAATTAGGCCATACGCACATCGAATGAAATAATCAAAAACGGTTGAATGTTTTTGGTTGATTTGAATTCATGTGCGCCGACTTAGATTGACATCCCAGAGGTTGTGTTGTGCATACAGACCATGGCTTTAGTTTGCAGTAGAATTTATCTATATTCCACAAAACAGTATTGGGGGTTAGAATGTGAATAATAGTGCCTTCTGCATCACTAAAAGCATTTTCAGTCAATTTGGTTGTGGGCTGTGGTGTTAAAAAAAAAAAAAAAAAAAATACCCTGGTATTAGGACCAGTTAAACAATGACCCAACAATTGCCTCCAAAATACATTCTTCATACCAATGACAGTATATGAAAAGTTAACCAGTGCGAATTAATATACTGTAATCCGTTTTAAGTGTTGGCATCTGATGTATTGTAATTCTCGACATTATTAAATTTTAGATGAAAAGCCAGAGGCAAAACCAGAAGGTCCCACAGAAGCCATGGATGCTGATGCACCTACACAGGAACCTGCCAAGATGGAACATTAATTTAAATCTCATTTTACCTAGTGCTGACATTTCATATAAACAATTGGGGTACATTATCTCATGACAATGGGGATTTAGTTATATTTATAAAAAATCATTTGTGAATATTCATTTCTATTGACATTCAAAAATTTTTGGAACAGCCATTTTGTTTTTATTAAACATTTTATCTTGTAGATCAAATCAAAGTATGTTTTATTAGTACATCTAGTCTGTGACAAATGTTGTATTTATTATAATACATTATAAAAAAATTTCATTCTCTTATCTTTAAACAAATAAATTTTATACTTGATAATATTGTGTTTTCCTTTGAGGGTTCTGATCCAGGGATGATTTCGGGTGTAAGGGTTGATTGCAGTCGTAAATTGTTGGTTGATTGAGCTTATGTATTCAAAACCAGTGGGTGGAAGGATGTATTCAAAACCAGTGGGTGGAAGGGTCTATTTCTGTCTTAAATTGATGGGCATACAATACAGCCATCACGTGAAGAAAACAAATAAATAAGCCAATTGTGAATGAACACTTTACTTTATGTATTGTTTAACAATAATATTGCTGTAAAAAAATCTAATAACTTATATTTACAAATAAAGCGTAACAATATTCCGATAAAAATAAATTTCTTGTACAGTGTATAAAAGATTAAAATGCTGATTACACATATCACAGATAATATTAAAATTCTGAAACGGTTTTCTGCTGATGAATTTTATTCCAATGTTTTGGTACTTGTTGCATCAGTGTAGTCTGTCACTGGATTTGACAAGATGCCTCTAATGTCCTTAAAATATAAAATGCCAAATTATTAATATATATCAAATATATTTTCCGGCGTGGTTCCCCCTTGTCAGTGATGCCAGACGGAGGGCCTGACAAGGACAGCTGTTTAGTCTTTCAGATGGGGCGAAAAAAACAAGTTCCTGTGAACACGTTGGCATGCACTTAAAAGATCACTTGTTAGTTGGAATTTTTGTTGTGGGCCAAAAATAAAATTGTTGATACCATGTTTTCTTAGATGTCAATTTAAACTAAATAAGTAAACAAAGCGACATATCAGATCAACCGAATTCAATAATTATTTTGACCTAAATCATTGATGGTTAGTTAGATCCTTTAAACAGTCAATTTTTATCATCCAGATATATTGCAAGTCCGGCAATGGCATTACTCATTAAAAATTGAGGTCTTCAAGTTGTAAATCCATTTCATAAAATATCTCTCTAATGAATGCCAAGAATTGAGGCTTATGCTAGCCATATAAAGCCTTGTTTTATTTTATTTATTATGGATTATATTATAAACTTACCAATGCTTTAAATGATTTACAAGCAGCAACAGCATCTTGTATTAATGGATGTTCTATTAATATTCTATATAAAACTGGTTCTAAATCTTCACTTCCTAACTCCACATACACTGCTGCTAACTTTTCCTGAAATACGCAGCATTGCCAAAAACTCAATTAGATTATTTCAAGCTTAGGTATACACATAATACATCATAATTTACTCTGGAATGCAAAGTTCCAACATTGAGAAATTTACAGAACTGAGATTAATAAAGAGAAAACCATATGAACCAAGACCAGGAAATTCACAAAGTATGCAGAAACTAAACAAATGTTGGATACCACATACTGTTATCAAGGACTAGCAAACAGATATCCATTTCGACATATTATTTAATTCTCTTACCCTAGACGTAGTTTCTTCTGGATCTGTAGCCAAATTATATCTATGACTATCACCATGTGTACTCTCACCGTGATGAAATACCTTAAAAAAGATACAAGTTTTTACTATGTAGCTACTTCATTTAAGGCATTTTGAATTAAGAGAACTACAGAAGTATGTCTTCATTGTAGGACTAAAAGCACGTCACTCCAACCACACTATCTTTTTTTTTAACCAGCGGTTGCCAGACAAGATATGCCCACATTTTGCAAGAGATAGATAAAAATTGTGACCTGTGGACGTATAAAACATACAATCAAGGGCCATAATTCAGGAAGTTACGTTCCGATATGTGTTCATCAAAATTGTGGTCTCTGCAGGGTCCACAACCTTGATATACCATATATTTACACTATTGGCATACGAGGGGTGGCCAATTTGTCCGGCAGTTTTGGTCCGAGTTTCACGAAATTCTAACTTAACTATCAATAGGGTGTAATGGTGATATATTCAAAGTTTTTTTTAAATCAGATAAAAATTGTTACCTCTAGAGGGACCACAAGCTAAAAACGTACAATTAATGGCCATCATTCAGGTTGTTATGATCCGATATGCACGAATATCGAAAGGAACCAAGATCTTTGGGTTATAAACATGTATTTCAAGTTCCATCAAAATCAGAGGAAAATTGTAACTTCCTGTAGAGTGTCCACAATCCAAAAACCTGATTTTTCATAATATCAGGGGGCAGGGGCCATAATCCCTGAAGTTTCGATCCGATACATGCCAATATCGAAAGGAACCAAGATTTTTTGGAGATAAACTCGGATAAGAATTGTGACCTGTAGACTGTCCACAAACAAATTGTGGACGGACGGACAGGGAGGACAACAATATACGTCCACATGAAAATGGTGGGCATATAAAAACAATATTTTTATTAAGGATATCTTAATGGGATTGGGGAACATGCTTTGCTTATATAAGTAACACCCCTCTCCCCCTCTCAATCTTTATTGATGTAATAGATAAACACATAACTGTACATGAACAAATATTATTGTATACCATCTAATATTCAGTATATCACAATATTATGAGACATTTCAATATAAGCTTATATAAACAAAATCAATGTGTTGGACAAATATGCAATGAAATTGTTCTCTTTAAAATGGAATTCTCATCTCTCTGATCTGTAGCTGAACTTATAATTTACCAAGCGTTTATTTTTAGGACTTTACATACCTTAAACAGAGAATCTATTGGAACTTTAGCTTCTAAAGCTTCTTCAGGAATAATTTCTCTGGTCATAGGTGGCTCCACCTGTCTGTCATCCTTCTCAACTTCTAAACCTTCAGGTAATGTACTAAAAATAGATAAATTTTACATCAAATTGGGAGAATAATATAATTTAAAACGCTAAGACCATCGACACTTCATAAACAAGAATGCTAGTCTTCTTCAAACTTGTCTGAGCTATCATTCCATTTCCTTCTTATTCTTCTATGGGAATTTCACAAAGCTAATGTTGAGTGTCAGATTTTCAATTTAATGTAGAACACAAATTTTCTTATGCGTTAAAAGTTTGAGACTGTAAATAGCTTCACTTCAAAGTTTGAAGTTCAAACCAAACTAATACATATATTAAGAAGTGCTTACAAATCTGGTGACATTTTCCCTTGGTTTTAATGAATGAATAAATGAAATGTGGTTTTATGGTGAGTATTTCGAGACAAGCTAAATCTTATCACAAAATATTATATGCATAAATAAAAACAATATCACAGTACATGTATATCTAATTTAAAAATAAAAAATATTTTATGCATATAAACATTTAAAATAGAAAATATTACTTTCTCGCTTCAAGATGAAAATGTGTGTTAAAAAAGTATTAACTGAATTCTTTTATTTGGGTGAAACCATGAAGTTATAATAGTAATAATTAACACTACAACTTATGAGATGTTTTGTCTGTGTGACTGGTATCAGAAAGTATTATCAGAATGACTGACTTACCCATCATCTATAATACCAGGCTGATCTAGTTGTAACGATGATAGAGTGGGTTTAGCTAATCGTGGCATATGATGACCAGATGCAACACTTAAAGCTCTTAAAAATCCTTCATGAGAATTGGGTACAGCACTAAAATACATCAACTATAAGTAAAAATAAAAATAGAACTTCATGTGTATACAAAAAATAGAAATTCACGTGTATACAAATACAAAAACAAGGTTTACAAAAGTAAATAAGATGTAAATCCATTTGTATACAAATAGAGAAGGTTTACAAAAAGTAAACATAGCACAATATATTAATATTATAATAAAACCATTCCTAATATACTTCTATATAATTGTTCCATATTAACATACAGCATATATGAATCTTCTAATTATTTTTTAAACTATTTAAAGTTTAAAATAATTAATTTGGAAATCTCTTTGACATAAAAGAACTGCTTAGACAAGAGTTCCAATAAGTTTTACTGTAATATCTTTAAACATTTCTTTCCATCCAAGTCTAACCATTAAGTAAACTTCGACTTACCATGCTAACATAATCTAATCGAGCTGGGTTTATTGTTAGATTACCATAAATATCAAATAATACTTTCTTTAAATTATCTAATCTATCAAATTTACCATCTGCTTTACTTTCAGTAGCAAACCACAAATTCATCTAAAAAATAGTACATAGAATTAATACTCCTGAAAACTGACTCTCAAGGTATGCTTGATTGTCATTCTGGAACGTCCCAAATTGATATCGAGTAACACAGAATTCAGTCCTGTCACAGTTCTGTCAGTTCCGACAATTTAGGAGGTGTGAGTAGAATCGTGATGCAATTAAACAACGAATATGTTTTAGCTGTCATGGTTGGTTGAGATATTTTCTTATGCATATGTTGTAGCCTAAAATCATCCATTCCACCTGATTGTTACTATTTTTGGGATTGAGAGAATTCAATTCCGGAATGTTCAAATAAGTATCCCCTACAACTGCTCTTGAATCATCTCCCTTTAGTCTTCTGATTTCCTTTCATTGCAAGATCTAAAAATCCATCTGGCAAATTTAAATTTGGTTACCATTACCACCATCAGAAGTAATGTAATAAGACATTAATTGTCACCAAGAATGGTCAAAGAGAGAGAGAGAAAAATGGGGTTTAACATCCACTCGAAACAAACTAGGTCATTTTGGGACTAACACATGGTTCAATTTTTTTTATTTCAATAATTTGCTTGCACATAGGGATCTTTAGCAGTGGGAGGAAACCAGAAAAAAAGAATGGTCAATGCTTTATGTTAAATATATTGAGACTTACATTATCATACTGTTCTCTAGTTACACAACCAGTTGACTTTTGGTCCATATCCTTAAATCGGCTCAGAGTTTGCAGTAGATCACTCTGGGATGGTGTAGGAATAGGTTGTGTTAAAGATAATAAAAACCTTCTCCAGTCAACGTAGTCACTGTCTGTGGATAAATTGTTAGCTATTTCTTGGATCTGAAACAGTAGAAATAATTACATAATAATCAGCATTGCATAACTATTCCTTGATGATTAAATTAGTAATTAATAATGTTGCGGTAGGAATAGGATCATTTAAATAGGAATAAGGAAACAATGTCATATTTAAATGGCAGTTTTCTTTATTTTGAACTCTACATTATATTAACAACTATAGGAGGGATGGAATCGAGTGGTCTAACATCGCCACTTTAACAAGTAATTGCAATTGCAATCCTGTCACAAAATTTTGCTCATCTAATATTAAAACTGACCTGTCCGTGGGTGATATTCATCCAATGGTCAGGTAAAGCCTCTAAACCATATGTTACAGATACAATAGTTTCAAATGTTTCCACAAAAGTTCTACTGGATAACACACCATTAGGTGCTGTTAACATAAACTACAAAAAAAAACATAGACATAGTTCACATCTTTAAACTTTTAAAACTTGTTGAATATCAGGACATTTTAATCCCAACAGACTATCCCATGCCTTAAAAGTCTATTTTAAGCAGTCGTGTTTGTCATGTGACTTGACGGTAGCGGAAACTGGCTAAGCTAAGGGAGAATCCATTTTCAGCTTTTATTTGTCTTTAATCGCTACCCATTTACCATAAATATATCAAAGGCTTAGCAAATTCTGGGATATACTCTTCTCAGTTCTTTTTCCGCTGTTTATTCGCAGGGTCTGTTGTATATTTTAGTCTCTTACTGTGCTCATTTGAACAGACAACATGCCAGTTAGTGATACCCTTAGCGTGTTTTTCAGGAAATCCAGTATTTTTCTTTAAGATTGGGTGTCTGATCTATACCAAAATTGCCATTGGGTGTCCGATCTATACCAAAATTGTCATACTTTTATTGGAATTAACTACTATATTAGTCTGTAACTTGTTTTGCCACAAACTTTTAATTTTGACAAGACAACTCTACAGCTTTCCTTTACAATAATTAAATGAAATGAAATGGGGTTTAACGTCCTACTGTTCTGCTCCGAACTGGGCTAATGAAGACGGGCATACGCCATGCAGTGTGCTATGAGGGGAATTTTAAACGGACAGCGGCACTACGGCCTACTCTTATATCGAATTCCAACTGTCAAAGGATCTTTTACGTGCACGCCAATGTGTACATGGGGCCTCTGTTTTTCGTCCCATCCGAACGACTAGACAGCTGTCCTTGTCAGGCCCTCAATCACTGACACGGGAGAACCACGTCGGAAAATCTGGATGAACTTTCTCGGCCAATGCAGGGATTGAACACCTGACGTCCAGGCTAGCAAGCCAGCGTCTTACCCACTTAACTACCGTGATCCCCTTTACAATAATGAATCGTGCTGCATAAAAGATGTATGTTTGTTGAATGAAGGGATGAGGAGTGGGTGGGAGTCAATAGTTTCTCAAGGACGGAATTGTTGATTTTAGTTAGACATAATATTTATAAAATATCTAAATACCTGTTGATAAAGACTTTTAAGTTGATCAACAGTAAATAGATCAAGTGTAGGTGGTTCTTTCTGTTGTACTTCTAAAATACTTGATGATGACTTTAATACTTGAAGATCCTGTAATAACACATAGTTTCATAGTAGTTTAATTCAATGTTCTTTTTTCCTTTTTGATTGTTTTTGGAATGTCAGTTTAAGATAAGATTACATTTACTCTTTAATCAAAAATCCAAAAGTTATTGTCCAATAGTTTTCATATTTAAAAAAGCAGAAATGAATTTCTGAGATTTATTTTAATTCAAAATTTCATGCCATGCAAAGTAAACAATACCCTAAAGCAACATAAACACTCAATGGATAGGCAAGCAGATCAAAAGACAAGATAGACTGAAAATATTTTTATCATGGCTATAGACAGATTTTTTTAAAACAAAAAAAACATGATAGGGGTTCATAATATTCCATGGAAAAACTGTCAGTTCCATAAATATGTATATTTCCATTCCTAATAATTATGACATACAGTAGTGCGTTTAAGTGCAATACCTGACATTACCTTGTATGTGACAAGATAGGAAATAAAACAAGCCAGCAATCAGACTTATGTCCCCCCACCTTAATCCAAAAATAAATACTTCCATATAATCTTGTCACTTTTCTTAACCGGAGAAGAAAATGCTCTTATCAACTTCAATCAAGGGAGACAGAGAGAAATGGGGTTTAACGTCCACTTGACACAAACTAGGTCAGTTCGGGACTAACATATGGTTTAATTTTATTTCAATAATTCGCTTGCGCGTAGGGGTCTTTAGCAGTGGGAGGAAACCGGTGGACCCGGAGAAAACCCACTAGGTTGGACAGGCGACCCTACTCCTTGTCATGTACAACCAGGGATTCGAAACCACGCCAGTTGATTCAATGACAAGCAAAACTTCAATCAAGATTGTGATGTATAAAACTATACAGCAAGTTTCATCACCCTCACTAAATTGCTTATCTCTGTTTAGCTTAAGAAGAAAATGCCTGTCACGACATTCACCTAATGAACATTTAACACCAAGTTTGATCATTCTAAGACAGATGGTTGAACACATTTTAATAATCCTGATGTTGGGGGACAAAATTTATAAAGAATTGAAAAGATTTATGTCGAATGGAAAAAAAATATAAAGAAATATAAAGAAATAATATCACAAAATATAAAGTGTACAATAACATGAGTGTTTATAATATTGTGTGAAATATCAGTGATGTTTTAGTGCTGGTATCACTCACTGAACAACTGTCATCATCTGGGGGTATAAGTAACTCAACATCCTTTCAGAAAAAGAATTTTAATATCAACTTTATTCAATAATGCCAGTTTGTATCAATTGGTAATGTGCAACAATGTATTAAGAATTGAAGGCAGTAATTATTCTTTTGAAATTTGGTACATGCAATATTATTTATTAGATATTAATAAAGACAATATTAGTTAAAAATTCCCTTAAAAATGACTTTACACAATAAAAAGCGTTACCTGGTTAACCATAAAATCTTCTTGATTTAAAAGTAATTCTTGTTTGATCTTTTCTTTGGCTTCAATTCCAAATCTCATTGCTTCTGATAGTTGGTCAATACTGAAAATAAGCAATATATTTCTAAAAATTATTTTTTTAACAAAGATTAAAAGATAAAAGAATTCCTATTGTATCACTGAGAGTAGAGAAGATGAATGAAATGCCTAATATGTAATATAGAAGAATTAAACATATTTAACATACCTTTCCATTTCTTTAAGAAATCTAGCTCCAAGCCAATCATTCATATCTTTATAGCACTCTTCACCTTTCAACTTTAAATCTTGTAAAACCAACATGGCAGTAACTTTGATCAATTCAACACGAGTTTTAGCTGCATTTTCTGTAAAAGAACAAACAAAAAAACCCCTCAAAATTATACAAAACATTAAAAATATCGTTTATCTTACACATATTTAGTCATTTTAAATGACTGATGCATGTGAAAAACAATTTGGACTAAAAGGGCTAACGTTTGGATACTTGATAATGATGATATTATTCAAAACTAAATACCAGTACATTTACTTCCTTGGTGAAACATTTCTTCTTTCAAGCATCAAATCTATTGAAAAATAAAATAAAATGCCTAAATAAACCAATTGAATGCTTACCCTCTTCAGCAATAGCAAAGTAATACTCTTCTCTCATTTTTTCTTTTATTTCTTTTTTCTTTGCTTCTTCTTCACTCATTTCTTCACTTGCTATTATAATAATTTAAAATTGAGATATTTACTATCAGTTTAAAATAATCATTATGCCAAGTTTATCAAGGGTGGTTTTATTTGCATACTGGAGATTATCACATATCTTGCCAATTTTTCTGTGTTAATACATGAAGTAGTGTTTCACACTGATTCCAACTCACAGAAGAATGGAACCTATAAAAATACCAGGTAAGTATGATATTAATTTATAAAGATGCACTTACGAGGTGGTGTGGTAGTAGTAGCTGTCTCAGAATCCTTCTTAGCATTTTTCTTTGATGGAGAAGGACTTCGACTTTTACCCTTCTTGGCTGGTTTTTTTGCTGCTGCCTTTATTCGCTCTCGTTCTTTTTCTCTTTCAATTTCTGCTTGTCGTTCCGCTTCCTCTTCTGCTTCTTTTGCAGCCATTTCAGCCGACATCTGGAAAAATATTTAAAAAGTTGTTTGGACATCTAGAAAGAAATGTGTTGAAGCTTAAAGTTTTGAAACCAGTTGATTAAGCTATCTATTACTTACAATTTGTCCCATAGAGGATACAGCAGATGAAGCAGCATCTAAGATAAGTTTCTCATCCAGATCAACGGGTGGAGCAGGACTTTCTCCTCCAGGTACGTCATCTTTCTTTACAGCTTTTTTATCTTTCTTATCTTTACCTCCTGCACCAGGTTTAGCATCAATATCAGGAGAAAGAGGGCGTCTTGGTATCAGAGGAATTCTAAATACAAATCAGTTTATGTTATTGAAATGACAAATGATTATAAAGTTTTGAAAGTGAATCTTACACAACAAAAAGATACATACATGTAAGGCTACACAAAATAAATGTCTTGTTTCTCGGGCAACTGACAGCTGAAACTGTAGGGGGGGAGGGCGGTTTATTTATTTTTTTACCTCATTTCTGGCTAGAGGATGGTGCAAAATAAAACTTGTATTTTTTTTTTTTTAAATGGGAAAGTCATTACTTGTCTACAGTTTTGCTTTCAGTTATATATTATACATACTTAGAACATAAACCCAAAAATCAAGTCTACTCAAACACTGAACACTGACTGTAAGGAAAATAATTTTCCATATTTAATTCACATAATGTAGCTTACTAATGGTAATGGTGACAACCATAATTGAAATTGGTTTAAAATAAAATTCTGTACGACTATTAATAGCCATCCATAATAACGACAATATTTTAAAGAGTAAGCCTCTGTCAGCATGTGTATCAAAAATAATCATCACGGTAAACAACACTTAGATCTAAATCTAATCTAGTATCGCTGGTTTATAATGATTGACCTAATTCCAACCAATGCATGTCACGTGTCATCGGGATTCGGGAAATGACCGTTTCTCAGGATATTCGGTGTGTTTCTCAGGATATTCGGTGTTCTATCTGGGGTTTATATCGAATGACTATTTAAATTTAACTAACAACTGGTCAGTAAAACCATCAAATGTGTAATCCAATTATTATTTTCCGGATTATCAAAACTACCGTTAAATGTGCTAATGAGATTCTGACTAAGGTATGGTGACTATCATCGTATCGTATTCGTAGCCACAAGTTATAATAATTAACCTTTTCTACGATTCATTGTTTTATAAGTAGGATTTTTTCAAACATGGACCGACTGAAGCCGGCAATAATGAGCCGATTAAGATCAAATGATTGAAATACAATGCATTGTTGTCAATGACTTTCGGTGTTTAACACGAATCAAATTCTAGTTCACAAGGGGAGGTAATTAAAATCACGTGATACAAAAATGGAGGTTCTTTCGATATCAATAAAAAAGACCCGTAAATGAGCGTTTACATCTGAATCAGTTTAATACATTTGAATGGATATTCACGTTTGGGGTATGTAGATACATGCGGCATATTCTTTTTATGACTTGCTTATCGATGTTCGGGCGGGCGTTACATATTTTTTATTTTTCATCCAGACTAATAAATCGGCCGCACGCGCAACCAATTTTGCGTGCGGGCGGTGCCCGAGAAACAACTTATTTTATTTGTGTTGCCTAATATTAAAAAAGTTTTCTGAACAAACTGATAAATTTGTAAAAAGATGTTAATATTGTGGTCTGAATCCATCTGCTTAAATAACAATACAAGTTGCGCCCCTTTATTTTCGGAAAAAAGTCCGAACAGAACAATATTGAAATAGCAAGACTAATCCAGTCCAATTAAGAGATACACAACTTTTCACAGAATATTCTATAAACACTATGATAATTACCTTTTCCTGTTTGTATCGGCATCAAACATTGCATTTGGATCTGCTGTTTTATCCTTATCGTTTTCTTTACTTTTATTTCTACGCTTGCCTGAAGGAGTTCTAGATTTGGAGCGCGATTCTTTAGGGGACTTGGATCCATCTTTCGGAGATTTAGAGCGGCTTTCTCTGGGTGATTTTGCACGTGCAGATTTGGTTCGTTCAGATTTAGCAGAGGTAATAGGATCATCTGTTATTGGAGGCGTTGATGCGGTTTCGCTGACTTTATCAGGAGATTCTGGTCTTTCTACAGGTAACTAGAAAATAAAAATATATGGCAATGATATTCTAATACTTTGTGGTCTAAGGGGAGATAATATAGAGTTAGGGACAGGAATATGAGTTACCCCCCTTTAATGCATTTGGTCATTTCTTTATTTTCAGGGAGTTAAAATTGCAGGCGTTATCAAATCCAAATTTTTTTCAATTACAAAAATAGATTTTACCTCTATCAGTGGAAGTCTGGCATAATTCTGATTTAACTCATCTGGTATCTGTCCATCCATTCCTCTATAGTAATCTTTTAACAATCTAACAGTATCCTGGAATCTATCCACCTCAGTCTGAAATAAAAACACAATTTTGTAATAGAAATTAGGCTACGATGGAACATCAAATGACTATCACATTAGAATATTCTTCCCTAAAATTGTGCTGATGAAAGCTATATTGCTCTGGAAGAAATAAGTACAAAATTCTGTTTATGACATATCAATCATATTACTCCAAATTCCTATAACAATTTAAACAGTTCTTCATTTTTAAGCACCATATTTTACCTGCATGAGAGTAAAGTAATGATTACTGAGAACACCCATCCGATCATCTAACCAACCATCATTCATGATTGTCTCCCTTTCTCTTTCAGCCTGCTCTTTTCTCTCATCACAGATACTCCATAATCTCTCTCTTAAATCATCCACTCTTTGATGGAGTTCAGCTTTTGTCTCTTCATCTTCTCTAATATCATCAGGTACTTCATTATAATCCTTCAATATAAATCATATGAACATATATATCCCTGGTGGTATATCAAAAGGTCATATCTGGCATAGTTAATCATTTTTTGCTTCTTCAGAATCAAAATTTTTCGTACACAATGAATGAATGAATGGAATGATGTTTGAAGATGCATTATGGGAGATTAGATAAAGAGCTGGCAGTTCTCACTATAATAGTTAAAAACTAGTACTGTATAGGGAATTTGCTGAAAATGTCAGTCAAATTGATCCACTATGAACTGAGATTTTAGCAATTGAATTTTCGGCGTAGCCTCAATCATCATAACTAAAGTGGGTAGGATTAAAAACATAGTCTCAATTATCCATTTCATGATTTAATTATGAATGGAAGTCGAACAGCAAATCGGAACCTAATCCAATAAACATTGTAGCCTAACGATGCCATCGAGAGTTGATTATGGTCTGGATAAGTTAATTAATGTCTAATAATTTAGATAACATTTCAGGCCTAAAGAAAGACCTGCAATAAACAGATTTTTAATTCTTGCATAATGTATGTTTGATATACACATCTTTTCGTCTAGTTATTATACTCTTTCAAAATGTTATTTACAGGATGTTCCAAAATAATACATCATGGGTCAAAATTTAATTCTATGAAAAAAATCAACTTTGACATACAACAGAATTACAAGCAACCAAAAGTAGCCAATATTGGTTTATTTCTAGTTACGTATCTGTTGTAATTATTGTCTCTACTGCTCAATAGCTATGAAGTTCTAGTGTTAAACCTGAATCTATTTCTGAGATACACATTACACCTTTACTGCATAAACATTACTAACTTTCACTCCATTTTATCCCCAGATGTTGCTTTTATACAAATCTTTATAAATACAAGATTTTATTTTGTTCTCTTTTGAACAATGTGGAAAAGCTGGGATATAACGTTTTAACTCTGCAGAAAAATGACATACTAACCCCGGAAAGGCCCTCTAGATTTCTAGCTTCTTTGGTCCCCTCGACGTTCCCCAATGATATGACAACACACAGTGTTGACAAATGAATTGAAATGAAAGTAAACATTGTTTAATTGATATTTAAATTAAATTGCAATTCATTCAGAAGTCCTACCTTTTGCCACTGTGAAACAAATTCCTGTTTATGGTCAGGTCTTCGTAAATATGACATGTAATCTTTCCTGTTAATAAAAAATTGGATTTAAAGAAAAAAAAAAAAAAATTTTTTTTCAAAAATCAAAAATATCAGTCTTCTCAACCCTCCCACAAACGAGTTTATTTTAATGAGTTTCTCTGAACAAGAAATTATCCCAAGAACGAATATTGAAAATTAATATACATTTTTTGTCCTTTCTTTTAAATTGTACATACACAGACATGTCACATATATCAAACAGTATTTTAAAAATACAAAACATACAAAAATAAAGAACACTAACTTCATTTGAAAGAAATACCGACAAATGTTCTCCCTTTCATCTCTAATATTTCTAAAGACATGTTTACTATTAGCAACATATGCACTTTCAACTGCTTCCCAATGAGTTGCCAATACTTCAGCCAAATCCTACAAAAAAACATTCAAAACAAAGTTAATTTGAGAGAATAAAAGGATTTGATTTTGGACTAGTAATATTATATACATGCTTAATTGAAACCTGGCAAATAGGTAAAACAATTATTATTTTTTTTCTAGAAATTAACCATTGGTTAACATATTAGTAAACTTACAGTTTCAATATTTTGATCCACAAAATCCCATTCTTCTGACCCAGGTTCAGGAGGTGGTGGTCCTGTAGGTATTTCAGGTTCCGGTTCTGGTTCTGGTTCCGGTGTTTTATTTTTACCTTTACCTGATTTACGTTTAGCGCTTGGTGATTTTGGAGATGACCCTGCATTTGTGAAAAAATATTTTAAGCACCGTCAAAAGTCAAGATAATGTCAAATAGATAATGTTGGGTGATGTTATTTTACACGGCAAGCATTTTATTTAAAGAATGCATGTGCACTCCAGGTAAATCAAAGGTGTAAATTATTGAATCTGAAAGAATGCCCTTGCATTAGAACAATATTGGACCAATGTAGTCTCTGAAAAAACTGAGAATACATATATGCCCAATTTCCAAATTCTGTCAAATTTTTTCAGTGTTTAAAACAATTGGTGTTCAATCACTGAGTGTATTTACAGTTATTAGTTTGACGAATGTATTTCTAATTTATCTTAAAGATTTATAACATTGTCAACTGGTGTGTATTTTATATATATATATTATAAATATATATCTTTTTGTCAAGTCATCTTCCTTCATTATTGTAAGAAACTCAGTACTTTAGGAACTGTTTATATATACTGACGGACAATGTGGTCTTCACGTGGAACTATCATGAATATAACACATGAAACAGTTATATGGAATACAAGTTGCTTAAAAGATTTATTTCTGGCGACGTTTCGATGAGGCAAAGATAAACCCTTGTCGAAACACTACCGGAAATAAAAATGAAATGAAATGAAATGTTGTTTAATGGCACGTCAGCTCCAACCGGGCTATATTGCGCCAAACATATACATGATTAAATATACACAATTAAAATTGAGAATAAAAGTTTGTCTCTTTTAAAAATGTTAGCAATTTATCATATAGCTCCGGTTGAGCAAATAGCTGACGTAATGACTTGCAACGGTAGTATTTAGATCTAATATATACTATTCAAAAAAGTAGGGGATATTTGATTTTTAAGTGTTATTAAAGTCACCTAATGAAACTGACGAAGAAACAAATGACAAAATGAAATGAAGTTCACATTCATCGATTTATTCCAAATGATCGTTAGACTAAGTAAGGCACAGACTGACCATTATAAGGGTAAAATGATACCCGGGGTCAAACAGCAAAGTTACCACAGCATCACAACCAAGTCAGTAACGGGTTAATCCTCCTCTGTTTGCCAAACAAGCATTGATCCGACGTGGCATACTCCTAATGAGACGTCTAAGGTCATTTTGGTCCAGATTGTCCCATTCCTGTTGCAACGCAGCAGCAAGTTCTTGGACATTGGCAGGACGTTGTTGACGTTGACGTAACCTCTGTCCAAGCATGTCCCAGACATGCTCGATGGGGGAGAGGTCGGGACTCAGTGCTGGCCAAGGTAATGTGGTGATGTTCTGTTGTTGGAGGTAACCTGTAACGATCCTGGCCCTGTGACATCTTGCGTTGTCATCCTGGAAGATGAAACGGCGGCCATGACGTCGAGCGAACGGCACAACATGGACTGCCAAGATGTTGTCCCGGTAGTACTGGCCTGTAACACGCCCTGCAACAACATGTAAAGCCGTTCTTCCAGCAACAGTGATGCCTCCCCACACCATAACAGAACCACCCACAAATCGATCATGTCTGATGACGTTATTGTCTTGGAAGCGCTCGTTTCGACGACGCCACACCCTCCTACGTCTGTCCAAAAAATCAACAGTGAACCTTGACTCATCTGAAAACATCACATTGCTCCAGCGTCGATTATCCCAGTGTTGACGATCCCTACACCAACGACGTCTTGCCTGAATGTGATGATCTCTCAAACAAGGGATCACGCGAGGACGTCGGGTGCGAAGGTGACCCCTATGCAGTCGATTCCGAATCGTCTGGCCACTCACTCTCACACCAGTGTCTGTTTGAAGACGAGCGCTGATCTGATTTGCTGTGATGACACGATTTCTCAAGGCCAAGGTACGGATAAATCGATCCTGGGCTTGAGTTGTCGCCCTTGGTCGACCTGAGCGTGGTCTGTCCTGTACAGATTGTGTATCACGGTATCTGGACCATAGCTTGCTTATGACAGACTGAGAAACATTCATCGTCCGCGCCACAACCGCCTGTGTTGTGCCGATCTGTAGCATGCCAAGGGCACGTAACCTTTCATTTTGGGTAAGCCGACGCATATCAAAATTTGTTTTCTGGTCACTAAAACAATTAAACTGATGTTTCCACCCTGGAATTCAATGCCACAATGACTTAACATTCAAAGTCAGAGTCGTGCAAATCTTGGGTTGGACCCCCATGATGATCCCAAGCATCACCTGCATTCCATGCGGTAGCTATTGGTGCGTTTGGGCGTCACATGTAACTGGAAATGTTTTTCTGTTAGGTTCTATAGTGACTTTTTTCGTAGTCATTTGCATATTTTAGTATTTAGCCCCCAAAATCAAATATCCCCTACTTTTTTTGAGTAGGATACTTGAGATGTTTGCACTCAATCAAGATGTGTCTCACTGTCAAAGGAACATGACAGTGCACACATTCCGGTTGAGGCTCTCGCTTCAAAATGAAAATATGAGTTAAAAAGGTATGACCAATGCGAGAGCGACACAAAACAACTTCATCCCTCCTGTTGGTTCTATAGGAGTTGGACCAATCTCCTAGGAGAGGCTTAATGTGATGAAGTTTGTTAGTGCCTGCAAGATCCCACGACCGTTGCCAACGGTCATAAATTAAATGGTTAATTGAAGAATAAAAATCCTTATATGGAATTAAAAAGGGTGATTGGGGAAGATCTAAAGCAGCTTTGGCAGCAAAATCTGCTTGATCATTCCCCCTTATATCTACGTGACTGGGGAGCCAGCAAAAGACGACGTCTTTACTGTTGAACTCGTAAGATAGTAGCAGACAATAAACATCTGCTACTAATGGGTGTTCAAGCTGTTTGCTGTTAATTGCTTGAAGCGAGGACAGAGAATCAGTAAAGATGATATACTTTAAAGATGAAGAGGATTGTATGAACTCCAAGGCCTGAAGAATGGCCTGGAGCTCAGCTGTAAATATTGAAGCAGCAGGTGGAAGACACACAGAAATGGTCTCAGATGGCGTCACGGTAGCCGAGGCTACCCGATCACCATCTTTAGAACCATTTGTGTAAATAGGAGCATAATCACCATACTTAGACCTTAACTCTCTAAAGAGAGACTGGAACACCATAGAGCTAGTACTGTTTATATATACTGACGGACAATGTGGTCTTCATGTGGAACTATCATGAATATAACACATGAAACAGTTAAATGGAATACAAGTTGCTTAAAAGATTTATTTCTGGCGACGTTTCGATGAGGCAAAGATAAACCCTTGTCGAAACACTACCAGAAATAAAACCTTGAAGTAATTTGTATTCCATATAATTGTGTCATGTGTTATTCTCATTCAATTACTAAATGACACTTAAACAATTTATGAAGAAACCATATTTACCTCTGCTGCCTTTTTTAGATCCTCCAGTATCTGATTTTTTAGAACTACTGCTACGTTTTGGTGATTCACTTTTCTCTCGTTTATCTTTTTTAGATGGTGATTCTTTAGATGAAGTTCTCGATGGAGATTTCTTACCACCCGAACCTACAGATAGAAAATTAGACTTTTAAAATAAGTCTCACATACTAACAATTCTATGTTACTGACATCTGAAATCAATTTTATTTAAACTTTTTCATTCTGTTTTTAGTGATTTATTTTACTGCAGAAAAGATTATGGCTTGTAAAAATGAGAGGCATCCTAAATTTGTTTAAAAACAACATAGCTCTACCTGATCTACTACCTCTAGAACCAGGTCTAGATTTAGGTGCAGGAGTTTCTGGTTCTTTAGGTGGTTCTGGTACAGGTTCAACTGGAGCTGGCTGAAACACATATACAAATTAAGTTATTTCAAGACTAACATATGGTTCAATTTTATTTCAATTATTCGCTTGCACATAGGGGTCTTTAGTTGCGGGGTGAAACTGGAGGACCTGGAGAAAACCCAAAAGGTTGGACAGTCGACTTTATACTAAATCATATAAGTTAAAACACTAACCGGTTCTGGTTTCTCTTCAGGTTTTTCTACTGGTATTTCTTCAGCTGGTGTACTCTCTTTATCTTTACCTTGTAGCTAGAAATATATTTTATAAATCAACTTTATAATATGTTCAAAATATCAAATATATCAGCTCAAAATGAAAACTATCTTTCTGATCAGAATCATGAATCAAATTACCCTATGTATTGTAACTTCCTGCATTTTTCAAATTAAATTCACTCTTACCCTATTTAGTGTATCTTCCAGTATTTTTTCAACTTCTAGAACAACAGTTCGTTCATCTGCTTCAGCATCAACTATTTTTAATGTTCCAAATCTTGTAAACCACTTTTCCAATTTAGGCCATGAATCTACGAAACCTGTTATTCTGTGAAAACATTTACAATAGATATTTCAAATATTTTTGCTTTAATTATTGTACACGTAGACAATATTTCTTATCATATAAAAAATGTCCAATATATTGCAAAAATTTATTATATTATGGTTCAAACGTCAGTAGAAGGTTAAATAAAACTAAAAAATTTGCACCTATGTTGTATCTGTTCCATATCATGAGCCATATCTTGTACAGGAACAACCTTTTCTTGTTTACCTACACCTGTAGCACTGCCATCTGGGGGTGGTTTAAACTCTTCATGAAACTGTTCATTAGCTTGAATTGCACCTACAAAAATATAAAATTTCTTAGTATTTGTCCCATAAGCTTGAATTGCACCTACAAAAACATAAAATTTCTTAGTATTTGTCCCCCATCTTCATTCTATATTAATCATGTAGGAACTTTGAATTTAGTATCTTTCCTTGCATACAATTCGATTAAGAATATAAAAGGACTACCAGGGATACATGAAAATGCTGAACTGATAGAAATGATATACTGTATATATCTTTTTACATATTATTATATAATATCTTTCTAAATATAGCAAACAAAATACACAGGTCAAGAACAAATTAATGTCTTTTTTAAAATCAAGAGTACTTACATGTTCGACCAGCAGCTCTCTTAATACAGACTTTATCATCAATATCAAGTACAATAACAACATCTATACCACTTGTTGGTTCCGCAGGTGGAGGTGGGGGACGGGGATCAGGTACTAAAGATGACCTCTTCATCTTTCCTTTAGCCTTATCTTTTGTTGATTCTTTAGCATTAGCATCAAATCCACTTAAAGCTTTCTCTAATAGTTTAGCTTGGTTATAATTTTGTGGGAAACCATCAATTAACCAACCGGTTCCTTCTGGTACTCTCCTGTTATCAAAGTTACAAATTCTAATACATTAAATTCTTCCTCTTTTTTCACAAACCAAAACATTATCATCCCCAAAAAATCCAAGTTCATAACTTACTGTAATTATAATCTCAATATTTTCATTCAAAAGGGGTAATATGTCCTAAACAGTGCAGGATTTACATGGGGAGAGGTCCCAGACTACTCACTTATGGGGCCCCTAGAAGATGAAAGTGCTTTAACACAATTGAGCAAAGTCATGGATACTGAGATGTTTAAGACTTACATTGCAATTCAGAAAGGCTCATGACAGTGTCAAAATATTATATACCAGAGGCCCCTTAGATCTTGAGACCCTATAGGCACTGGTCTTAAATCCAAAATTCTGAAGTACAAACCTGATAGCTTCTACTAATATATCAACAATCAGCTGTTCATCTACTGGTTTACCTTTCTTTAAAAATCTAAATACTTTACTTCCTAGCTTAGCTCTGTCTGTTGCCTATAAGTATCAATATTATATAATACATTATATAATACATTGTTTTAATATAATATATGGTTTATAGCATGGGCATTAAACAAATTAATTTCACACATACCCTAAAATATTTTATTTTAATTTCATTATAGAATTGATGAACCAGATTTTGTGTAAATGTTTAAAAATATAAATGTGCTAGCAGTATCGCATATATACCTGTGGTTTATTACTCAATCTACTACTAGATTTCTTAGCTAAACTGGTTCTTGAATTATTTTGTGAAGCAGACACGGATGGTGGTTTAGCTTCCCTTCCTGCAAAGTAAAATAATATATTGTATTTTCTTAAATTAAATAAACACTGTGGAATACCAACCATATTTAAAACTAACCACAGATAACCCATTCACAACTAACAAATGGTATAATCGAACAGAGATACTATAAATTAGCACAATGTCCTAAGACCGAAGTGCATTAATCAATTATTCCAAATCAACAAAAAAAAAAAAAAATACTCACCACAATCAAGGGTAAGAGCAGAATCTGTTGCTGGAGTTTGTTCGGTATCAGCTGGTGTCTGTTCTGTAGAGTCAGATACCTGTTCTGTTGTTGGAATTTGTTCTGTTGGTGCAGTCCCTTGTTCCATCTCAACTGGTGTAGGTGCCACTGTAAACAATTCAAATTGTAATGCACTTCATTGCTTTCAATGTATTAAAGTCAGGGAAGTAAAATAATATATACACCCATATGAAAGTACAGGAAAATTGGGAGCATACATGCTACCTCCCTGGGGAAATACATATTGTAGTAAATTATAAACTTTTAGAGAACTTATGTCATTTGTTGTAAACTCAACAGTAAATCTGAATAATTTTGATTATTTTCATAATTACCATCTACAGGTGTGGTATTAATATCTTGTACAGTTTCAGCTTTACTTTCATCATCTTCTTCATCCTTTAAAATATACAGATAATTATCAATGTCATATCCATAGGGCTTTGTCCAATATACTATTAAAAATTAATAATTACTCTCTACACCTGCATCAGCTTTTGACCCAGCAGTAACACAGATCTACCAGCTTGTTCAGCCTCTGCTACTCTTTTCAGGGAGTGTTGTCGTCCCCCCTCCTCCATATATTGAAAATGTACAAGAGGTACTGGTAACATTTTGTATGTATTTACATTAGAAAATCCTTTAACCTTGACTGTAAACTAAACAAAGATGGTTTGGTAAAACTTACAGTGATTTCTATTATTTCTCCTGCTTTGTGAGCTTCAACAGCCTGATCAACTAATACATCAACACATAATACTTGTAATCTGTGTTCTGTTAAAAAAAAAAAACCCACAAATGTTGAAAATACCTTACTAAGGATGGCTCCACAAGGTATTATATGTTAATGCTATCTCATTATATACGGTGAAACTTTTATTTCATAGTACTTTGACTTGAGACATAAAGCAGTGGACCGGCTGCTTAAAATTTTGTACTAAGCTTACCTTCAGCTAATTTCTGTACACATGATGTTTTACCACTAAAAACTTTTCCTAGGACACAGGCTTTAATCGGGAATGGTTGAAATTCTGGAGGACTGGGTGGTGGCTAAAAAAATAAACAGAGTGATGCAGAGAAAATGTCTGAAGACTAAAGGGGAATAACTCTTCATGAAAAGCCATTTTTTGTCACCACTTTAAAATTGTTTGTCATTATAAATACCTAATTTCATATCCTATATTAATTCCATTTAATTATTAATTAACTCTAGGTGACAATTAGTTAGTCTGGAGATCTAAATTATTTGCAGACTGCAACAGACTTCCGAAATGTTTCTTTTTATTTTGTCGAAGTTTGCGAATACGACTCCTTCCATCTCCCATCATCAGAGTTTGGTATAAGTTTAGTAATTTATTTCTCATTATTACATATATTTTGCAGAATAATTATCATCCACAGAAGTATGCAGACACATACATGGTCATCATGCAAGAAATATTTTTAAACACTTTTGAGTAAATGTTTTTAAATATTTTTGAGTAAAATGTTAGTATCTATGAACCAAAATATGGCTTTTATATGGCCTTAGTTTTTAAAGCAACAGTTTAAGAGTTAAAATGGCAATAGTACTTACTGATGGTGGATGAACTATATTAAATAATCTCTGTACAATATGTCCAACAATAGGATTATCTCGAGGTGGGCCCGCTACATCTAATCCTTCTTTAGCCTGCCACTCACCAATCATATTCTATATAAAAAAACGAATATATAACAAAACAATATAATGAAAATTCATGAACTGAGCAAAATATATTAGCACAGTATCACATACTTGAATCAGAAATGAGCATTTATCATAGGCAAGTGATGAATTTAATATTAGTTTAATCAAAACAAACCTTATATTCCATAAAATCTCCTTCATCCAATAACTGTTGCCTTTCTTCTTCTAATATCTGTTCTGGTGTAGGATCAGAACTTTCTACAGGTTTATCAAATAATGGTTTACCAGCGACAAATAAAGCTGTCCATTCTCTCATTAACTTAGGTGGCAGTAAACTAAACATAAAAATTAAAGGCATTATAAATATTATCTCATAAAAGTGAATTTACTTGGATACGATACTCAGCAGAATAGGAGGAAAATGAAATGAAATAGGTTTAATGTCCTACTTGTCTGCACCAGCCTACTCTTATTTCAAATTTTTATGTGCACAGGACCTCCTTTTTTCCCCATCCCGACAACTAGACACTATTCCTTGTCAGGCCCTCTGTTAAAGAGCATGAGGCATGTACAGTCCGCTTGTATGGTAGAAAAAATAATTACATTTATTATGTGTAGCAAACAGTATGTTAAAGTATTTTTTTTCTCACATAATTTTTCTTTGGGAATGAGAATTTAATTGTGTTGCACTATTCATGTACTTTTTGTTTTGTCTGACCACTGTTATGCATTTCTCTAGAAATTGTCAAATTTACATGCTTACTTGTTGGTTAATTCTCTATATTCTGCTACTTTACATGTAAAATCAACAATCTGATCAACAACTTCTGAACACATATCATAATGTTTCTTATATTTGGCTTCAGCTCTTTCTGCTGCTATTCTGTCATGTAATTCTTTATCTTTTTTAATTTGTTCTTCGTATTCTTCTCTACTTAAACGTGCCATTTCCTATGATAGAACATAATGATAAATGATATCCATTCTTCATGGTAAAATAAATGGGGTTTAACTTCCTACTTATCTGATCCAACTGGGCTAATGAAGACAGGGTTTATGGTAAAATAAAAATATTATGAAATCAATTACTAATAAATCACAACCATACTGTACAATTTCTGGAAACCCTGTAACACAAGCTCATAACTGAAAAGAAATGAAATAAGTTTGATGTTCGCCTTTTCTGTACCGACTGGGCTAGTGAAGATGAACATATGCCATGCAGTGTGACATGTTGATTGATACATGGGAAATTTGGCCCAGACAGTGTCCTAATCTATATTTCGAATTCCAAGAAAGAAATTTCACGGTCAATATGAGGTGTGAACCCAAGACCTCCTGGTTAGCGAGACTGTGACACTCATAACTTTAAACTTACAGCTTCTTTATTAAGAGCATCTTCAAAATCTTTTCTTCTTCTTTCTTCATACTGTTTTTCACGAAGTATTCTATTACGACGAATTACTTCTTTTTCATGTCGTGTTTGTAATAACTGAACAGCTATTCTTCTTTCTTGTTGAGACTGTCTCATTAATCTGTTGACTAAAATTTCTTCCCTTCTAGCTTCCTAAAAAGTGAGATAAATCAAAAAAATTAGCTGGGTAGCTTGAAAGTCTTGAAACAAAAATTCATCATAAAATTATCCACTAGCAATCATCTTTCACAAGTCCTGTTCAGATTCCATTTACTATGACATCTCAACACAAATGTCAATAGAAAGAAATCATTTTCGCAAAATATTTCGTGGCACTATATAAAAAAAAGTTATGTACGTGACTCAAATTTATGTGTTTCTCTTTTAAAAAAACAGTGCATGATGTACCTCCTGGTTTTCATGAGCTGTCATTTGATCCACTAAAACCTTTCTCCTTCTTTTCTCTCTTTCTTCCCTAGCAGATGCATCTTCTTGTAATCTTGTTCTAATTTTATTGATATAATCATCATTTGGTGCTGGCATGATCAAGTCTATAGCTTCTGTTATATCTTTATCATCTTCATTAGTAGTAAAATACTGCAGATCTATTGACTCACTCACACTATAAATTTTAAAAAAATATTTAAATAACAAAAATATTACACTATAGTCACTTTTAGTTTTAAACTTCCTACCTAAATAAAATATTTAATAATTATTATGTAAAGAAATAAAGGGAGAATATGAAATTTTTATCTTGCCAGCTTATGCACACATTTTAAATACATAATATGCATGTTTAAGATAAAGAAATATTATCTAAATAAACTCTTTCAGAAAATATCAACAGAACAGTTAATCGACAGTTGAAATATATACAATGATGTTTTATTACGTACCTGGAATTATCGTCAAGTTTGGAAGGAGGTAATATCAATTTCATTTGATCTTCAAAATCAGCTATTGATTTCATAGTTTCCTAAAATGATGGAAAAAACCCCAACATATTGCTGTTTAATTTTGTTTGAAATATACTGATTAATTAAAAAAAAAAATTGAAAATATACTGATAAATTTTAAAAAACCCAAAAAACAAACAATTCTACAAGATACTGTACCAAATATACAGAAAACCTGTTTTAATTGGAATAATTTCCAGCGTTATTTCATGTATGCGTAATGTAGTGAACTTCCCCCGCTCAGACCATTCATAGTTTTAGGTTTTAAGAGTATAATCATTGTGTTTTATCATAAGCTGAAATCGCAGTCTAAACATTGTATTAGCTGTGTTTTAAAATGAACTGCAGTCAAAGAGCAATAGATAGCCTACCTCTCCTATCATTTAAAGATACATTATGGGCGATTCAATAACGAGTTGGCAGTTCTCACTATAATAGTTAAAAACTAGATAATGTAAAGGCAATTTGCTGAAAATTTCATTCAAATTGATCCACTATGAACCAAGAACTAAGCGTTTGAAATTTCCGCCTAGCCTCGATCATCATTACTAAAGTCAGTACGATAAACAGCATAGTATTGATTATCCATTTAATCGGTAAATTGTGATGGAAAGTTATGCAGTAAATCGGCTCAAAATCCACTAAAGATCGCAGGCTAGCGATGCCATCTAGAGTTGATTATGGTCAGGATAGGTTAATTAATGTCTAATGAATAATTTAGATAACATTTCAGGCCTAAAGAAAGACCTACAATAGAGAGATTTAGCACTTGCATAATGTATGTTTAAATAAGAACATTTGATTTAATCAACAATTTCTTTTGTCACTCAAATCGTTTTGAACATATCTTATTATTGCTTACCAAAGCTTCCCTTTTTGTTTTGTTGTCTTTTCTAATCTGAATAGCTTTTAATGTTTTATTTGGTGGTGGCCGAGGAATATGTACTGTAGCTGCCCTATAATATATAAAGAAAATCAATGAAGAAATGAATGAAATTGTTTAAAATATTTTTCAACAAATTACATATCTATATATGAGGAAAACAATTATCAAGATAGATTTAACAATAGTCATAAGTCTTATCTAGAAATATTTCAATAACTAAATCTCCACTCACTGAATCTTGGCCACCATTTCACTTTGTTTAGCTTTCATGATACGTGATCTCTCTAAAAGAGCTAGTCTTTGATTCTGCTGTTCAATCTGGATTCGCTCTTGCTCAACAAACCTCTTCTCAAATTCTATTTTCTCCATGGCTATTTGTTTATCATGGAAACGTGCTACTAGGGCATCAAGGTTTAAATCTGTCTGCCTTGGAGTTTTTTGTTTTAATCTCTGAAATTAAAAATAGAAGGAAAATCTAAATTTCCATTAGACAAGACCTTATTATTGTTCTCCCATATTTTCCTATCAATTTTACATAAATGCTAGACAAACCTACAAATCTAACACTATAAACTGTAAAATCAATTCATCCATGGTAATTGATGAAAAATTCAATGACAACTGAACAATAGAAGGGATGAGATTAAATAATCAATATTGTATGAAAGCAGAGATAACCAGAAATCAGTTACAGACTTACTTAATAAAATATTGATCCATTTCATCACAATACATCCAATTAATTTTCTTACCTGATAGGCTACAAACAATATCTAATCAATTCTCTAGAATGTGTATCTCATAAAATAGTCATTTATCATTAAATTGATGTCATGTCATTGTGACATCATAATTAAGAGGCTTCAGAGACTCACTATGACATCCTTAACTGCCTAGATACAATAGCAAGGGAGGTAACCATGACAGATAAAAAAAAAATGGTTTTAAATTGGGATTTGATACATTTGTCAATAAAACATTAATTTATTTACTTCTTTGTACATCAAACTTTCATAAGCATTTAGTTTTGCTGGGGCAGCTGGCCTCATTGTTTCCATAGCAACACCAGTAAGGTTAGCCTTCTTTTTGTTATTTAGAGCAATATATAGTTGATACATCAGTCTTGTAGCTACCCCATGTCGTTCTGTCATAATATCTCTAGCCAAATTTGTGTCGAATGGAATGGCCAGCAAATGCAGGCTTGGTTCCAAGCGTGTGAAATTATTGAGCTTTGCATCTGATTGCCTGAAAAGTGAAAAAAATGAAAGTTTTGAATCCACAATTATACATAATGGTTCTTTGTTTCGTTGCAAACTTAATCCAAAAATGGATCAATTCAGTTTAATATTACAAATATATGATGAACTGAAAAGTTGTCAACATACAACATCACAGACAGTATAAACTGGAGATCATCAAAGCAAGCCAGGACAAATAACAAACAAACTTACGTGTTCTGTGAGAATTGGTCAAAGTCATCTTGAAGTTGATATTTATTTAGAACTTCTCCAATAAGATAACCTGAAGCAAATTCTCTAGCAAAACTTTGCTGGTCTACAAAAGAAATAAATTACATGAGTTTTTATTTATAATTATCAAAGAATGTTATTAACTGTATAAAGCCTGCAATTATTATGCTCATTCTGAAAACATATATTTTGATATTCTTTAGATTCCAATTTAGAAACAAATCACAAAAAACTGACAGTATCTGGAATAACTAAATATCTGTGATTATAGCTACCACTTGATAACCTATCGACAATATAATGATGACCCTAAAACATTCTAAATGAAGAATTCTGTATACAATTTATAGTAAATCAGCTGCAATATCAGAATCTATCCACCAAATTTTTCTAATACTAGTTCAAACATGTAGCCTACTGAAGGCCTACTCTTTACATTTTATTTTTAGAAGCTCATCCAGATGAAAAATTGAGTAGGCTAGTGGACAGTTTCTGGTATTTAGGTAGCCTACTCTGATTATTATAAACTCTAGGCCTATAGATCTTGATCTACGGTATATCAAATAATTGAGAAAAATTTGTTTATCCTACTAAATTTCACTCATACTACTAGGCCCAGATCTAATGTGAACTAGCCACAACACGATTTTAATCTTTTAACCATGTGCGAATATGTTCAACACAGAACCAGGTACATTATCGAAAAGAGAAGAAGAGTTCCAGCTTGGCCTTAATTTCAACAACTTTTTTCGGTTAGGCCTAGCCTTGGATGCACTCACCAACAGGTTTAGTAAGGGAAAGCTCATTATTGAGCCATCTACATAAGATGTCAGTCATTTTGTCAGGTTAATTTTGTGCCACATCTGCACTGGATTCTGTAGATTTCGATCGGTCTGTTGTCAAATCATTAAAAATTGCTTTATCGTCTTCAACAACCGGACAGGTGTCCTTTTGTTGCCAAGGAACACAAATCCAATTACCAACGTAGGAAAGTCGGAGGTTATTTACGACAATTAAATTTATTTTCTCATTTTCAGTCGAAAATGTCAACTGAAATACGTTATTTATTGTTTTTAATTTATTTACATACACTTGTTTAATTTATTATACTGTTATCATGGTGATACATATTTTTATTTATACGACAACTGTTTACAAATCTTAATTATTGCCGGAAGTGTCGCATGTTAAAGAAATCGAAAGTCGTGGTGTTCAGTTCTGTTAATATTTTCTATCTTGAAACGAATTAGGGTTTCTTAGTCTCATTGAATAGAAGCCAGTATGTTTCTGAAGCCTTTTAGAGTAAAAAAACAAAACACTCTTAAGGGATCTGACAGGTTGTATATTCTATTATCTATTTCACGATTTAATTGAAAGCACGGCACGATCTTATTTATCAATCATGACATCACATTGCATATGGATATGGTCCTAATGTAAGTTATGCACATTTAGCTTAGATTTAGTTGAGATTCATGAAGCACACTTAGGTTCTAACAAGAACAAGCCAAAGGAGTGGATCAAGATAAGCTTAACAATAACATGCCTGGAAATAACGGTTTTAGTATGTGTACCACCAGTACCTGAGCTGACAAAATGTCAGATACTACAGAACCAGTACAGTGTATCAGACATTTTGAACTTTGTGTTGGACATATTATGACAATATTAATAAAAACACAACAAAAAGATAAATCAATGCCGGACAAAGTCACAGACACCAGAGGGATTGTGCCTGACAAGATCTGTGACAGATGTCTTACATGTACATGTATTTTTTTAAGCTTATAATTTTTGGGACATATGACCACTTTTCATTAGCAATTGCCTTACCACTGAGAGTCAAAAATGTTCCGCAGTAAAAGTTGTTGGATACATGTATCTACACTCCATTAAGTAGTGGCTGTAGGGGAGTAGGGCCAACACAGAACGAAATGTGTTAGTCCTCAAGTGATGTGAAACCAGTCTGATTTTCAGTAGAAGTAGGAGTATTGAAAATTATCTCATTGTCTGGATAACCTGGCCTTCTGGGTATGTTCATGTGTAGTGTACAGTTACATGTACTGGACCAGATAGGCCAGGCTGTAATATGAGATTCAGACTTCTTTCAATTTTAAAATAGGCAATCACCTGGAATGAAAATTTATGCAAAAATTAAAATTTTAGGTTCCTGTTACTGGTAGTTGTTGCAAAAGCCCTAGACAATGTCACCGCCACACTTAGAACAAAACATGAATTCCTGATATTATAACAGTTAAAATATAAATGTAAACGAAAAATATTAGAATTTTCAGATTCATTACTGTGGATTGACATTATCCTATTCGAACCTAGTTTTCTGTACCTTTGTGGGCTATTCAGTTAGTTTGTTCAAGTTTCCGTACAATATGTATAGATATGAAGAGGCTTGTCTTATTTGTCTATCCTAATAGTAAGTGCAGGGGGACTGCACCACACATAATTTACACAAAAACAAATATATGGACAAGACACAACACACGGAAATCACAAACAAACGAACAATTCAAATTAAGTAGCTTGCTGTATAAATGAATCTATCAATGCTATGAATAGAATATTTTTCATCACATGATAATAGACTTGTTTGGGTTTATTATGTAGATTTAGCAACTGTTCTGTTCTAGTAGGCTATATTGCCTTTGTTGGAAGGGGACATTATCAGTTAGAACTACAATAAACATGTAGCATAGCTGTAACTGATTAACATTTTATTTGAGAGAGTGGTATTTTGATCATTTTTTCATGGACCTTTTCAGGAAAAAAATGAAAGGAGAAATAGGAAAGTTATACAATATACCAGAAGATGTTCTAAATGAATTATTTCCAACAAAAGGAGACATGTCTATGGCTAAAATAGAACTACATAATGGTGACAATGCATTTTTATATACTAGTCAAAAAAATCCTGTTTTCTTTGAAATAAACAAGAAAATGTTCCCAACAGGTAATTGTTTGGGGTTTTTTCATAGAAATAAGTCTGCTCTATTTCAAATAGCAAGATAAACCTGCGGACAAGGCAGAATACATACATGTAGACATTGCAAGAAATAAACAAATATCAAATTAAGTCCTGGCCTTCACTCAAAATGAAAAAGAAATGTTTAACAAGGAAGACATAAAACTGCAGAAATACATGTAATGCTACCGATGTCTTGACAAGGGTCGTTTTTTTGAAAAAAAAAAAAGCATGCTTACCTATGAAGACACTTTTTTCAATTCTATTTTAAATACATGTATAGATATTATCTATGCATGAATGCTATAGTCAGGGAATATACAGTGCTTTGAACAACTATGTGCATCATGAAATGTGGGTGTGGCTTAAACTAGAAGAAATACATTATAGACATACAATAAGAGATGGGGGTTGGGTGGTGCTGGACGTGGTGGTTGCATCTTTACACCCACCATGAGGATCTGATCAGCATCTGCTCCTGGCTTTAATTATAGCAGTATTTTTGAAATAATTTTACTCTCTTGATATTTCTATTTCCAGTTTATTCATTATGGAAATGTCCTGACATGTTGCCAGTTTTTACTACATGGCCACAAGTATTTACAAAACTAGTAGTAGGTGCTGGTAGGTACATAAAACATATTATTCATACCACTGATTAGATATCAAGTCACCATGATGATGATATAGCTATACACTGGTATGTGTCTCGGGGAATATCACTCTGGCTTATTAACCAGGAAGTCATGGGTTCTTTGGTCTAGGCAGATCTCAGGATTTTTCATTCTGTATTCCCCTTGCAAATAGAGCAGGACGAAGATCCTGGCAAGGAAAACATCTAGTAGTGCAGATAGCATGTAAAACCGATGTTCACTTGGGTAATCCTTGGCGTGCACGTAAAAGAGCTATTGAAAGTGATTCCATGAAGAGTAAGCAGAAATGTTGCTGTCTGGGCAAAATTTCCCCCTGTGTTCTTCATTAGCCTGGTTGGTGTAGTAAAGTAAGACAGTAAACCACCATTCCATTTGTACACCAATCAGATGCTGTTGATAAGCTAGCTTGTCCTTTTGTTCGTACTACTTGTGTTTTTTACCTGCTCTGTTTATTAACACATGAGACTAAAGGATTTCTAGTGCATAATTAAAGGAGGCAAGCCTCTAACTCACCTCTTGGGTCTCCCACTGCTAAAGAGTCCTACTCGCAAGCGAATTATTGAAATAAAAATTGAACCATGTGTTAGTCCCGAAATGACCTAGTTTGTGTCGAGTGGATGTTAAACCCCATTTCTCTCTCTCTCGCCTCTAACTCAATATCATTAATTTAAATCAACATTGATCTTGTGAACTTACCGTGAAAAGATAAGCTTCTGATATACAACATTTAAGACAAAAATTTTAAAATTGTCACACGAATCGCGTGCAAGAATGCTTTCGAGTGCCATTTGTAATGAAGCGACTCAATGAATAAGGCTAAACATAAGAGAGAGAGAAAGGTTTAACCTCCACTGACAAACTAGGTCAGTTCGGGACTAACATATGGTTCACTTTTATTTCAATAATTCGCTTACATGTAGGAGTCTTTAGCAGTGGGAGGAAACCTGAGGACCCGGAGAAAACCCACGAGGTTGGACAGGTGACCCTACTCCTTGTCACGTACATTCAGGGAATCGGAACCACGCCAGTTGACTTAATTACAGACCCTATGATACACCTTGCACATGCTAACCATATGGCCATCGACCCCCCCCCCCCCCCTTACAGTAAAAATAGAAAATGATTGAATGTAAATCATTTTATATAAATTCATATTATATTATAATACAAATGTGTTTGTTGTGGCCCATTTGTGTCCATTTCTACGTGCCAGAGAATATATATTTATTTCCTTTAAAGGTGAACTCTTGTATAATGTAGGTGTTGCAATTTGATTATAAATGTTTTATATTTTTTTAAATCAGATCTAATGTTACCTGGTGTAGTTATAAATGGACCAGTACATATGGGAACATTTCGTGGTATAAAGAAGGGAGATATAGCTAGTGTTAAGTTGGTTGGTAACAGGTAAATATAAACTCACATATTTCTCACAGACTTTGTATAATCAGATATTTAAACCAAGTAATGTAAGGATTGATACCGGTATAGAAAAAGCTAAAGTGGGATATTGAAAGGATTGGTATATAAAAACTGTAGGATTGGTGTATGAAAAGCTGTAGTTAGCCTAAAGTAAGGGAAATAAGCGTCTTGTTCATCAATTGAGTGTATAGAAACTGAATTTTCAATCTGAAAGGAAAAGTCATGGAAAAACCCATTGTTCCAAAAACCTATAACTGTGATCTTAACATATACTCATTGCTTAGTTTTTATTTTCGTAATATCACCCCGAAAACATTGAGTTTAGTTTCTTAAGTAATTTGATTTTCCTGTTCAATGCCAGAACTTGTCATCTTATCACTAAGCTGTTTATAGATCAGTGGGCTAAACTAAATATATTGTCGCTTTTTGAAACAAGCTTTATCAAATAAAAACATTAGGTTTCATCTAATGGAATTAACAATGTTTAAAATGGAATTTCCCATTTGGTGGAATGGAAAATTGTCATCCCAAATCAATGTCGATCTTGTTCTCCAAGAAATTTAGTATCCCTATTAATCAGTGTGTCGCATAGTTGTTAAAGAAGCTAAACCTGTAACTCAATATTTTCCATAAAATTTGAAATTAAAAACATGAATTAAAATTTAATATTGGTCCATTTCAATAAATATTGATGCTGTTATCTTGCGGTGAAAATATGGGATCTTAATATCCAATATTTAAAATATAATGAACATGTTAAATCAGTACACGAGTCGTGTATTTTACGGTTTCGGGTGCCAAATGTAATGAACAAAGAAAAGCATACCCTACAAGATAATGCAGAAGTAATTAGTGAAATGAAATGAAATGGGGTTTAACGTCCTACTGTTCTGCTCCTAACCTGGGCTTATGAAGAAGGAGAAGTAATAAGTAATGGCTGATTCACTAATAAAAAAAATATGCATAGGATGGACTAATTTGTACTATTCACTTATTTAAACCTTACACTCAAAAATTTAAAAATTGCTGTATCTACAAAGTGGAACAAACTACCATTAAACCTTCACAGAAGTCCTACATTTAATAAATTTAAATCTGACTTGAAATCTTATCTATTTGAATTATTAGATACTAGTGTATTATTCACCATGAGCATGTTTTTTGAAAATAGTGCTTTATAAATGGACATATTAATGTTTGGTTTTAGATCCATTTTTGTCTATTTTAAGGTTAAAAAAAATAGAGCCATAATAATATGCCCTTTAATTGTTCTGTCCGCGCTGGTGGAAATAGGAATTATGTGATGCTTTAATGATCAGTATGGTTACATTTCACATATTGTGGTTGTTTTTAATGGAAGTTGTTTAATTATTATAGAGCACCTGTAGCTGTTGGTGAGACCTTATTATCTGGTGAGGATATGTATTTATCTGCTATGAAAGGAAAAGGTGTAAAACCAATTCATATGATGGGAGATCTCTTATGGCAAGTCTTAACTGAATGTTCTAGAATTCATTTGTCTACTTTGACTGTCATTTTAATACAAGAATACTGGGTAGCATACAGCATATATGTAGTGAAATGAAATTAATATAAAAGAGACGGAACTCAATTCTGTAGCAGTATGTTCTTTTATTTTGAGATTTAAAAAACATAGGCTTTTCTTTTTATATATATTTAACATTTTTATGTGACAGTATATCGTTGTCACCCCTTTCTATCAGTGTTTTTCGATTTTATCCTCAAACCTAGATTATAATCCAAATCTCAGAGTTTGATGATGGATATATTTTTTCTTTACAGAACTTCAAACTGTGATGTCATTTCTGCCTTAGTTCCCAAATCTGTTTGTATATTTGTTGCCAGGCTACTTTATGTTTTTTATTCAGTGAAATTTAGAAGTTTTTCAATTTTATTCTTAAACCAGGGAGTTAGGAGATCAGTCCGAACCTCCTCATCTGTCTGATGATATAGATATTGAAGGTGATTGTGAATCAGAGGACGATAGTGATACAGATGGAGATGATAAAGAATCTGATAATGAAGATGTTCCTGCAGTAGAGAAACTGACCATGCAGGACAATGAGTGTAAGGGTGCTACAGCTGCTGTCTCAGATTCTGAAGATTCCGAGAGTGAGGAAGAGGAGGAGGGAGATGATCCAAAGAGTAAAAACATTTAAACATTTCTTACGTATTTATTCTGCGTTTTTCCTGATAATTTTCTCTAAGTACTGATATTGAAAAAAATGCCAATGGGATTTGTTTTGCAAGTGATAGCATAGGGTTGATATTTTAGAATATTATAAGAAATTTAAAATGTCACTGTCTAAAATTAAATGATTTTTATGAGAGATTAGGTTGCTGCATGTTCAGATATCTTTTGACTACTTTTCGTTAATATTTTTTTAATATTTTTACTTGCTTGTCATTTTTTTACAGAAGTTATGGATGAACTGTTAGATTACTGCTGTCTCTGTGCTCTTAAAGCTAAAGTGAAAAACTCAGACTTGCCTCTATCTACAGGAATATTCTTCAAGAATTATTTACAACCATACTGGTAAGATCAATATTTTCCTCAAGTAATATTTAATAACAAAACTGTAGTTGTCTCCCTGGTTGCTTTATTTTTGCTTAACATTTCGAATAACGAAAAACATAACTTTTGTCATCTTCAAAGCTCTCACCAAGGAAAGCTAAAATTTTCATTTGAATACATAAAAAAACAAACTCTGTATCATGTCAGTAATCTGAATCTAAATGCAGTGATTGAATTACCTGTTTCACACCAATCACAATGACTATCAGTCATTTTTGATAACACATAGTAGCTTTGCAAATTATGTTCTTTTTTCATGTTTTTATTTACGATACAATATCGTGAATTCACGTGTCTAAACCTCTTCTCAGTTTAGGTGTACGTAAAAATTTCTAAATAATCTATTTTACACTGTGTATTGGCTTTGTTCTAGAAAATTGTAATGACATGTGGATCTTATTTCAAATAGCAACTGTCAAGGGTTCTTTTAAAAAACATATTATTTTTCTAACATGGCACCTCATTGGTTAAACAGGCATTATGCAACAGCTAAATCTGCCTATTGCCATTTTGTCTTTATGCTAAGTTCCCACTATCGTGGAGTAATCGTTGTTATCCTTTCAGGTCTCATATTATCATGGTCAGTCACAGCAGTCATGTTGATCGTAGCTCAGCTCATAGTGAAGTAATTTGACTGAAATTTTCAACATAGTCCCTTTTTATGCGCCCACATTTTTATGCGGACGTATATTGTCGTCGCCCCTGTCCGTCCGTCCGGACGTCCATCCGTTCACAATTGTTTGTGAACACTCTACAGGTCACAATTTTTATCCGATTTCAATGAAACTTGAAATATAGGTTTACCACCCCAAGATCTCGGTTCCTTTCGATATTGGCATGTATCGAATTGTAACTTCATGGATTATGGCCCTTGATTGTACAAAAAAATCACGTTTTTAGCTTGTGAACACTATAGAGGTCACAATTTTTTTCCGATTTTGTTGAAACTTGAAATGTAAGTTTATAACCCAAAGATCTTGGTTCCTTTCGATTTTCGCGCATATCGGACAGTAACTTCCTGAATTATGGCCCCTGATTGTACAAAAAATCGCGTTTTTAGCTTGTGGACCCTATAGAGGTCATAATTTTTATCCGATTTAAAAAAACAGATTATTATATCGCCGTTACACCCTAAGGATGGCTGAGTTCGAATTTCGTGAAAATCGGCCCAAAATTGACAGACAAAATGGCTGCCTTTCGTTCTCAAATAGCGTAAAAATATGGTATATCAAGGTTGTGGACCCTATAGAGGTCACAATTTTTATCCAATTTTGTTGAAACTTGAAATGTAAGTTTATAACCCAAAGATCTCGGTTTCTTTCGAAATTTGTGCATATCGGACCGTAACGTCCTGAGTTATGGCACCTGATTGTACGAAAAATCGTGTTTTTAGCTTGTGGACCCTATAGAGGTCATAATTTTTATCCGAATATATCACCATTACAAGGATATTAGATCGAATTTTTACCGTTGCCAGTCATTACATCAAATGTTTGCCCAACCGGGATTATATAGTAAAGTGTTAGACTTTTTAAAAGAGACAGGTTTTTATCATAAATTTTAATTGTATATATATATATATATATATATCATTTCATTTTTGTATTTAATATTTATATGCATAAAAGTTGTATTTTATTTTTAATTTTACTAACTGTGATATTGTTTTTATTTATGCATATAATATTTTTCTGTGATATAATTTAGCCTGTCTCGTAATATTCACCATATGTTTGGCGCAATATAGCCCGGTTGGAGCTGACGTGCCATAAAGCCACATTTCATTTCATTTCATATCACCATTACACCCTAAGGATAGTTGAGTTCGAATTTCGTAAATATCGGACCAAAACTGACAGACAAAATTGCCGCCCCTCGTACTCAAATAGTGTAAAATATATGGTATATCAATGTTGTGGGCCCTCTAGAGGTCAAAATTTTCTTTTGATTTTGATGAAACTTGAAATGTAAGTTAATAACCCAAAGATCTTGGTTCCTTTCGATATTCGGCATATCGGATAGTAACTTCCTGAATTATGGCCCTTGATTGTACGAAAAATCGTGTTTATACGCCCACATTGAAATGTCGTATATTGTCGTCGCCCCCGTCCGTCCGGACTAGAGGCCAAAGTTAATATCCGATTGACCTTAAATTTATACACAGTGTTTAAGGTCTTGAGACGAAGAAGCCTATTGATTTTCAGCGATTTCCGATAATTACTGCCAGAGTTATGGCCTTTGATCACTTCAAAAAATCTTGTGGACGCTCTAGAAGCCAAAGTTAATATCCGATTGACCTTAAATTTATACACAGTATTTAAGGTCTTGCGACGAAGAAGCCTATTGATTTTCAGTGATTTCCGATAATTACTGTCAGAGTTATGGCCCTTGATCACTTAAAAAAATCTTGTGGACGCTCTAGAGGCCAAAGTTAATATCCGATTGACCTTAAATTTATACACAGTGTTTAAGGTCATGAGACGAAGAATCCTATTGATTTTCAGTGATTTCCAATAATTACCGCCAGAGTTATGGCCCTTGATCACTTTGAAAAATCTTGTGGACGCACTAGAGGCCAAAGTTAATATCCGATTGACCTTAAATTTATACACAGTGTTTAAGGTCATGAGACGAAGAAGCCTATTGATTTTCAGCGATTTCCGATAATTACTGCCAGAGTTATGGCCCTTGATCACTTTGAAAAATCTTGTGGACGCTCTAGAGGCCAAAGTCAATATCCGATTGACTTTAAATTTATACACAGTGTTTAAGGTCATGAGACGAAGAAACCTATAGATTTTCAACAATTTCTGATAATTACTGCCAGAGTTATGGCCCTTGATCACTTCAAAAAATCTTGTGGATGCTCTAGAGGCTAAAGTTAATATCCAATTGACTTTAAATTTATACATAGTGTTTGAGGTTATGAGACGAAGAATCCTATTGATTTTCAGCATTTCTGATAATTACTGCCCGAGTTATGGCCCTTGATCACTTCAAAAAATCTTGTGGACACTCTAGAGGCCAAAGTTAATATTCGATTGACTTTAAATTTATACACAGTGTTTAAGGTCATGAAACGAAGAAGCCTATTGGTTTTCTGCGATTTCCGATAATTACTGCCAGAGTTATGGCCCTTGATTTTCAACGATTTCCGCTCTAAAGGCTAGAGTTATCATCCGAGTGACTTCAGATTGATACACAGAGTTTAAGATCTTGAGACGAACAAGTATATTGATTTTCAATGAATTTTTATGACTTGAACAAATCCATGATATTAAAAGTTTTGTATACAGAACGTTAGCATGGGGCAGAACTTTATAAAAACCAAACAAATTCTAATGGTTTTCTGATAATTACTTCATGAGTTGTTGCTCTTAATCGGATTTTAGTGTATTATAAATGTTTCATTACCGAAAAAAGTAAGAATATGCGACAACTCTTGTTGACTGCCCGGCAATTTAGCTGCTGTGGGCGTATGTTTCGTTGCCTGGCAACCTATCTTTTTAGCTTGTGGTCCTTGTAGAGGTCACAATTTTATCTGATTTAAAAAAAATGTGTGAATATATCACCATTACACACTAAGATCATGGATCCTTTTGATAATCGCAGATACCCGAACTTAACTTTCTGGATTATGGCCCCTGCTTGTTTGAAAAATGGCATTTTTAGCTTGCAGATTCTCTAGAGGTCACAATTTTTTTTTCCGATTTTAAAAACCATTTAAATATTTCACAATTCCACCGTTATAAAGGTTGAATTCGAATTTCGGGAAAATCGAAATGAAACTGCCCAACAAAATGGCCGCTCTTTGTACGCAAATTGTGTAAAAGTATGCAATACTAAGGTTGTCGACCCTCTTAGAGGTCACAATTTTTGTCTGATTCTGATGAAAACTTAAATCATATCTTTATATCCCAAAGATCTCAGTCCCTTTTGATATTTGCGCATTTCAGACCATAACTTTCTGGATTATTGCCCCTGATTGTACAAAAAATCCTGTTTGTTTTTAGCTTGTTCTCTATCCATCTCTTGCAAAATGTGGGCGTAATCTGTCTGGCAGCCGCTGGTTATAATTTAAGCCCACATTTTCGTGCGGACATATTATGCTGTCGGCCCTGTCCGTGCGTCCACAATATGTGGACACTGTACAGGTCAAAAATTTTATCCAATTTGGACAAAATTTGAAATACCTCGGTTCCTTTCGATATTGGCATTCATCGGACCATGTAACTTCATGGATTACGGCCCCTGATTGTTCGAAAAATCATCTTTTTAGCTTGTGGACACTTTATAGGTCACAATGCTCATCTGATGAATGCATGTTCATAACCCAAAGATCTGGGTTTGTTTCATATTTCCTCATGTCGGATCGTAATTTCCTGAATTATGGCCCCTGATTGTATGAAAAATGACGTTTTTAGCTTGTGGTTCGTCTATTATCTGATTTAAAAAAAATGTTTGAATATATCACCGTTACATTACACCATAATATCGGCTGAGCTTGACTTTTGTGAAAATCAGACCAAAACTGCCAGACAAAATGGCCGCCCCTCGTATGCAAATAGTGTAAAAATATAGCATTGGTATATCAAGGTTGTGGACCCTCTAGAGGTCACAATTTAGATCCAATTTTGATGAAACTTGAAATACATGTTTATAACCCAAAAATCTTGATTCCTTTTGATATTCACATATTGGATTGCAAATTCCTGAATTATGGCCATTGATTGTTGTCCCTCTAGAGGTCACAATTTTTATCTGATTAAAAAAAACAATTGAATATATCGCCATTACACCATAATGTCAGCTGAGTACTAATTTTGAGAAAATCCTACCAAAACTGCCAGACAAAATGGCCGTGTAAAAATATGGTATATCAAGGTTATGGACCCTCTAGAGGTCACAGTTTTGATCCGATTTTGATGAATCGTGATACACTTGTTTATAACTCAATGATCTTGATTCATTTCGATATTCGTGCATATTGGATCGTAACTTCCTGAATTATGGCCCTTGATTGTAGGAAAAATTGCATTTTTAGCTTGTGGTTCCACCAGAGGTCACAATTTTTATCCGATTTAAAAAAATGTTTAAATATATCACCGTTACACATCAGTGAAGGTTGAGTTCGAATTTCGTAAAAATCATACCGAAACTGCCTGACAAAATGGTCTCTCCTTGTAGGCAAATAGTATAAAAGTATGTAATGCCAAGGTTGTGGACCCTTTATCTGATTTGATGAAACTTAAAATGTATCTTTATATCCGATTTGATGAAACTTAAAATGTATCTTTATATCCCAAATATCTTTCGATATTCCTGAATTTCAGACCATAATTTCCTGGATTGTGGCTCCTGCTTGTACTAGAAGTTGCTCTTTTTTTTTTGCAGAATGTGTGCGTATCTTGCTTGGAAACCGCTGGCTTAACTATTATAACGAAAACTGTCAGCTCTTTATCTAATCTTACGTAATGCCTTTTTAAGTATTCCATGTTTCTTGAGAAGTAAATTTGACCCTTCAAAATATAGCAGCACATGTCAGTTTCAATTTACACTAACACAGTCAAGGTATCAGATGAATGTCAGGACACTTTGACTTTGTGAAAATGGTGTAATACACTTATGGTGTTAAGATACATGTAGCAATTCATTTCAGTTATTGTGTATGTAAATAAGGAATTTCTTTGAGACTTATTTATTTAATTGATTATTAGATAGATTTTTTTATATTTAATCCTAATATATTTAGATACACTTCTTGAGGATGGATTGTATTTACTAACTATTGAGCCATTTTCTGGAAATTTTAATTGATCAGGTTGTTTTTTTAGTCCTCAGGGAAAATATATAGATATAAAAAAGTCCAGTTATAAAAAGGTAAGTGTTAGATGAGGCTGTATAAATCAATAAATCTATCTGTTTTTTCTATAATCATCAATGTTAGATAGATATTAGTATATTTAAATATTTAGTCATTGTAGAGTTTAAGTTTTTGTTTAAAGGTGCAGTCCCAGAAATATTGTATTATACTACTGTGTGAACCATCGTAAATTTTAAACGGATTTCTTCGATTATGAACAAACTACTTAACTTTGGTTATTATAAACTTACCTGTGTGTTTGTAATGAACTCCCGTTCGATAAAATCCATTGCACAACTAATTATCACAACGATGAGAACAAGTTCTCTCTTGAAAAATTTGAAAATTTACTTGTAATTTCGACAGAGTCGATGTCAACAATGTCTTCGTGACGTATTGGTCGAATCCAATATACCTGTTGCGGGGGTTGGTTAACATTGAAAGATAGTTTGACAGCACGATCATTTTGATCGTATATGGGTTTGGGCGACGAAAAATATCAATTGAAGGCAATTACATAGGAGATTTATATGGAAACCATTGATCGCCAGTCTATCAAATTTTCTTCACAATTAAAATATCACTGATTGCACGGATACTCGTAAAAATAAAGTCATGTATAAACTATAAATATCCTATCTTCTTTATGTTATAAATAATTTAACAAGGATCATGAAGCTTACCTCCGAATTCTCTGAGTGTATTTTTAATTTTATACGCATTCAGTAACATCTTTAAGCGTGTTGCGGCAGCCCTCAGCGTGTCTATTAGGTGCCCGGGTGGGTATATAATGCTACTAAGCCCGTATGACCCCGTAAGAAGCGGAACATTAATTCTCGATTCGACAGTTTTGACCGAAGTGGGATAAAGCCCGTAAAACGAATGTATAGTTGTGTTTGTGCGGCATGCGTGTTCAAAAGTAAATAATCCCATCCGAGTCGCTAAGCAAATAATTAGAACAAAATATTTCAAAAAGTAAAGCTATAAAATTTGCAGAGATTTTACTAGAATGTAAAAGACGGTAACTAAATACAGGAATGCAGGTAGTTATGTGTGCGAACGCTCAAACTCAATGCCAATTGTCGTAGGTATCCAGACCACTCGGACCAAAGACTACTCGGACTAAGACCAGTCGGACCAAAACAAGACCAGTCGGACCAATTAAATTATATTATAAGGCTAGGCAATATGCTATTTATTTATTATTAAATCACAATACAAAGAAGCAAATAATTCTTATACGGAATTCGTATATTTAGAGTTGTTTGGTTCAATTTTGTGTACGGAAAATAAATCAACGATTAGTTTTAAAATTAATTAATAATGGTGCCAAAAAAAAAATATCAATCTAATTTTTCTTTACTCTTGCAATGAGACTCGGTATGTCCAGACTTTTGACAGTTTCTACATATACGGGTATACTGTTCTTGTCTGATAGCCTAATTTTACTTTTTCCACATTCGCGATATCCCCAGTGGTTTCATTCCGATCTACCCCACTAACCCCTGGGTTACTATATATGGGGGGTGGGGAGTCACGTTTTCAAGTTATCCGCCCTTGATGCGTTAATATAAACAGCACATAATAATACGAAGACCGGACGTTTATATGCCCCTTTTTAAACGTGACTACAAGTGTGGTTCTCGATATTTTGCGATTTGGAATACAATTATCAATTTATTCAAACAACACGTTATTATTAGTTCGAGTAGTCATATTAAAACACACACAATTAGCAATTTATTCAAATAACACTTTATTATTGGTTTGAGTAGTCATATTAAAATAAACACAATTATCAATTTATTAAAATAACACTTTATTATTGGTTCGAGTAATCATATTAAAACAAACGCAATTATCAATTTATTAAAACAACACTTTATTATTGGTTCGAGTCGACTTTCTGTTGGGTCCGAATAGTCTTTTTGTATGGTCCGAGTAGTCTATTTGTTTGGGCTGAGTGGTCTATCAGTTGGTCCGACTGGTCTTGAACCGAGTGGTCTTTGGTCCGAGTGGTCATGGATTCTTGTCGTAATTGTACTTGAATTTCGACCTATGCTGTCACCCCTAATACGAAATGATATCTTCCGCAGAGTGACGTAACCATCTTCCATATTGGTATTTTTCTCTGGGAAAAGTTTGTGATATTTCAATTTTTCAAGAGAGAACATGTTTTCATCGTTGTGATAATTAGTTGTGCAATGGATTTTATCGAATGGGAGTTCATTACAAACACACAGGTAAGTTTATAATAACCAAAGTTAAGTAGTTTGTTCATAATCGAAGAAATCCGTTTATAAAATTTACCAAGACTCAGACAGTAGTCCTGTGCAACTGTGATAATATTTTGAAGAAATAAAAACTTTCATTTTCTATGTGAGTGCAGCCCAAAGTTCACAGGTTCCAGCTGTTTAATTGCCGGGTTAACCATTGCCTAAATTATATTGGTATATAGTTATAATCTGTCGCCATGGTAAAGCCACAACAAGGTAGATCATTCACATATGTTTCAAAATTCAAAACCATGCACTATTTTAATATAAACTCATAATGTAATTAATTGAACACATCTGGGTATAAATAGTCTCTATCATTCCGACAAATATTCTACGAATATTAGCCTGGATGTGTTGTCAACATTTGAGAATAATAGGTCATTGGCTAAATTATCCCATCTTTTACATTATAATGAACAAAGTCAAAGGGAGGTAACTAGCCCTAAAACAAGATGTAGACCCCTATGAATATGAAATTATTTAAAGAATTATCATTTCAGAAAATCCATTTGCATTGCAAGTTCAATATCCAACATTCTTTTTTTTTTTTTTGAAATTTCTTTCTTCATGGACCATTTCTATGTTGTTTTATTAATCCTAATTCGTTGTCACGATTCATGTTTGTTTATAATACTGTATGAATTATGGGACTTATTTCGAAACGCAGCTGAACTCTTACTTGACTTGGCCAAATTGACTATGTAATTAACCACATAAAAAAACAAACTCCTGAGTACGCATGGGCAATGGTACTTTTCGTTAAATATTGAAAACGGACCCAGGCCCTCTCTTGGTTGAAGACTAGGAGATTCTGGGTGACCGAGACTATGGTATAAAAGGTGTGAAAATCTATAGAAATGAATGTAAACCTAAAATGACCATAATTTAAGAATCAAATTGTTTGATTTGAATGATTTTTGTACCAAAATGTTTTTAATAAAAGTAGATTTGATTGTATTTAGTCTAAATCTCTACATTGTAATCTTTGGTTAAAAATAAGTTTTGAATTACACAAGATGACCATATTAACCTAAAGGAAGTATATTATTAAGAATATCAGTAATTATTGACAGATCAAAGTCGTTAGGTCTATAACTCAGTATCTTCCAAAGTCTTTGACATTGAAAACACAAATTATTTGTCAATTTAAATGAAATAATGCGTAGCGGCGCAATTTGTAACAAGATACTCAAAGTACAAGGCTAGACATATTCCATAAGTCATATCAAGTCAAACGATGATGCCATATTCTTATCTAGAGAGCATGCGCAATAAATACTATCGGTGTAGACTGGAGTAACCAGATGCTAGAGATTGCCATTCGATTCAAACTTCTGGCGTATTTCGCCAAGCGTAACTGATTTGAAATTAGAGTAAAAACGGAAACGATTGACAGTAAATCATATTACATCATTATATGCGTTGCGACCCATTATGTCAATTTCTAGGTCCCAAATATTAACTATTTAGCTCCTTTAGTTTCCTGCAATATGCCTGCATGGTATCGAGTTCAAAATGCAATCTAGCAGAAAGTCAAAAGTATAGAAAATCTGAAGTAAACAGGAAAATTTTTATCTAAAAGGGTATTTTTATGGTGAAAACCTATAACTTTATGCACTTAGTCTGCAAAAACGTCACACTTTTCAACTTTTAATCATTAAAATTCTACTTTCATGTCCAGAATTTCTACTTTCTACTATCAACTTTTGACTTTTGACTGATTGTTTCTTACTTTCCACTGTCAACTTTTGACTTTCCACTTCAGATTTTCTACTCACGATTTTCTAACATAGATTTTCTCCAATACTATGGTGGCTGATAGTGGCCATGTAATGTTCGCCATTTTCATAACACTACATACCGACTGTATTAATGAGAGCACTGAGAGCATAGGACAAAGTAGACTTGGATATTATCGTGTGATTGTTGTCGTAACTTGGTGTTATCATCGCCTTATCGCCTTAGTATCTTTCTGTAAGACACAAAAATACTTAATTTTGCTAGCACTTTGGTAGGTCTCATTACATCATACATGAATGAATGAATGAATTGGAGTTTAACGTTCTACTTTTCTGCACCAGCCAGGCTAATGAAGATGTGATAATACAGGAAGCTGAATACATAAATATTAATAAAGCCAGTACAAAAGAGATATACGTTAATTAATTATTTGTTTTTTTCAAAGTAATGAAATATTTTGCTAACAAAAGTCAATAATTTTTTGATATTATTCAAGTAATATCAAAATACAGCAGTAGAACTACAGCTATATAGCTGGCTTAATTCTTAGAATAAGAAGTGGTATCAGGTGATCAAAATTTTTTGGGTTGTTAATTTATATGCAGTCGTGTCAAACATCATTGATACCAATGTATTGACTCAAAAGTTATAGGCCTCGCAACATTGCAATTATCTAGGCATCAATTCCATTAGTTGACGGCAAACTTTAATAAGATATGCTAAAGTCGATAAGAGCACCCCACCAAGAAAGAGCTCTCCTACCGATATGGGTGTAACGTACAAATGCCTTTGCCCCAATTTAAGGCTACACCGTTGGTCGTTGCTAGGATTCCCACAAATAAAACAGTTTGGATCTGCAGCATTTACACCACTGTAGCGTACTGTACGATTCCACCAAAGTGAGCAACTGAGTTCCTGTTCTATAAAACCTTATCTAAAATGTGTGCATTATTTTTGTAAATACATTAGTATATATTTAACACTGTCTTGGATTTGGTTTGATTGAACTTTTCTTTCACGCGATGAAAATGCAGCGAATGACCTTCTGGGCTAGTGACTTTGATGATGGTGATCTTGTTATCGTCTACCCAGGAGTTTCAGCTTCTAAAATCCTAGTATAAACTTTCGCTCCAGTTATCTAAAAGTATTGACGGGTGTAAAGAACGAGACAGGCTATGCCAACTAGTTCGGAACACCTGATGTCAAGTGGTCTAAAATCTAAGGTTCGCGTTGTCTGATAATTAGGTCTGTCATTGAGTCAAGTGGCGTGGTTTTGATTCCCAGATTGTATGTGACAATCGTCTGTCAAATCTTGTGGGTTTTCTCCACGTTTTCTGGCTTTCCCCCACTGTTAAAAAAACCCCTACGCTCAAGCGAGTTATTGAAATAGAATTGGACCATATGTTAGTCCCAAAATTACCCCATTTGTCTTTCTCCATGATACCACTTCTTATTCAAAGAATTAGGAAAGCTAACTAGCTTTTGCTCTACTGCTGTATTTCATTATTTTCAGAAAATAAACAATTAATCAACATACACCGGCATTATTATTATATTTATCTATTCAGTCTTCATTAGGTCGGTTAGTGCAGGAAAGTAGAACTTAAACCTCAGTTCATTCATTCATTCATTCATTCATTATGTAATGAGACCTACAATAGTGCTAGCAAAATTATGTATTTCGGTGTCTTATACAGAAAGAGGCTAAGGCGATGTAATGCTCTCACTAATACTGCCGTGATGTTATGAAAAGGGTGAAAAATACATGGCCACTATCAGCTTCCGTAGTATTTGAGAAAATATGCATTAGAAAATCTGAAGTGGAAAGTTGACAGTAGAAAGCAGAAAATCAAAAATGAAAAATCAAAAGTTGATAATAGAAAGTAGAAATTCTGTCCATGAAAGTAGAATTCTGACTGTTTAAAGTTGAAAAGCTTAATGATTTTGTTGTAAGTTTCTACCATTAAAATACCCTTTTAGATACAGCTTTCCCTTTTACTTTTGATTTTCTACTTTTGACTTTGATTTTCTACTTTTGACTTTGATTTTCTACTTTTTTACTCTAGATCACATTTTGAACCCTACCATAGCATGGATTGTCTATTTTGGTAAATGAGTATCTCAAATAATTAAACAAAAAACAGATCTCAATGTTTCTTGTGCTTTAAAAGAACTTTAGTTATTTATCAGAGAGTTTATTTTATTAACAGCACACGGATATATAATCAATCACCCTTATCAATTATTGGAACAAATAATTAATTACATAGTTATAATGCGTCACATCACATGAAAATATGATTAATGGAATTGATAATCAATAAATCACACATGGGTTAATGTTTTATTTGATTATAGATATGGTTCCTTGCACTCTTATTTGGTGAAGATTGATTTTGTCCCCCCCCCCCCGCTTTTCGAAGAAAGCAGGGGACTATTAAAATGGGTTCGTCCGTCCGTCCGTCCGACTGTCTGTCCATCACACTTTTTAGGACACAGTAACTCTCCTTCTAATTGAGCTAGAATGTTCAAACTTGGTTGATGGTGTTCGAAGATGAGCATTTTCTGCTTAGGGTAAGCCGAGATAAGCAATTTGATTGGTTGATGCTTTGGGACATCTTAACTTTAGTTCTAATTAAGTGAGAGTGATGAAATTTGGTGTATAGTTTTATTACATCAGTACCTTGACTAAGTTCCATAATGAGCATTTTCTGCTCAGAGTAAGCAGAGCGATAAGCAAATGATTGGTCGAGACTTTGGAACATAATAACCCTCCTTCTAATTGAGCTAAAATGTTCAAACTTGGTGTAGGTGTTTATTAGGTGAATGCCTTGATGGAGTTCGAAGATGAGAATTTTTTAATAACTGGACTAATTTCAATAATGAGCACTTTGGAACACAATAACTCTCCTTCTAATTGATGGAGTCTGATGATGAACATTGTCTGCTTATGGTAAACAGAGATAAGAAATCTGATTGGTTGATGCTTTGGGGCACAATAACTTTGAGTATAATGAAGTGAGAGATGAAACTCTGAATATGTATTCATTATATCATTACCTTGACTAAGTTCAATGGTGAGGATTTTCTGTTTAGGCTAAGGAGTGATAAGCAATTTGATTGGTCAAGACTTTGGAACATAACAACTCTGCTATCTGATAGAGAGTGATGAAACTTAGTGTATAGTTTGATTGCTCGATACTTTTGAAAAAAATAAATGTACAATTAATTAATATGTGTCATCTATTTATTTTGGGATTTTGGCAGGGGACATCAGCCTCACTGTTGGCTTGTTTTTATCTTACAGTTGTCTAAATATTTACAAACTATAGAAAGTAGAGGTCTACTTAGAGTTAAACAAATGGCAAAAGGAATGGACAGCATTGTAGAAATTGACAAAGATCATTTAGAGTAGGTATATTAGGTTATTACATTGGGACCCTTTCTCACAAAGCATACATGAAGTTATTTACATGTTGTAAAATGTTTCAATTATATGAATGTAAATCTTATTTGCATTTTGTGAAATAGGACCTAGGTCGTAAAATTTGGTTCTGTTCAAAAACTTTAGTTGGCTGTTTTAGACTTACAGCACAAAGTGTGCAGACAGCAAGTATGAATCAAGAAAATTCATGGCAGTTGTTTTTTTTTTGCTTCAGTATATAAATCTGCAATTATGTAATTCTCAAAATCTATTGCATACACATTTAAACGATTGGTAGTGTTTGCGTGAAATTGTATGGCTTGCTAAACAATGTTTCCAGGAGTGACAGTAACTCAAAAAAAAATAAACACATGAAATTCAGCCACCTTATAATATTTGTACAATTGACTATTGGTCAAAAGATTTGTAATAATGGCCATTTATCATCAAATACTAATATGCGGCAATAACACAATTATTGTCTGATACCGATGTTGTAACCGATGATCAATATTGATATATTTATAGATTACGAGATTTAGAGGTACCAGAATTAGTTGTACAACCAACTGAAGGTAGTGAAGATGATTTTATACCACCAGTTATATCAGATGTTTTCTGTATTCCTTCAAATCTTTTACCGTTCTTTAAATCAAAGAAGTACAGGTATATTATTATTTTACATCAAAACGCTTTCATATATACAAATATCAAATATAAGTTACCTATTTAGGGTATTTTCCGGTATTTAGTGTTTTCTGGTATTTAGTGGTTTTCCGGTATTCAGTATAAAATGGTGTTTTCCGGTTGTTTTCCGGTATATAGTATTGCCGCTTTATATCAATGTTTAATTAAAAACAACAAAAATTATTTATTCATTATTTATCAAAATGCATAACTACTATAACAGGTTGATATGTGTACAATGTTTTGTCCAGCTATTTTTGTGTTTCCTGAGGATGGGCAGACAAGTCCCTTTCAATATCCTTGTCTTTATTTTATTCAACATAATGTCATCAGTAATAAAATACCTGTCTCTGTATTTTAGTAAAGGCAGAGGGTTGGTCGCAGATGAAGTCAGACAATTTTTAACAGATTATGTGAAAGAAAACGATCTACAGGACCCTGAACACAAAGGGTATGAAATAAATCATTATAAAAAATATTTGTTCTTGCATGAGTTGAGCACATTGTTAATTTCTTATCTTTATATTATGTATTCCTTTTATGTAATTACCTGATTGATCTACTAGGATATGATCTTTAATACTACGTTCGTACAAGACAAAACCACAAAGACATTGCAAGAAATAAACAATAAATATCAAATCAAGTGAATAGCTCCAGGGGTCAGTTGTAAGCGTCCACAGCACTGTATAGAGTCCTGGGTCTGTAATGATACAGGCTTCAATTAAAATTAAATAAATAATAATAATTAGTGATTTACAATAAAGACGTAATAGAAATAATGCGACCGGTCTTGACGGTGGTCGTTTCCTTGATGGAGATAGTCTGCAAGTTGACGTCATGAGTTAAAAGGTCAAAATTTTTTAACAATAATATGGGCGATAATCTGGTAAAATTAATAACGAAAGTGTCATGAGCAAACAAAAGCAAAGCCCAACAGCGAGAACCTTCTGTGGTACAAAGGGATAAAACTCCCACTACATGCAAAACAGAGAGAGAGAAACAGGGTTTAACGTCCACTTGACACAAACTAGGTCATTTCGGGACTAACATATGGTTTAATTCTATTTCAATAATTCACTTGCGCGTAGGGGTCTTTAGCAGTGGGAGGAAACCGGAGGACCCGCAGAAAACCCACGAGGTTGGACAGGCGACCCTACTCCTTGTCACGTACAACCGGACATGCAAAACAAAATCGACAAGACAAACCTAAGGACAAGACAAAACCCCACAGACATGTAAGATATAGTATATCTGTATTATCTATTTTATGTTTCTTTTAGTGTGATCAAAATAGATCCTATATTGGGTGAAGTTCTCCTGAGGAAAACTGAAAATGATTCCTGCCTAAAATGGGAAGTGGCTAAATCAAGGTTTGTATAAAAATATGTTTTTATGTTTTAAATAATTAATTGTTGCATATGCCATCATTTGAATGTTGGTGTATACTGCTATTACTTCTAATGGTGTTTGGTCCATATTTGAAGTAACAGTCATCCAGTCTTTTGGAAATATATGGAGCTTGTATAGCTTATATAATTATGGTGATTAGTTTCAGGTTTAATGTCATTTTGAAGCTGGTTTTATATTTTATTGCTTTCTAAGGTAATAATTATCATCCAATCACCTGGCAACCTATGTTTGATTATTTGCAGGTTATTTGAAAAACTGCAGCCTGCTTTTCAGATAGTTTATCCAGGAAAACCTCCTATTTTAAAGAAAGGAAAGGTTGATCCTATTAAAATAGATGTTGTACAAAGATCAGGCAATAAAAAGGTAATTGTTATATAATTTCATTATCTAATGTGTTAAGAGAAAATCAAAGTTTAAGTGTGTAACAATATTGTAATATACTATTCAAAAAAAGTAGGGGATATTTGATTTTGGGGGCATAATACTAAAATATGCAAATGACTACGAAAAAAGTCACTATAGAACCTAACAGAAGAAACATTTCCAGTTACATGTGACGCCCAAACGCAGATCGGCACAACACAGGCGGTTGTGGCGCGGACGATGAATGTTTCTCAGTCTGTCATAAGCAGGCTATGGTCCAGATACCGTGATACACAATCTGTACAGGACAGACCACGCTCAGGTCGACCAAGGGCGACAACTCAAGCCCAGGATCGATTTATCCGTACCTTGGCCTTGAGAAATCGTGTCATCACAGCAAATCAGATCAGCGCTCGTCTTCAAACAGACACTGGTGTGAGAGTGAGTGGCCAGACGATTCGGAATCGACTGCATAGGGGTCACCTTCGCGCCCGACGTCCTCGCGTGATCCCTTGTTTGAGAGATCATCACATTCAGGCAAGACGTCGTTGGTGTAGGGATCGTCAACACTGGGATAATCGACGCTGGAGCAATGTGATGTTTTCAGATGAGTCAAGGTTCACTGTTGATTTTTTGGACAGACGTAGGAGGGTGTGGCGTCGTCGAAACGAGCGCTTCCAAGACGTTAACGTCATCAGACATGATCGATTTGGGGGTGGTTCTGTTATGGTGTGGGGAGGCATCACTGTTGCTGGAAGAACGGCTTTACATGTTGTTGCAGGGCGTGTTACAGGCCAGTACTACCGGGACAACATCTTGGCAGTCCATGTTGTGCCGTTCGCACGACGTCATGGCCGCCGTTTCATCTTCCAGAATGACAACGCAAGATGTCACAGGGCCAGGATCGTTACAGGTTACCTCCAACAACAGAACATCACCACATTACCTTGGCCAGCACTGAGTCCCGACCTCTCCCCCATCGAGCATGTCTGGGACATGCTTGGACAGAGGTTACGTCAACGTCAACAACGTCCTGCCAATGTCCAAGAACTTGCAACAGGAATGGGACAATCTGGACCAAAATGACCTTAGACGTCTCATTAGGAGTATGCCACGTCGGATCAATGCTTGTTTGGCAAACAGAGGAGGATTTACCCATTACTGACTTGGTTGTGATGCTGTGGTAACTTTGCTGTTTGACCCCGGGTATCATTTTACCCTTATAATGGTCAGTCTGTGCCTTACTTAGTCTAACGATCATTTGGAATAAATCGATGAATGTGAACTTCATTTCATTTTGTCATTTGTTTCTTCGTCAGTTTCATTAGGTGACTTTAATAACACTTAAAAATCAAATATCCCCTACTTTTTTTGAATAGTATATTATGTCGGCTTAACTCATTATTCTATAACAACACTTCAACTTACACATTAAAGGAGCTAAACCTTTTTGATTTAGATCAAAATAAAGTTTTCTGATATTTTAGTTTGATAATTGATGGAAAAAGCTGTATATTTTTAAATGTTTCTTTCGAAAGTTTAGGCAATATTTGTACTGTTTACGAGTTTTAGTTTCATTTTTGGAACAAAAAATCAGTTATATCTCAACATTGGCTTCATATGAGAACCTAAAATTTTATATTTACGCACATATCCAATGCCTAAAACTTATTGAACCAAATACAAATAAATTGACACTTTCACTCTTTACCCATATCAAAATGGCAATATCATTTTAAAGGAAAATGTAAAATGTTTTTATATATATATTTAAATTATTCAGCCATCATTAAAACTAGATCAAAAGAAGACAAGATTGAAATCTGATTGTATAATGGCCAATTTCTCTAGTGTTAGACTTAGAGTTATGGCCCTTGATCACTTTTGTTGGTACTCTAGCTGAAATGAAATTAAATGAAATGGGGTTTAACGTCCTACTGTTCTGCTCCTAACCTGGGCTAATGAAGACGGGCATACGCCATACAGTGTGCTATGAGGGAAATTTTGCCCGAGCAGCGGCGCTACGGCCTACTCTTATAACGAATTCCAACTGCCAAGGGATCTTTTACGTGCACACCAATGTGTACATGGGACCTCGGTTTTCCGTCCCATCCAAACGACTAGACAGCTGTCCTTGTCAGGCCCTCCGTCCTGCATCACCGACAAGGGGAAACCACGCCAGAAAATCGGGATGAACTTTCTCGGCCAATGCAGGGATCGAACACCCGACCGCCAGGCTAGCGAGCCAGCGTCTTACCCACTTAGCCACGTGATCCCCCTGGTACTCTAGCTAGAGGCTTAAGTTATCAACCTGCTGACTTTATTTATGCACAATGTGTATCTTCATGATGCGAAGAATATTTTTGAATTTAAATGATTTCTGATCGTTACTTTTCAAGTAATTGCCCTTGATGGCTTTGATAGTTATTGCCCTTGATCACTTTGAAAAATTTTAGGCTAGGAAGAAGCATATGAAATTGTAATGATTTCTGATCATTTCTTTTTAGTGCCTTATAACTGTTCAGGTAGCCTATAAAAGAACCATAAGGTGAAAACTTTAATGGGCTCTATTGTTTCCATTGCCTGGCAACCTGTCTTTGCATATATGTGACATCATCATAGAATCTTTACCACACAAAGTTTACACTGGTTACACTGGTTACCCTGTTTATAATTCAAAACAGCTTTCATTAGAGATACAAGAGCATTACAGGGAAAAATAAAATCTCAACAAAGATACATGTATTTGCATAATCTTAGGAATACTGTTTATTAATCACTTTTAATTTAAGAGGTTTATGCTTCATTATAATCAAAAAAAATATTATTCATATTCTAATAACTCTTTTGGCTTTGTACAATAACTCTGGTTGCTTTAGATAATCAGCAAGAATTTTTGTATAGATTTAATGGAAGTCTGTAGTATGGTATCATGGTTACACAATTGATTATGTACTTTGTGAGGTTATAAAATTAATGTTAAAACTGATCAAAGAATCGATTATTGATTGTTACCTTGTGGCACTTAATACCAGTGTATGTATTTAACATTATAACATATTGAACTAAAAGGCGTGAATTAATTAAAAAAAAGCTTTGATCTGTATCTTGATTGTCGCTTATTGATTTAAGTTGTTTTTTTTCAATATGTGTAACACTTGAGAAATTGGGTCTGTAGTATGTGAAATATAATGATTACTTTCTTTTATAAGATTAGAAATCTATTAATATATTACATTAAGAGACAAAAACTATTAAAGGAAAGTCTTAATTTCCCCTGGGTCTGTGAAAAAAAATCTTTAATTATTGCCTTTGACCACTTTGAAAATACTTCTGGATGCTCAAGATCCTAAAGTTAATCCCATAAAGCTATATTCCCTGGATCATACTTGGGTCAACTGTTAAACTTACTTTTATCTGCAAGACCAGGACACATCGAATTGTTATCTTAATGCACTAATTACTGGCAGGTTACAAGGTTACACCGGCACTCATCCATTCATCATCTGGCAAATGTAAAATGTAGTTAAAATTTGTAGATTTTCAAACTGTTTCCTTTGAAATGGCTCGAAAAAAAAATAATAGTGTTTTGGATAGAGATTAAGTTGCTGGACTGTCGACATAATTCTTTAAAATTGATTAAATCATATTTGAGTTATTTGCTGTTTAATTACAGGTGACTTTGATAGATAATGTAGAGACATTTGGTATAGATCCTGATAAATTTGCTCATACAATACAAGTGAAGAGAGCATGTAGTACAACAGTTAATCCTTCTGTACAAAAAAATAAAGGCTTACAGATCATGGCACAGGGAAACCAAGTAGATTTTATACAACAATTATTATTAGGTATGTGCCTTTCTTTTATGACTTTATGAGGTAGGATTTGATTGAAAGTTGACAATTTGTCCATAGATAAACATAGGGTTAGAATGTTCTCCGAGATTAATAAGTGATTTTGGTTACATATTGAATTTATAAACAATAATGTTGACGAGAAGAACTTCATCCATAATCATGTATTATCAGATGTCAGCTTCTTGCCTAAATGAACTATTTGTAAAATACTTACAAGCTTGGATGTAGTGTGGTTTACTGTGTAAGGCAAGTGTTAGTAAGACTTCCCATTATGAAGCACCAGCATGCATAATCACAGAGCATCTTGTGGGGCTTATAGTGATGTACTAGTATCTTTATCAGTGAATTGCTCTTGGCAACATTTCAATACCAACATTACAGATAGTACTCTATATACGAGATATTGTTTTGCAGTACACTTTTCTAATAATGCCTTGTATTGACTTATTATTGTCTGATATTGGCTGAATTCCTCCACCAGGCCCATGTCCCAAAATCATATTAGGCTGATGTTAAGTAAGACTTTGTTGTTTTATTATTTACTAAGAATTATTTATTTTGTATTTTTTGTAGAAAAATACAAGATTCCTGTTAGATTTATTCAAGGATTAGAAAAAGGAACAACAAAAAAGAAGAAGAAAAGATGAATTGAAGGATAAGAAATTGTAAATAAATATATGAATTATAAGTTGTCAGTTTTCGTAATTTACCCATTGCACAATGTCACATATGCCTATGGAGGAGTCAGTTAAGTCATATTTTTCTGAGCATCATAAATCAGACTTCCATGAAATGTAAGTTTGATTCCATGATTCTAGGGGACACTAAGTAGATCACTTGCATTATAAGCTCCTTGTTGATTGATTCCCCCACCCCCATCCCACATTAATGAAAAAAAGCAAGGTTCCGGTTATACCACTGGTAGCACATTAAGCCCCCGCCCCCAGGTCCCCCAGACAGTTTGACATCAAAATAGAGTGGGCTGTAGCACACCAGTCTTGGTTAAATTTTCCAGATAGAATATTTGAAAAACTAGTATATTAATAATTTCTTAAGCTAATGTCATTATTCTCCAAATAGATTCAGGGCCCCAAAAATAAAGGCAAAAAGTAAGATTCTTCAAACACTTTTGTTGACATATTTCAAGTGTTAATCCAGAACACCCTAATTTTCCCCTTCAAGGTGACACTTTTCCACCTATATAGGGCCAACCATTCACCCATGTTTGGTTTGAATCCAAGGAATTGCTTATGAAAAGCAAACAGAAATGTCTAAATTTGTGTATCAAGGTTCTCTATCTAGGCCCCAATAGATCCGAGTAAAAGCTTCTTTTTAAAAGAAAACATATGAATCGGCAATACGCGGTAAGGCGGTTTTAGAGATGTTAACAAACGGACATACAGGCATAGCATATTGTGGTCCTAGACCAAAAATGAAACTGCAGATTGTATGCTGACAATCCAGTTAGCAATTGCCGAGAATGTTCATTATGTCACGCAACCATTAAACCAACCCTGATTAAATTAATTCTGATATATTTACGCCTTTATGATATGGGATAGACGATTATAAACTATGTTAGTGTTATTTTCTTTTACAATTAATTAATCAAATCATATCATTATTACACTATACATTGTTACTTTAAAGGATGGGGCGAATAATACAAATAAATTGAAAAGTTTCACCAAATTTCATTTCATGCTTATTGGCTTATTGTCGAGTTTTAGATAAAAAGGGTATGTAAAGGCCTATTTTGCTGGTCGATTTACCCGTGTGAGTGGTAAACACCGTATTCTACTTAAATTAATCTGGATACCTGGTCAATAGTATTTCCTCGATATATCGTGTTAATATAATCAAACATAAAAAATCAATCATTCCCACCCCTAGCATGTTTCCGATTTCATTCAATACTCCATTAATGAAATACAGTTCAGGAGCTATACGCTACATGCGCGCTAACAAAACTCAAGGCGTACCCCGCGTGTATTTTCATTGATTTTAGAATACTTTTTTTTCATCAAATGTATGCAAATGCGTTAATGAATATTAATTTATATTTTTATTACTATTACTGAAAGTTTGTTGGAAATCATATTCTTATATTAATCTGTACGACACAGTGTGCTACGTCAAAGAATCGTAAAGCAAATTTGGATCATTGGAAATGTTTAACACTTTGATTTGGATATCTTTTTTGTGCGTAACAAACATACAAAGTGCCAAAGAGAAAGGTATATTTGATATTTTTAAAATTATGAAGTTTTCCAATATTGAAATGGAAACAACGGGGTTGGTTTCAGTATTTATCCTCCCACATTTTATGTCCGTCTGTCGACAATTCTTGTAACGCTCTACCGATATCAGTAAGTTAATTTTATGCCGAGTTTTTGCTTCTGTAGCGAAAACTTTATGAATGCTGTATGGGGCCGCGGTGGCTAGTAAGTAAGGTTAGCTCACTAACCAGGAGGACCCGAGTTCGATCCCGGTCTTGCCTGCCGAGACAGTAACTCGGGTTTTTCCTGCGTGGTTTCCCCGCTCAGTAATGTAGGGCGGATGGACTGCCATTGAAAATAATGTAGTCTTTCGGATGGGACACAAAACCAAGGTCACGCGTAAACGTTGACGAGCACGTAACACTATAATAGAGACTTTTGGCAAGCGTAAATTCCTGGTCCGTATCGAGTATCCGCATCGATTTTGCGTGTGATGTCACCGATGTGTGTGTATTTCTCATACATGATACGGCACATGGATACGACAGCACGTATCGAACAGCTTTCATACGGAAAAGATCCGTATAAAATCCTCGTCTTTTTACCGTCCTTTTTGCTACTTTTAGACGCTGAAATGTTGTGCCATACCGTTTTTATGAATCTATGTGTATCCTAGAACAAGAAGGTGCATATTTGATGTGATTTAAACCATGATAAAGACTTGAATTTTATACTTATTTTTCATGAGTTTTTCTCTGAATTTTCATATTTTTCTTGTCTGCCTGCCTGCCTGTCTGCATGCTGGTTGGTGTACGTTCTAAATTTAGGGAGGTGGGACCTTGCAAATCAGTAAATGATTTTATTCTATGGTAAAGGGGTATAAACTTTCTGAAATGATACCATAGTGAGTCGAAGTCGAAGATTTTTAATAAGATTCGATATTAAATTTATTTTTTATAGCTCAGCGACTGTCGAGCGACTTTACTCCCTCCATGAATTTGTAGACTAGGCACTTGACTGGTACTGATGGTGATCTTGGTAGATGACTGCCGTCATGCTATAATAGAACTAAGCTCAACTCAGCTACGCATACGTACGCGGCGCGAAAATCTGCCAAAACTCTAAAACTTGACGCAAGGTATCACGTGACGATACGGATACGTGATACGGATGGGGAAAATTCCTCTTGCCAAAAGTCTACATTGCCCTTATAAAGCTCGGTTCATACTACATCCGTATCCATAAACGTATCCGTATCCGCACCCGCATCCGTATCCGCGTTTTGCCATTAAAATAGAAAACGTCCGGCTTTCAAGGCTGAATTGTCTGTCAGAGATTGAGTTTCTATTTGGGTAGATGATGTAATAAGGGGAAAGTACTCGCTGATTTGCTAAAGCTCGGCTCACTAGCCGAAATGCGGACGCATTTTACAAAAATACGCTCTGGGAGCAATCAATCCGGCTTAACGGACGCAGTTGTTTTTGTGCGCAATACGTGCTGGATTCTATTTGAACCCTTTTTCTACCCTTTGCTACCAGAGCGTATTTTTGTAAAGTGCGTCCGGCATTTCGGCTAGTGAGCCGAGCTTTAGCCAATCAGCGAGTACTTTCCCCTTATTACATCATCTCCCCAAATAGAAACTCAATCCATTCCAAGAAAAGCCTGGCCTTGTGTGCTGTGGATTTGTGTAGTCTTGTGAAGAACACAACATGGACAAGACAGAGGAAATAATCATCCTTGTGGAGAGAAATCCCATAACAGTTCATGGACCCCTACTGTCGTTTTTCTCTTTCGTCTTTGGGTCCACAAATACAAAAGAAAGACTTCCTCTGTGTCACTGTCAGACTCCATGATTGCAAATGACAATATGATATCTCTGACAGACAATTCAGTCTTGAAAGCCGGACGTTTTCGCGTTTTCTATTTGAACGGCAAAACACGGATGCGGGTGCGGATACGGATGCGGATACGTTTATGGATACGGATGTAGTATGAACCGAGCTTAAAAATGACTAAAGTATACCAGTACGTATTCACTCACGCATTTACAGATACGGATACGGATGTAGTATGAACGGACCTTTAGCCTGGATAGAGCAGAAAAGTAGGACGTTAACGTCCTTTTTATTTTATTTCATTTCGCTTTTGCAGGGATCGTTTGGTATATTTTACCGAGGAACTCTATCGACATTTTAATAATGTGCAGCGCATAAGTTTATGCGGAGTTATTGTCATTGAAACCTATGGCCGCTGTTGGTGACATCGACAAGTCGCGGCACGCAAGTCGAAAAAATCAACCCAATAACGCGACAAAATAATCAAACATTCGATTTGTCGGGTCAACTCTATCGACTGTCGCCTTCGGCTTATTCACATCCCGACAAGTCGACAAAATACAATTATTTCGACTGGTCGTGCCGCGACTTGTCGCCCCGGAAGTTAATCCTTGCAATGCCGCGATGGTGACAAAGGCAACTGCAAACAAGAAGCTCGAGTTCTTAACCGAAGATAATATTGTTTGTTAGATATAAATTACACTTCCGTGTCGAAATCTGATGAAGAATACCGACGGATGACATGTCGGTGCTAAGAACTCGAGCTTTTTGTTTACAATTGCCTTGAGATAAATTGGATGGTGTTTTTTTTTAAAATTTGTTAGGGTTATTCGGCTAGTTCGTTCTTTCGCGTGAGTTAACGCCCGCTTCCACGTAAGATGCTATCGCAGACAAATGTTTCTTATGTAACGTACAAGAAGAGTCAGTGGGGTTTGAGAGGCTAATCCGACATAGGTCGGAAAAGGAGGAACTTAAAAAGGAAATTCGGAAAAGGGGGGAACTTAAAAGGAAATTCGTTACCCCATCCCCTATGTACAGGTATAGTCGTACCTTTTGCGACATAATAAGGCAAAATATTTTGTTGTCTACAAGTACAAGCCCACAAAACACTAAAAACATTGACAGGAATCTAAATAATTAGTAGGATTTGTATTGCAATTCTTTGTCCTTGTCAGAGCAAATTCCCGAGGCTATGGTATCTTTCAGTTAACCTTTTCGGAAATGTATAGTTCATTTCAACCTAAATGGCACTGAGAGAAGTTGTGAATTGAAATCTTGTGAGGATTTTAAAAATGCACGAAGAGATAGGCCCAGTCGACGTAGAAACCGAACTCAGAGGACGATTACTAAGCTCATCAGAAACAACACTTCATAAGTATAGGGATTGTTTATGAACCGATGATGCTCGTAACCATTGCTTCATAAATATGTGGTCGCAGATTTTCAGAATTACTTAGAAACTTTGCAAAATAAAATGTTCACTGTAAATGCATTTAGGATATTGTTTTATTAGCCTTTCGGCATAAACAATTAGTCATTTTAGATTTCTTTGCCTAAAGCGGTTTATGGATTTCAACGACATTTTTCGGTATAGTACTGTGGAGATGTTTGTTTAGATTATTGAATGAATTTCTTTTAAAGTTGGTAAGAACATGGACCGTGTATTAACGAAAATCAGCCCGAATGTTGCTTACCTTGTGGTTATTTAGATTTGTTCAAATAAAGCCCCTTTACCCCATCCCATAGAAGTGTGAGTGTGTTTGGCGGCGGGGGTGGGGGGCACATTATTTGAGCTAATTTGGGGGATTTCGACTTCTCCTTAACTGCTTGATTGTTTCAAACATATTATGGAGGTATGTTGATTGATTTGAGCTTGTCCAGACTTTTTTCAGATAGGGTAATGTGACCGGAAAGAGGCATATTCGGGCGTTTTCGATTTCTTTTACCTAAAGTACTCGCACTTAAAACAAAATTTGTAGATATGATGCCTTGATGGTCGATTTGTTATTAACAATGTTAAAGTAATGTCGCTTCACTCCATGGCTTCTTGGTTGCATGTTTCGCACTGAAATGGCCTTTTCCACTATCGTAATTAAAAGAGTTTTTTAGGCTACAAGGAAAAGGGCTGTGTTATCCCAACACGCCTGTGCGAAATGTCCTATATTGTTAAACCCCGTCTCCCTGTTTCTTTCTGATTAATTTGAACGCTCAAATGTTCCAGCTATAACACTATGCGCGCAAATGGACCGACAATCATATTTTGAGACATCGATTGGGGATAGGGGGGTTGGATGGCCGAATGGTTAGCGTTTGCGCGTTGTATCATAACGTCTGTCATTGAGTTAAATGGCGTGGTTTTGATTTCCCGGTTTTACGTGACAAGGAGTAGGATCGCCTGTCCAACCTCGTGGGTTTTCTTCGGGTCTCCCGCTTTCCTCCCACTGCTAAAGACCCCTACGTGCAAGCGAATTATTGAAATAAAATTGTACCACATAAGTTAGTCCCGAAATGACCTAGTTTGTGTCGAGTTGACGTTAAACCCCATTTCTCTCTCTCGAATGAGGATCTGTGGCCTTTAAAACACGTACATACAATTAGAACTTATTCCATGGTTACTCATGGGCGAAACCATCTCGAACGTACATAAAACCTGAACTTAATTGCGATGGTTTAATGTTGTAATTTGTTGAGTCTGCTGAATGTATTAGATAATTTGATGGTGACATTCTGTTTTTATGTTTTATATTAAGGTCGTCTATTCGCATATTCAATGAATAATTTACAGGACACAATAAAATGTTGTTTACATGAAGTAGAATACCAGAAAAGAGATTGTCGGAAGTTTATTATCTATGTTACGTATCAGTGAATTTAATAGCCGCGAGTATTCTTTTGGTATCCAGACACCACAGTTATGCAATATGAAAACCTGCACGATCACGCAATAAAATTGTTTGAAATATTCAGAGAACAAAAAGTAATTTACTCCATTCGATGCGTGGAATTAATTCTTATAACGGTTTTAAAAACCTATCGATGCTTGATTGAATCCCTGCCATCAAACCATAATATGATTGAGACTACCTTCGTTTACTTAATACAAAGTAATTCTTAATGCAAGTATAAGAATATCCGATTTTCTTGTGGACCTCAAATATTGGCTTTCATTGATATGGACCTTTCGTGTACTTTTATATAAAAATCGCTATTAGTATAGGAAAACATTGTATTCCATGAAATGAACTTCTTAATTTTACTTTTGATAAAGCATGGACTGTAAATAATTTTGCTGAGTTAATGTCGATTATATCTCGTTTAGATTTCTTATTCTCAAGCTGTATGTATTTGATTGGAAAACTACCCGTTAGAATTACAAATGGATTTCAGTTAGCCAGTAGTACATAGTGGTTGTCTATTTTGTTCTCTAAAAAAGAACCTCAAACCCTCAAAATCAGCAAATTAACTTACAGCAGAACAAGAAAAACTTTTAATAGCTTATTTAAAGTAATCTTTCATTTGACGAAACTTTAAACCCCATTCCTTTGTTAGTTAAATCAAATCAGTCAAAATTTGTAGAATTAATCTGTAAGATCCACTAATGAATCACACCCCAGTGAGTGTATCATCATCTTTCATGTTTTGAAAAATCAGAACATTGAACAGAATCAGCGTCACAATTTGTCAACAATTTCTTGTAGAAATGCTTGAGAGTAAAATTTCTAAGAAATTGGTGGTTCTTGAGGGTTTTACTAACCTAGGAAATGCTAACGCTTTGAAACAATTTATTGACGGTGCTGGGTCATGGGATGTTTTTTGGTCGGTGTGTCCAGAGTATGATCATTGCTAGCCGAATTAAAATGTTTCTAGTTATACGTGACTGGCCTCGACCGTACAACTAAATAATAGTTGCTAACTCGACCATGCAGTTTTACTGTTTGGGAAATAATAATTGCCACAACCGAATTCCGGAAGTTTTTTTCTTGGCGTTGGTGTGAATATTACAGCTTATATAAATAACATCCTAAACTATAAATGATATGTTCTACTTTCTATGTGCGAAGGTTTGTAGACAGATTCATAATTTCAAAAACAGTGTAGAGCGGCCAACTGGTAACTGCCAATTTACCAGAATAAGAACCCAATCCAGGAGTTACCTAGGAGTTAAGAATATTTTATAGATGTTCCTAGAGTATAGATCTGGTATCTCGGTGTTAGTTCGACTAATCTGACCTTATAATAAATATATTGTGTTTCTAACATTTAGAGACCGATGCTAGGAGTCCATGCTTCCATGCTATAGTTACCAATAAGTATAGTATAGCTGAAGTATCGGGAATCGAAAAAGGCTTTGATAAAGGTGTTACCCTGTGAAACAGCGGGAAATAACAGGCTAAATTTAGCATTTCTTCTGTTTACTAAAATCATAATTCAGCCAAGTAATTCATTTCATCTGTATTGACAAAATATATCATGGGCACTTCCATGCTCCATAACAGTTTCGATAATAGAGGTTCTTCGGGGACGAAAGTGATTAGACAAATGGAATATTTTGTATTTGCAATAATTTAAAGGAGCTAAATCGATAATATTTGGGACCAAGAAATTGACCCAAATGGGTCGCAACGCATATAATAATGTAATCTGATTGTATATAAACTGATTTACATCCAATTGTTTCCGTTTGGACTCTAATTTCAAATCAGTTATGTCCATCGAAATACGGCATGAGTCTCAACCGAATAGCAATTTCTAGCGTCTTTTTATTCCAGTCTATTGTGCATGCTTCCAGATAAGATATGTCGTCACTGTTTGACACGAGTTGTGGAATATGCCTAGCCTCGTTCTTTCTGGTCACTTGTTACAAATGACGCTGGTAAAATGTTTATTTTGTCTTAAATATTGGATATCAGAAACCTACCTTTTCCTGGTAAGATTACAACATCAATGTTGATTTGAATTGACAAATAATTTGTATTTTCAACGTGTAAGACTTTGGATGATATTGAGTTAGAGACTTAGCTACTTTAACTAAAATATTGGAAAATGTTGATTAATAATGCTGTCTTTTATTATTCTCTTGTAACAGCAAGCACGCCTTGTCCCGGTTCCAACTATGCTCAGCTAGCAGATACATGTTATTATTTCTACGATAATGCCAAGACTTGGTGGAATGCTGAATTATTCTGTGAGGAAAATGGAGGAACCCTATTAATTTTTCAAGAAAAAGATGAAATAAAATTGGTGAAAAAAGAAATTAAAAAGATAGCAAAAAATCTGTACGTATCATATCCAAAAAAGTTTTAGAATAAATTTGTTTCGGAATATTAAATAATGATGTAAGACTTTTAAAACTATTCTTTTCACCATATGCCTATATTATAAGAAGTGAAGGAGTGGGTTATTTAAGAGAAAACCCTGCCTTGTGTCATGTTTCTGGCTTTAAATGTTATATAAATTATTTATATACATTAATTTATCCCAAAGGCCAAGTCCCGAATTACATGTAACTCTTTAAGCCATCGGATGACTAAGATATTTTAATTGGATTTGAGCACATATTCCGTTTATTACCACAGCAATGACGATCGAGACCTACTATTCGTGTCAAAGCTTCATATGTTCATAATTTCGCCGAGAATAAAGTAAATTGACTGAAATTTTGAACACATTCATTATTCATTATCTGTTTTTAAACTAGTGTAATGGGAACGACTAGCTCTTTATCTAAATCTTACATAATGCATCTTTAAATAATGAATCCTTGTTGACGAAATGATTTTTAAGCAAATGTTACTGTTATTGATTTCCATAGACAAGAGACGGCACAATTTTGGCTTGGATTAAAACATAACGCCGATGACGACAAGTTTTACTGGTCTGATGGGTCAGATTTAACACGCAAGAACTGGATAAACAAACTGGATGATAAAATTATAACCCCAGGTCAATGTGTAGTTATACAAGCCAAAGAAAACTCCGGTGCTGGAGCGAAGAAGTGGGAAACCAAATCATGTGAAGAAAAACTACCATTCGTCTGTGAAATAGAACTTTGTAAGTATATGAACCGAGCATGACGTAATCGCAGCCATCTTGGAATTATGACGCCATATCAAAAATCGAAATCAGCCAGTCGATGTGTAAATTATTGTCCAAAACAAAAGCATGTCCATCGGACGGAGCGTTAATGATTTTTTCAAAGAGCTTAGTCCTCAATGGAAAGATGAACAGCAGTTCGGGTCCAAAATCAGCAATCCTGTTTCTGGCTAAAACAAATTACTACCAAAATAAACTTGATCTATTCTTTTTTTTTAAAAATGGAACAGAATTTCAGTTATGATCGATCAATGCCAATGGATCAACATTATTGTAAAAATGGATATGTCGCTTTATATTGTAGCGATGTCTAGATGGTCGGTATGGAGTTCATGGGGTGAATGTTCATCATCGTGTGGACCTGGTCGAAAGTCAAGAAGTCGGAAATGTTTAAGACCCACTTCAGCTTCTGATAGCTGTAGCGGAATATCATCAGATACATCATCGTGTAATAAAGCTTCTTGTCCAGGTATAGTAAAGAGTACACTGTTAAAAATGGGTGTAATTAAAAACTATAAGCAGTGTTAATTAAGTGTAAACTTTGCACCACAGCTAGCGTTGTTAAAAGAACTACACCTAACAAGTGTAACAAATATTCATTACTACTGAACACCTGAATAGGTGTAATTGTGGCGTGTTTTGGATAAGCTACACCACTACATGTGTTATACTCCATTTACACCAAAGGGTGTAACTATTATTGGGGAATAAATCATAGAACAGCGTTAATTTTACAGCGTTTATTGGGTTCCAAAAGTGTAATCGATATTCATGAGTACTGAACACCAGGATAGGTGTAATTGTAGCCGCTAATGGGTGTTTGGTTTGAGCTATCCATATACAAGCGTTACATTGCATTTACACCAACAGGTGTAATTATTTTAGGGAAACATTCCTACGAATAAGATACGTTACAAAAATATTTGTGTACTCCAATTTAAGTGGGTTTTTTTTTGTAAAATATGGCTTTAATTGCACTAGTAACACAACTATAACTCATTTTAGAGTGTTTACTCATAACGAGTAAAGTATAGATTATTTTAGCTTGTATACACTTAAAGACGTGTAAATGTTCCAAAATATTACCAAGTACAAAATCTTAATTAATAATTCTTGATTCAGGTGAGGTGCATAAATAAATAAACCACATTATTCAGCCAAGATGTAAGGATATGTGCATTGATTTTTCATCATGATTTATATTAATTGTAATTTGATGCAGATTGTCTAATTGCCCAACAGCAGTTGAATTTGAATCAGTCTGATGGGTATTTGTCAATTTAATGTCATTGTAAAATGAAACACAGTAGCCGACGGGCTATATGTAATCTGGGTCGGGCTAAACGCCCTATACTAATTATCATGGAGATCAATAGCCAATTTCATGTTTTCTGAACTTAGAAATCGTTGGCTTGAAATAAATATCCAACAAAACAAATTACACCCGTGTTGGTGTAATAATTAAAATGGAAGTGTAATTTACAAATCATCCTTGAGGGGATACCCACGGTGTAAACTATTTATATGTAACATTACACTGTCTGAGTGCATCAGGCAGGTTACACTACTGGAAGTTGCAATTAGTTTACACCTGAATTGGTGTAATGTTCTACACTAGTTGGGTGTTATCGGTTTACACCACTAAAGGCTAGGAGTTACCCCTATTTAGGTGGCAACGCCGAATTGGTGTAAACTTCCTTATTATTTTTAACTGTGTAGTAAGACCTACTTCACACCGAACCCATCTCTATACAATATTAGGACTAACATAATCTCTTGAAGCCTCTCTGTGCAAAAGCGATTCGACATGATTGACTGAGTATAAAAAGAATTACTATAGACGTGCATACATTGTCTGCGATATCACTTCTGTGGAAGCAGACGTTAAAGCACCAGATAGTAGTAGTAGTACGGGCATACACCATGCAGTGTGCTATGAGGGAAATCTAGCCCGGATAGCGGGGCTACGACCAAGGGATCTTTTACGTGCACGTCAATGTGTACACGGGACCTCAGTTTTTTTCCGCCCGAAGTACCATAATACGTTGTCCATTGCCAGACCCACTCTCCTGCACTACTAACAAGGGGAACCACACCGGAAAATTCATATGAACTTTCTCGGCCAACGCAGGGATCGAAAACAGGACATCCAGGTTAGCGAGCCAACGTCTTACTCACTGAGCACCGTGGCTCCTGTAGATAAAGAAGCGACCTATTTAGCTCCAATATCTAGCCCCAAAGTATCAAAGTAGATTACGGTATTTCATCGAATTATTCCACCCTTTTCGATATTTTAGTGATTGTCAAAAACACAAGTCTATGTTATTGCGCCCTGTAGTTTTAGTAGTGACGGGTGTCCCACATCTTTGTCTAGTCATTCTAGAAGACACGATGTCATGTCTTAATCGTTGGTAGTTGTGTTATGCCTTTGTTTGAAACTCAATTCTTATCTTACTAACGAAGTTTAGTGACCCAACATTAATAAAAGCTTTACCAGGTTCAAACATAGAATAAAATCGATACAACAATTGTGTTTCTTAATTGAGAAATGCAAACGATATCGATTTTTTTTCATTTATCAGGCGTGTGATCAGGGGGAACTTCCGGAATATTCATCGAAATAACGTCGATCAAATAAACGTGCGAAACATTGCCGCCGTGTTGGCGCCACTCCACTCTTTTCCTATATATGTAAGATCTAAATGAGCAAAAATATTGTCTAAGAGCTTTTGGTAAAAAATTTTGCCTCCACACCAAAACTTGATGACATCTCCACCCCACCCCCTCTGTTCATATTCATGGACACGCCTCTGTTTTTACATTAACTAATATAATTATTTAACAGAATATCTTTATGTTATAAACTTTACCGTGCCCTACTTATGACGCATGGAGCCTTATCGTTTCTACAGCACAGGATTAACAATAAGCCTTGGTAATAATTGAACGCATCGTTCTTTGGAGGGATCGGGTATTTTGTCTTAATTCGAATCAGTGATGACCCCTGAGCACCGTATTTAAACCTGGCTAAATCCAGCCTAAACTCTCGACCATATAATAAAGCGGAAATACCTTAAGGGCGTTCACACTGACTTGTGGATGCCCCCTCCCCTGAAATCTTGGCTCCATTACCACCACCCCCCCACCCCAAGCGGGCCTCTGTGAGAGTCATGCGAACAAAAGTAAAAACTTTGCAATTGATGGCGGAAATAGCGCCAAGTTATAAGAAAAAAAAATTCCAGTCCATAAAGTAATTTTAAATTGTTAGCAAGCGCTGATTGATGATGTAATAACTCAATAAATTTTAAATTAGGACGACCGGGCTTCAAATAAAAAAACAAAAATTAACCATATCATGTTTTTTTTCGGTGGAGTGCTTTCTCGTTGTTGTTTTGTTGTTGATCAATGAAACCAAACTGGGCACGTTTTATTTCTATTTAGTTGAAGAATGGAAAAAGTGGACGGAATGGAGTGGATGTAGTGTTACATGTGGCGATGGACAGCAAGTCAGAGAAAGAACTTGCAGCAATACTATAGAAATTCATATTAAAATGTGGGCGTATAAAATGACCTTTTGTCTCTTTTCCGGTATGCAAGAAGCCTTCCGCTTTTGTAACTTTTGCTAATATAAGTTTATTTTGCTAATATAAGTTTATTTTGCTAATATAAGTTTATTTTTCAGATTGGAGTGAGTGGTCTAATTGGGGTAGTTGTTCTGTATCTTGTGGTGAAGGTAAAAAAGAAAGATCTAGACAATGTTTAAATTCAAAACGCGGATCAGATTGTTCAGGCAGTTCTAAAGATACAGCTTCGTGTACACAAACATCATGTCCAGGTAAAGTACGAGTTATTTTGATTTGGAAAAAAATTGAAACATAGAGGCTTTCAAATGGCTCCTACATATGGCGAACCGAACTCACCAAGCACAGTAATTTAGGATTTAGCTCTCAAAATCACTGCGTTACCAATAAAGCTTCCAAACTGATCGACGGTTTCGTACCAGTTTAAAATACCATTTAAAGTAGCTAAATCTCTGACTCAATATCATCTAAAGTCTTCGACATTGAAAACGCGAATTATTTGTCAATTTAAATCAACATTGATGTTGTAATCTTACCGGGCTTCTAATATCCAATATTGAAGACAAAATAAACATTTTACCATTGGTACACGAATCGTACACCATATTGCGTTTTACCGCCATTTGTAACAAGCGACTCGAAGAACGAGTCTAGACATATTCCACAAGTCCTGTCAAACGGTGACGATATATTCTTATCTTTTGTTGTGATGTTCTTAGTGTTTAACGTCTGCTTCCACCGAAGGTGGTATCGCAGACAAGTCTCTTTTTTTCTCATTATCTTAACGCACGCGCAGTGGTCTTTCCTGTGGGAGTGAACCGGAGTAGGTTGAGAAGGTGCCGCTATCTCCAAGCCACATACGCTCACACCAGGGATCGAAACCACGACAGCGAGCCAGTGGTGACCGGTCAGCTAGAGGTCGAAGCGTGACACTCTAGACCACTAGCCCCCCCCCCATTCTTATCTGGAGAGCATACGCAATAGATACTATCGATGTAGACTGGAATAACCAGACGCTAGAATTTGCCATTCGATTGAGACTGCTGGCATATTTCGCCGAACATAACTTACTTGAAATCGAGTAAAAACGGAAACCGTTGAATGTAAATCAGTTTATATACATTCCTATTACATTTTTATATGGGTTGCGACCCATTTGTATCAATTTCTAGGTCCCAAATATTAGCGATTTAGCTCCTTAAGAAGGGTAAATACCAAAACATGAGTTATTGATGAATAAGCCTGTGATAGTGGAAGACACAGACATTTCAGAATGCAGTTGCTTAGAAAATCTACATAAAATGTGTAATTTCTTGTCATTTTCCGTGATATTTTTTAATCCCTATCATGCTGATGAAGCACAGAGGGTCCTTTCATTGAATAAAACGTGTTCAATTATTCTTTTTTTTTTTACACCATTTATAACGAATTTATAACCAATTACATTCCTTAAAATAAAATTAAGTTTCTCTACGAAGCGCTAAGCTGAACCTAGAGACAATCACGGAACCCAATTAACAATAACCATTTCTTTTTCGCCTTTTCCGGGCGTAAATAACCTTCTCCATTTGTAAATTTTGCCAATAGAATTATATTTATTTCAGAATGGAGTGAGTGGTCTAATTGGGGTAGTTGTTCTGTATCTTGTGGTGAAGGTAAAAAAGAAAGATCTAGACAATGTTTAAATTCAAAACGTGGATCAGATTGTTCAGGCAGTTCTAAAGATACAGCTTCGTGTACACAAACATCATGTCCAGGTAAAGAGTCATCGTTATGATTGTGTTGAAACTGTCGTGGTTTTCAAGTCGAACCCATATACAACGCGCATAATTTCTCATCTCTGTTTGTTAAGATTTTTCTTTTTAGCTGCTGGTGATGTGCGTAACAGGAAATCTGTCTGCCCGTTACATTTTTGGTGCGATATAATAACTCTAATTAAGATAGAATGTTCAACGGTGGTGTAGATGTTCAGTTTTTGAATACCATGACCGAGTTCGAAGATGACTTTGTCTGCTTATAGGTTAGGCAGAGATGATCAATTTGATTGGTCGAGACTTTGTAGCACACTCAGTAAGCTGGTGAATGGTGTACTTGTATATTGCTGATTGTGAAATTATGAAAGGAAAATTAAAATCACGTCAATATTAAATGTGGTCGTATAAAAATGATTTCTGGGCCTCTTTACCGAGCTTTCCCTTTTGTAAATTTTGCTAATATATTTCATTTCAGACTTGGGTGATTGGTCTAATTGGGGGAGTTGCTCTGCGACTTGTGGTGAAGGTAAAAAGAAACGATCTAGACAATGTTTAAATTCAAAGCGTGAAACAGATTGTTCAGGCAGTTCTGAAGATACAACTTCATGTACACAAACTCCATGTCCAGGTAAAGTATGAGTCGACGTTCGGGCGTATACACTCATAGCCTGTGGGATTTTCTGACATTAGTTTTTTTAATAGTCGACAACTTTGTTGCTATACATCACTAAATAAAGGAGAGCAACGCAACTGGTAACTATAGGCCCTACGCTGGTTTATAAAGGGAAATCAAATTTAAAACCATTAATACAAAAATGCAAATTAGTTCGTGGACTTCAGCATACCAACGCTGGCGAACAAATAACATAATTTGCTCTTCAAAAAAAAAGTAGGGAAAATTCAGAAACAATACAAAACTGCGGAAATACACTGCTGTTTTTATTGGAGGTAACCAGTGTATGTTAATAACAGGCCAATTGCCTACACATGAACATAAACATTTCATATGGGCGGCTTATCTGACAGCACCATTTCGATCGCAAAGAGATACACTGTCATGGTGATTCCTCCCCACATCATAACAGACCCACGCCGAATCTGTTATGCTGTCTGAAGTTAACGTTAGCATGACGCTCATTTACACGCCTCCAAACGCGAGCACGACTATCAGTGAAATCCAGAGTAAATCTGTACTCATTTGAGACGATTACCCCAATTTCTAAGCTGTCTACACCATTGACGCCTGTTTGTCATGTGCTGGCGAGTTAATTGACGCACAACACGCGGTCATCGCGCATGCAAATGGGCTGTATGTAGCCGATAATTCTTTTTTTGAATCATTTATAACGAATTTATAACCATTTACATTCCTTAGAATAAAATTAAGTTTCACTACGAAACGCTTAGCTGAACCTAGCTTTTTTTTTTTTACATAATTTATAACGAATTTATAACCATTTACATCCCTTAAAACAGAATTAAGTTACACTACAAAACGCTTAGCTGAACCTAGCGACAATCACGCCCCCCAATTAGTCATAACCATTTCTTTTTCGCCTTTTCTTAGTGTGAATAACCTTTTCCATTTGTAAATTTTGCCAATAAAATTAAATTCTTTTCAGATTGGACTGAATGGTCCAATTGGGGTAGTTGTTCTGTATCTTGTGGTGAAGGTAAAAAAGAAAGATCTAGACAATGTTTAAATTCAAAACGTGGATCAGATTGTTCAGGCAGTTCTAAAGATACAACCTCCTGTACACAGACACCATGTCCAGGTAAAGAGTCATCCTTAAGATTGTGTTGCAACTGTCGTGGATTTCAAGTCGAATTCATAAACAACGCGCATAACTTCTCATCTTTGTTTGTCAAAATTGTTTTTTAGCTGCTGGTGGTGTGCGTAACATAATAACTTTAATTAAGGTAGAATGTTCAAAGTTGGTTTTGATGTTCATTTTTTGAATACCATGATCAAGTTCGATGATGACTTTGTCTGCTTAGTAGGCAGAGATGATCAATTTGATTGGTCAACACTTACGTACTTATAACTCTTGATTTTAATTCACGTTAAATATTTCCGTATTAGTAATGTTCTTATATGGCTATAAAGTCTAGATAAGATGTAAACATTCTAGCGTAGTGTAGTATACTTAGTAAGCTGGTGAATGGTGTAGGTGTACATGTATATTGCTGAATGCGAAATTATGAAAGGAAAATAAAAACCACGTCAATATTAAAGGAGCTATATCGCTAATATTTGGGACCTAGAAATTGACCCAAATGGGTCGCACAGCATATAATAATGTAGTCTGATTTACATTCTATTATTTCCGTTTTGACTCTTAATTTCAAATTTAGTTATGTCCATCGAAATAAGGCATGTGTCTCAACCCTATAGAAATTTCTAGCGTCTGGTTATTCCAGTCTATTGAACAGGCTCTCCAGTTGAGTATGTCTAGCCTCGTTCTTTCTGGTCACTTGTCGCAAATGACGCTAAAACGCACTATGGTACACGATTCGTGTACCAATGGTAAAATGTTTATTTTGTCTTAAATATTGGATATCAGAAGCCTGCCTTTTCCTGGTAAGATCACAACATCAATGTTGATTTGAATTGACAAATAATTCGTATTTTCAACGTGTAAGACTTTAGATGATATTGAGTTAGAGACTTAGCTACTTTAAATGTGGTCGTATAAAAATGATTTCTGGGCCTCTTTGCCGATATGCAATGAGATTTCCCCATTTGTAAATTTTTCTAATATATTTTATTTCAGACTGGAGTGATTGGTCTAATTGGGGGAGTTGCTCTGCGACTTGTGGTGAAGGTAAAAAGAAACGATCTAGACAATGTTTAAATTCAAAGCGTGAAACAGATTGTTCAGGCAGTTCTGAAGATACAACTTCATGTACACAAACTCCATGTCCAGGTAAAGTATGAGTCGAAGTTCTGGCGTATACACTCATACCCTGTGGGATTTTCTGACATTAGTTTTTTTAATATTCGACAACTTTGTTGCTATACATCACTAAATAAAGGAGAGCAACGCAACTGGTAACTATAGGCCCTACGCTGGTTTATAAAGGGAAATCAAATTTAAAACCATTAATACAAAAATGCAAATTAATTCGTGGACTTCAGTATAAAGAATACCAACGCTGGCGAACAAATAACATAATTTACTCTTCAAAAAAAGTAGGGAAAATTCAGAAACAATACAAAACTGCGGAAATGCACTGCTGTTTTTATTAGAGGTAACCAGTGTATGTTAATAACAGGCCAACACATGGACATAAACAGTTCATATGGGCGGCTTATCTGACGGCCCCATTTCGGTCGCAAAGAGATACACTGTCAAAAGTGAAAATGGACATTTTTGATTTTTGTCTTAATAATGAGTAATTGCTCCACCAATCCCCAGACATTCGGCAATTCGTCGTGGCATGCTCCTAATCAACCATCCAATCACGATTTGGGGGCAATCTGACCCTCTCCTATTGCAGTGACTCTGCCAATTCGTGCAGTGTTGTCGGTTGACGTTGACGTCTCCCTATCATGTCCCAGACATGGTCTATAGGGGAAAGGTCAGGACGCATGGCTGGTCAAGGCGTATGGACAATATGGTGACGCTGGATGTAGTCATTCACGAAACGAGTGCGGTGGGCACGGGCATTATCATCTTGAAAGATGAAACGTTGACCTGCACGTTGAGCAAAGGACAGAACTATCGGTGCCAGGATGTGGTCACGGTAGTACACACCAGTGGCCCTTCCTTGAACAATATGCAAGTCCGTTCTGCCAGTCATATGCACATCATAACAGACCCACGCCGAATCTGTCATGCTGTCTGAAGTTAACGTTAGCATGACGCTCATTTACACGCCTCCAAACGCGAGCACGACTATCGGTGAAATCCAGAGTAAATCTGTACTCATCTGAGACGATTACCCCAGTTTCTACGCTGTCTACACCATTGACGCCTGTTTACCATGTTAATGGAGGCACAAGACGCGGTCGTCGCGCATGCAAATGGGCTGTATGTAGCCGATTTCTAATCGTTTGGGGTTCACAGCCGGTATACCCATAGCAGACCCTGTCTCGATCATAAAACGTTTAAAATGATATGAAAATCGTTGAGTACGAAAATACAAATTAGTTTGTGGACTTTAATAGTAGAATGTAATTAAGGAGTGTGGCTAAATTAAAGATAGAAAAAAAATTAAACTTAAACTAAAATCGTTCATTTTCCGAGCAATAGAATTGAGATTTTTCTCTTTTTTCGTATGAAGGCGATGGTGCCCACTGCAATTGATTGTATGCAAGCAATATGCAGTTTTAGTTTGATTTGATTTTCAGAATGGAGCGAATGGTCAGATTGGAATTCATGTAGTTCATCATGTGGTGAAGGTCAACAGACAAGAAGCAGAAGATGTATGAATTCTATAAACAATGGAGAATGTAAAGGAAATTCCCAAATAACACGATCCTGTTCACAGGCAGATTGTCCAGGTTGATAATCAGAATATTTAAAAAAAAGTACAATCATTATTTGCCCAAATGTTCCTTTATTTACGCGTTGACTCCCGATCTATAATACCTTGATTTTCATTAATGTCAGTATTATATCATTATAGTATACCCTCTCTTTAAAGTGAGTTTAAATTGTCCGCCATCAGTTATTTTGTCTATAGTTATTTGTTAATTCTCAAGTCTCTACGAAGTCAGATACCCGTGATGTGGGTTTTAATTTATTTTATTGTATCAAGCAGTAGGGGCCATTGGATGAACTTTATTGAAATATGAAATTTTCGACCACATGAGTACTGGCAAGCTGAAGGACGGCCCGAAAAATTAATGTCTATGTTAAGCATAGAAATAAAAGTGACCGTGGATTTGGCTGTGTTAAGCATAGAAGTAAAAGTGACCGTATTTGTCTGTGTTAAGCATAGAAATAAAAGTGACTGTGGATTTGGCTTGTCAGCAAGCACACAAACGACATCATAAAGACCTATTTAACCATTTCCCCGGTATCTGTGATTCTCCTAAAACGGCAAATGGCGAACGCTAATATTTAATGATTCAAGTGAAAGAAAACATGTCTTTAAATGGCATTTAAAATGTACGCCTTCTCGTATTATCAGCACATGACATTTCTTCGTTTCGTTGTGAATTTCCAGGTAGTTCTAATGAAAAGTGCGCGGGAAATAATGGAATACCGATCATCAAGTCGCCACTCTCCGTTTAGGAGACTCACAGATGCGGCCATTTCCCATATAAAGACTTGGCCTCAATGAATTTACTGTCAATCGCCCCCTTATGTGACTTCCGAATTTCTGGGGTTAGCGTCTTTCTTGCAGCAAAAAGTATTCATTTTGTCGTTTCTAAAATTGATTGATGGAATCGCCATCGTTGTTTTCAGACTGGAGTGTGTGGTCTAAGTGGAGTACGTGTTCTGTGACTTGCGGAGAGGGGAAAAGGGAAAGACAAAGAAAATGTTTGAATTCAAAACTTGGATCAAATTGTAGAGGAAACTCCAAAGATACAACTGCCTGTGTACAGGCACCATGTCCAGGTAAAATATGAGTAAATGTTCAGGTGTATATACACTCATATCCTATGGGATTTGCGAGTTGCGACATTAGTTTATTATTTAGTGTGGACGAATACTGTCGATCATGAGTGAAATTAATTGCACTATGCGTGGATAATAAATGTGGGCGTATACAAATGATTGTTGTGACTCTTTTCCAGATTATAAACGAAAGGCTTTTACCTTTTGTAAGTTTTTATAATCTAAGTATATTTATTTCAGATTGGACTGAATGGTCCAATTGGAGCAGTTGTTCTGTAACTTGTGGTGAAGGTAAAAAAGAAAGATCTAGAAAATGTTCAAATTCAAAACGTGGATCAGATTGTTCAGGCAATTCTAAAGATACAACCTCCTGTACACAGACATCATGTCCAGGTAAAGAGTCATCGTTATGATTGTGTTGAAACTGTCGTGGTTTTCAAGTCGAACCCATATACAACGCGCATAATTTCTCATCTCTGTTTGTTAAGATTGTTCTTTTTAGCTGCTGGTGATGTGCGTAACAGGAAATCTGTCTGCCCGTTACATTTTTGGTGCGATATAATAACTCTAATTAAGATAGAATGTTCAACGGTGGTGTAGATGTTCAGTTTTTGAATACCATGACTGAGTTCGAAGATGACTTTGTCTGCTTATAGGTTAGGCAGAGATGATCAATTTGATTGGTCGAGACTTTGTACCACACTCAGTAAGCTGGTGAATGGTGTACATGTATATTGCTGAATGCGAAATTATGAAAGGAAAATTAAAATCACGTCAATATTAAATGTGGTCGTATAAAAATGATTTCTGGGCCTCTTTACCGAGCTTTCCCCTTTTGTAAATTTTGCTAATATTTTTTATTTCAGACTGGAGTGATTGGTCCAATTGGGGTAGTTGCTCTGCGACTTGTGGTGAAGGTAAAAGGGAAAGATCTAGACGATGTCTAAATTCAAAGCGTGAAACAGATTGTTCAGGCAGTTCTGAAGATACAACTTCATGTACACAAACTCCGTGTCCAGGTAAAGTATGAGTCGAAGTTCGGGCGTATACACTCATAGCCTGTGGGATTTTCTGACATTAGTTTTTTAATAGTCGACAACTTTGTTGCTATACATCACTAAATAAAGGAGAGCAACGCAACTGTTAACTATAGGCCCTACGCTGGTTTATAAAGGGAAATCAAATTTAAAACCATTAATACAAAAATGCAAATTAGTTCGTGGACTTCAGCATACCAGCGCTGGCGAACAAATAACATAATTTACTCTTCAAAAAAAGTAGGGAAAATTTAGAAACAATACAAAACTACGGAAATGCACTGCTGTTTTTATTAGAGGTAACTAGTGTATGTTAATAACAGGCCAATTGCCTACACATGAACATAAACAGTTCATATGGGCGGCTTATCTGACGGCCCCATTTCGATCGCAAAGAGATAAACTGTCAAAAGTGAAAATGGACGTTTTTGATTTTTGTCTTAATAATGAGTAATCCCCAGACATTCAGCAATTCGTCGTGGCATGCTCCTAATCAACCGTCCAATCACGAATTGGGGCAATCTGACCCGCTCCTATTACAGTGACTCTGCCAATTCTTGCAGTGTTGTCGGTTGACGTTGACGTCTCACTATCATGTCCCAGACATGCTCTATAGGGGAAAGGTCAGGACGCATGGCTGGTCAAGGCATATGGACAATATGGTGACGCTGGAGGTAGCCATCCACGAAACGAGCGCCGTGGGCACGGGCATTATCATCTCGAAAGATGAAACGTCGACCTGCACGTTGAGCAAAGGACAGAACTATCGGTGCCAGGATGTGGTCACGGTAGTACACACCAGTGACCCTTCCTTGAACAATATGCAAGTCCGTTCTGCCAGTCATATGCACATCATAACAGACCCACGCCGAATCTGTCATGCTGTCTGAAGTTAACGTTAGCATGACGCTCATTTACACGCCTCCAAACGCGAGCACGACTATCGGTGAAATCCAGAGTAAATCTGTACTCATCTGAGACGATTACCCCAGTTTCTACGCTGTCTACACCTGTTTGACATGTTAATGGAGGCACAACACGCGGTCGTCGCGCATGCAAATGTGCTGTATGTAGCTGATTTCTAATCGTTTGGGGTTCACAGCCGGTATACCCATAGCAGACCCTGTCTCGATCATAAAACGTTTAAAATGATATGAAAATCGTTGAGTACAAAAATACAAATTAGTTTGTGGACTTTAATAGTAGAATGTAAGGAGTGTGGCTAAATTAACGATAGAAAAATTAAACTAAAATCGTTCATTTTCCTAGCAATAAAATTGAGATTTTTCTCTTTTTTCGTATGAAGGCGATGGTGCCCACCGCAATTGATTGCATGCAAGCAATATGCAGTTTTAATTTTATTTGATTTTCAGAATGGAGCGAATGGTCAGATTGGAATTCATGTAGTTCATCATGTGGTGAAGGTCAACAGACAAGAAGCAGAAGATGTATGAATTCTATAAACATTGGAGAATGTAAAGGAAATTCCCAAATAACACGATCCTGTTCAATGGCAGATTGTCCAGGTTGATAATCAGAATATTTAAATAAAGTACAATCATTATTTGCCCAAATGTTCCTTTATTTACGCGTTGACTCCCGATCTATAATAACTAGTATTTCATTAATGTCAGTATTATATCATTATAGTATACCCTCTCTTTAAAGTGAGTTTAAATTGTCCGCCATCAGTTATTTTGTCTATAGTTATTTGTTAATTCTCAAGTCTCTACGAAGTCAGATACCCGCGATGTGGGTTTTAATTTATTTTATTGTATCAAGCAGTAGGGGCCATTGGATGAACTTTATTGAAATATGAAATTTTCGACCACATGAGTACTGGCAAGCTGAAGGACGGCCCGAAAAATTAATGTCAATGTTAAGCATAGAAATAAAAGTGACCGTGGATTTGGCTGTGTTAAGCATAGACATAAAAGTGACTGTGGATTTGGCTTGTCAGCAAGCACACAAACGACACCATAAAAACCTACTTAACCATTTCCTCGGTGTCGTGATTCTCCTAAAACGACAAATGGTGAACGCTAATATTTAATGATTCAAGTGAAAGAAAACATGTCTTTAAATGACATTTAAAATATACGCCTTCTCGTATTATCAGCACATGACATTTCTTCGTTTCGTTGTGAATTTCCCGGTAGTTCTAATGAATAATGCGCGGGAAATAATGGAATCCCGATCATCAAGTCGCCATTCTCCGTTTAGGAGCCTCACAGACGCCGCCATTTCCCATATAAAGACTTGGCCTCAATGAATTTACTGTCAATCGCCCCCTTATCTGACTTCCGAATTTATGGGGTTAGCGTCTTTCTTGCAGCAAAAAGTATTCATTTTGTCGTTTCTAAAATTCATTGATGGAATCGCCATCATTGTTTTCAGACTGGAGTGAGTGGTCTAAGTGGAGTACGTGTTCTGTGACTTGCGGAGAGGGGAAAAGGGAAAGACAAAGAAAATGTTTGAATTCAAAACTTGGATCAAATTGTAAAGGAAACTCCAAAGATACAACTGCCTGTGTACAGGCACCATGTCCAGGTAAAATATGAGTAAATGTTCAGGTGTATATACACTCATATCCTATGGGATTTGCGAGTTGCGACATTAGTTTATTATTTAGTGTGGACGAATACTGTCGATCATGAGTTAAATTAATTGCACTATGCGTGGATAATAAATGTGGGCGTATACAAATGATTGCTGTGCCTCTTTTCCAGATTATGAACGAAAGGCTTTTACCTTTTGTAAATTTTTATAATCTAAGTATATTTATTTCAGATTGGAGTGAATGGACCAATTGGGGTAGTTGTTCTGTATCTTGTGGTGAAGGTAAAAAAGAAAGATCTAGACAATGTTTAAATTCAAAACGTGGATCAGATTGTTCAGGCAGTTCTAAAGATACAACCTCCTGTACACAGACACCGTGTCCAGGTAAAGTATGTCCGTCATGTTTGTCCATCGATATGCATTATGTATTTTGTAACAATGTTCTGGTTTAGGGCAACAACAAATTCGACCAACTTTTATGCGCCACCCGGGCTAATGTACCCAAATATACGCCATACAATGTTTTCATTAGCTCGATAGGTGCAGAAAAGGGGGACGCGAACCCCCGTTTAATTCATTCATTGTCCATGATCGCCTGAACACTGTTCGATATTCAAATTAACGTATTATCCGAATGCATGGAAGGATGTATCGTTGACTGCGATTTACGTAGCCTGAACTAAATTGGCGTGTTACATGGTAAATTGAAATTGTCTTTGTAATAGGAAATAAAATAATTGTCTCATATTTTGTTTTCAGTTACAAAAAAGAACAATGGTCGAAACGATGAAAGGAAGAAAATGAGAAATAAAAAAATCAGTGCTCAGAAAACCAAAAATAAAGGTATTGTTGGATATGAAATCTACAGAACCCAGACACTTCGTGTTGTGAGATGTGCTTTGACATGTTTACGTGTTAGTAACTGTCGTTCAATAAATTTTCAGTTCAGGAGAGACAAAAGAAAAGACAAAAAGACAAGCAAGGAAGAAAGGTTGTGTATTCTTAATTCTGTCTCGTTAATAGACGAACCGTCATCATTACAGCCAATGCCAGGATTTAAAATGTACGATATCGGAGAGTTTTTTGACACATATTGATATAATCGTAAATAATGAAAGATTGTCTGAAGGAATTCTTGCTGAATATACGACCACTAAAGACCACCATTTCACGTCGTATAAGCTGTGATAATCTTAAAAGGAGTACACAGTAAATTGCGTGTGCATTGGTTTGTGCATTATAAACCTTGCCAACAGTAGGCTAATTTCATTTTTCGGACAATAACTAATTTTGCACGGATTAATGTTCGCTAAAATTGATCAGAATATGAAGAGTATAGGTAATGTCCCCTCGTGGAGTAAAATATGCAAAGGGGATTGAAATAAAGGGTTTTGTGAGCGGGGTTTGTTCATTTTCTCATGCTCCGTGATCTTATATTTGTTTCCAGTAAATAGAGTCGATATGCATCTGTGATAATTACATAATTTATACATATTTCATTGTAAATAATTATTTTCATTTTTCTTTATCTTATTGATAATTTTGTTTCGTAACTGATTTGTCGAATTCTCGATCCGGCAACTAATGGTCTGCATGCTGTAGATAAAACAGTTCGACATTTCGTAACTATATTGTACGATCTACTGACCGACTATAATATAGATCATTGGTGTTGATAAATATATTTCTAAATATAGGATTTTATAGAGTTTCTTTAATGGAAGCTAACATATTTTGTTTTGTATTACCTAATCATTGTAGGCCTATTGGCGAACGATTAAAGATACATTAGTTAAGAGTTTAATAAAGAGTTGGTCATTCTTGCTATAATTATTCAAAAATAGATGATAAAAAAAGAAAATATTGAAAATTTCATTCAAATTACTTCATTCTCAGCCAAGTTATCATTGTTTATAGTTTTGAGAAGATGGGTGCACAGTGGTAACCAGGGCACTGGTATAATCGGGACTGAGCCTCGCTTTCCCATTTTTAAATTAAATTTTTAAATGGCGAACCGTTTTAATCTAGTTAAAATCTCGAGTATCAGATGCCATCGAGAGTCGATTATGGTCTTGTTTTGTTAATAAATGTCTAATTAATAGTTTATATAACATTTCAGGCCTAAAGAAAGACCTGCAATAGGCAGCTTTAGCTCTTGCATAATGTTTGTTTAAATAAAAGTAAGAAAATAAACAACCGGGGTTATTCTCGTGTACAATAATGCAGGAGCTACCAGCGTCGACAAAATGGAAACCAAAATACGGTAACAAGAAATCAGTATAGTATGGTGTGTGCTGAATATTTTTATACGACAATTTGTCGCCTACCCAAATTCGGGGTTTCGACGACAGTTAATCTTTGATGCATGCAGGCATTTGTAGGGGCTTTATAAAAAATTTTATCTGGAAAGTATCAAAGGATATTGTTCCAGATCCACCAGTTTTACATATGTGACGACAGGTTAAACAGATTCAAATATAGATAGTAAAGAAAGAAAGAAAGGACCGTTCCCATGGTTCATCTGTAAGGTCTTCGCACAAGTTCTGAATATGACGCAAATATCGGACACTAGATCAAAAGGTGACCCTTCTGAAAACTTCACATGAGCTATCAATTTAAATACTATATTTTGTTTATACGAAACACATTGTTTATACTTTTGGAGTAAATACATAATTGCTATTTAGAATCTATGTGGCGACAAATATCAGTCAGTAACAATAACTGGTCGTCTCCGAAACTTACGGATTGGCAATAGCAACGGTCTGTATTTTAAAATTATATTTGGAGTCCGTTTGGCCCATTTATGTAAAATTCTTTGACTGCAAGACTGTTATTTAATATTTTGAAAGTTGATCCCGGATTTGAATTTTTAAAAAAATCATGAAAAATGTTTGGGATAGGCTCACCGACATTTATGCAACCAGCGTATTGGCATGCAAATCTAAACATTTATGTATTGTTATGTATATGAAATAAAAACAAAGTTAAACTAATTTATTTTTTTCCGTAGTGGTGATTAGATTAAAAACAATGTTAGATTTTATTTCAATTAAAATTACAAATTCTTTACACGTATTTGGGTCGAAATCTTTTCACTTGAACCATACAGCATGGTAATCAAACATTCCTATTTATGTATAGGTTGTGTTTGATTGAAGCGAATCTCTACGAATCTAAATACGCCTATGTACTCACTATTGTCCTCTGTACGTCTGTCAGTCTACCCAGTTTAACTACCTACTGTTATTTCTAATGTCTAGTGTTCTTTTATACTGGAGGACAAACATGTACACGGTACAATCCGTTTTTCGCCTCATCCGAACAACTAGACGTTGTTTCTTGCCAGGACCTCATCCCTGCACCACTGACAAAGACGACACACGTTGGAAAATACCATGAACATTCTGGGCCAACATTGGGATCGAATATGGGAACTGCAGCTTAGCGAATCAACATCTTACTCACTGAGCCACCGCGGCTCCCCTTCTTGTAATCGCTCGGTAGGCCATTAAAAAAAATGTTAAAACTTGCCGTGCTCATTCAATTATTTGCAAATTTATTACTTGTATTATTGAAAACTTGTAGTCGTTTTACAAGCAAGATTTCATAATTTCTGTTTCCAATTCTTCATTATGAGTGCTTAAAGGAGCTAAATCGCTAATATTTTGGACCTAGAAATTGACACAAATGGGTCGTAACGCATATAATAATGTAATAGGAATATATTTACATTCAATCGTTTCCATTTTTACTCTAATTTCAAATCAGTTACGTTCGGCGAAATATGTCTGAAGTCTCAATCGAATGAAAATTTCTAGCGTCTGGTTATTCTAGTCTACATAGTATTTATTGCGCATACTCTCCCGATATGAATATGCCGTCACCGTTTGACATGACTTGTTGAATGTCTAGCCTCGTTCTTCGAGTCCCTTGTTAGAATGGGTCTGAAACGCATTATGGTACACGATTCGTGTACCAATGGTAAAATTTTTTATTTTGTCTTAAATATTGGATATCAGAAGCCCATTTTTTCTCGGTAAGATCACAACATCAATGTTGATTTAAATTGACAAATAATTCGTGTTTTCAATGTCGAAGATGTTGGATGATATTGAGTTAGAGACTTAGCTACTTTAAGGTTGAACTCCCTACGGAAAATCCCATCAGCGAAAATTCCTAAATGTAGATAATAGAATTCAAATTCAGTAGGCAATCATCAATCAAATCCCATTTCGAGGTTTGACTTGGTATCCGGTTCGGGTTTGTAAGTAAGATAAATATGGAAGAAAGCACCACACCCCCATACAATACCAAATCAAAATTTTATAGTCATATTCAATAGTTGAGAAATTCAGTAGGCAATCATCAATCAAATCCCATTTCGAGGTTTGACTTGGTATCCGGTTCGGGTCTGTAAGTAAGATAAATATGGAAGAAAGCACCACACCCCCATACAATACCAAATCAAAATTTTATAGTCATATTCAATAGTTGAGAAATTCAATGAAAGTCCATTAACAAAGTAATAGATATATTCTCGCCTGTGTATAGGTATAATATGAAACCAAACTATATTCGTAATCGATACTGTTTTATTCGAGTCGCTTCCACCGCCGCTACAGTTTGTATTTCAGAATTTTCATAGTTTCAAAACCGAATAAAAACAAGAGCTGGAGACCTCCTTTAAAGCAGGGTTATTTTATTTTATTTAACACATTTTATTTAGTCGTGTGTGTGGAACAAAGGACAGGGGAGGTCTATGATTGGCCAATATGTTACAGATAAACACACATGATCATATCTAGCTTATATAAATAAACTTGTTAATCTAAAGACGTACATATATACAACATCTGTTTACTCTAGCAACCAAACATAGGTCTTTAATTTGTGTCTTAGAAAAAATATATAAGCTCCACATGTGAATAATGTTTATATATCACCGTATCTGCGTAATTCCATTCGTAGAATTCAAGGTAGAGTTATTCACAAGATTTCCAACACTTTCAACACTTGTGAAGTCTATAAGAAGAGCATCCAGGATTGAAATGCCTCCGTTATAATTAAGAAAAGCCATAAAATGTGTATCTACCTAAAGATTGGGGTGAAACGGTTTTGAAATTTTGAAACGTAAAAAACCCTCCGATAATCGATTTTATTTGAAATAAAAACGTTATTCAAGAAAAGACAGGCTTTCAATGTTAAACGATCTTATCCGATACAATCTTCTGAACAATCCCGAACGGTCTCGGAAATAAGTGACCACAAAACCCTTGCGGACAGGAACGGACTGAGACCTTTACCCCCATGTATATGTAATTCAAAAATAAAAACGATATTGAGTCTTAAAATAAACTTGTATCTTTCGAAATGAAATAAAACTTGCATGTATGCTGAAATTAAACACGCGTTTTCTTGCAGAATCATGGCTATTTGAATTCGACTGGAGGTTAAAGGGACAATAACACTCTTGCTGGCTTGACATCTCCAGTAAATAAATAATTCTAAGTATTAGATGTTTAAGTGTCCTACCTGTTGTGTAAATTGTCCAGAGGGTTCGAAAATATTTTTAAATCCAAGTCACATTTGAAAAGGTTTACGTTAGGCTTTTCAAATCATTTAGTTAAATTTTTACAATTTTTTAAATTAGGTGTGTTAAGATGAAATTTGTATCATCAATTAATTGGAATATTGTAAAATAGTACAACTTGTTGACCAGAATAAAGATTGGGACATATTATTCAGTTACAACAAGAGTGGTATTGAGCCTTTAATGGAAGCCTAGCTAGTGTATGGAAGTATAACGTTGTCAATATTATTTCAATGTTCACGGTACAAAATATCAGCAGTTCAAAATACGTATTTTAGTTTTACAATTTGCAATTTTCATTGATCGACAATACCATTGCCACAGTGTTAAAATACAGAGTACACTTTTCAATAACACAAAATACAGTATAATAGTTATTTTGCACATTACACTTCTCCATGCTGCATTTTGCATAATGCACAAATGCAGAACTTAGTATATTAGAACGTATACCTTATATGGAATCTACAACGTTCATTTCGACTCCTCGGTTGTACGTGACAACGAGTAGGGTCACCTGTCCAACCTCGTGGGTTTTCTCCGGGTCCTCCGGTTTCCCCCCCCCCCCACTGCTAAAGACCCGTACGCGCAAGCGCATTATTGAAATAAAATTGAACCATATGTTAATCCCGAAATGACCTATTTTGTGTCGAGTGGACGTTAAACCCCATTTCTCTCTCTCTCCCGGACTAGGATGGAAATTATTATTTAAGCGATCGACCTTGTCAGTAGAAGGGGGTGGTACTCATATTTAAAGACCTTCGGAAAACGATTAATGAAATGAAATTAAATGGGGTTTAACGTCCTATTGTTCTGCCATGACTGGGCTAATGAAAACGGGCATACGTCATGCAGTGTGCTATCAGGGAAAATTTGCCCGGAGAGCGGCGCTGTATACGGCCTACTCCCGTATCGAATTCCAACAGCCAAGAGATCTTTTACGTGCACGCTAATGCGTACACGGGACCTAGTTTTTCATCCCATGCGCAGTGCCGGACTGGGCCCACCTGTCCACATGTCCGTGACAGGTGGGCCTAAGCTCATTAAAAAAAAGTGGGCCTAAGCCTATAAAGAAAAAAGAAAAAAGAGAAAGAAAAAAAGAAAAGAGAAAGAAAGGAGAGGGGGAGGAAAGAAAAGAAAGAAGGAAGGAGAGGACAGGACACAGGACAGGAGAAAGAAAAGATAGGAAAAAAATGACTGACAAACAAGCAAAAAAAGAAGTGTACTACAAGGAAAGAACTTTATGAGTTTGACCTCATTATACCGATAACCGAGAACTGTGTAATTCATCTTTTAACCTCTACTTAGTTCAGGAAATCAAAAATTTGCCGTCTTCTGCTTTGGTGGCGCGTACTTGTGTGGGCCTTGGTCAATGACCTGACAGGTGGGCCTTTGGGCCACCAGTCCGGCACTGCCCATGCGAACGATTAGACAGTTGTCATTGTCAGGCACTCCTGCATCACTGACAAGGGGAAAAAAACGATCATAGTCGGGTGGTACAAAACTCTATTAAATGACGGGACTGGGGATATCATGTTACTTATTAAAAAGCACGCTCATTTCTCTTTTCAAATATTTAAATAATTTTCTGGCACCTTTATATTTACATACTTTGAAAAAATGAAATGAAATGAAATGAGGTTTAACTTTTAACGTCCTAAGCTACTGTTGGACTTCGAAAGGGCTAATAAAGACGGGCATACGCCAGTGTGCTATGAGGAAAATTTTGCCCGGGCAGCGGCACTATGGTCTACTCTTATATCGAATTCCAACTGCCAAGGGATCTTTTACGTGCACGTCAATGTATAAACGGCACCTCAGTTTTTAGACCCATCCGAACGACTAGACAACTGTCCTGGTCAGGCCCTCCTTCCTGAAACCACGTCGGAAAATCCCGATGAACTTTCTCGGCCAATGCAGGGATCGAACACGCGACCTTCAGACTAGTGAGCCAACGTCTTACCCAGGTAGCTCTAAACTTTGAGAAAAAAAAAGATAAAAAGATTAAAGTTGAAGTGAAGAAGGGGGGGGGGAGTAAACATGTGGGGCTTATCGAAGGCTCGGATTAGCCATACCGGGCGCATGATTTCACCGAAGTCAGGGTAATCCAGCGAATTCCTTATTGCATACTAGCTTGATTCGCCCTTATTGCATGGTAAGCCGACTTATGGTGACTTATTGAATGCCAGCTTGATCTCTGCCCCTTCTACTGACGTTGACCTTGTATACGATTAATCGGGTAAATTATTAATTTCCGTCCTAGTCCGGATTTTTTCCGTATGCAAATGAACTTAGTCGTAATACCAAATAAGTTCTATTATGCATTTGCCCATCATGCAAAATGCAGAATGGGGAAGTGTAATGTGCAAAATAACTATTATACTGTATTTTGTATTTTTGAAATTTTGTATTATATATTTTAACACTGTGACATTGGTATTGTCGAGCAATGGAAATTGCAAATTGTAAAACTAAAATACGTATTTTGAACTGCTGACATGTAGTTTGTATAGTGAACATTGGAATAATATTGACAACGTTATCCTTCCATAGTGGTGCCCCCCTCCCGACCCCTTGGCACCCCGGCCTTGGTGCCCTAAGCGCGTGCTTATTTTGTTTACCGGAGCTGCTTGCAGGGTGCACATCTGGTAAAGTGTGTCAGCAAGCAGCATGTTTGTTTTGTTGATGCAAAAGATACCGTCCTATTTTGTACTATCTGAAACATGAGATATATGTTTATACATGTACTTAATCGCCAAGATATGGCTTTTACAGATTGGTCACAGCGCAAACACATTCTCAACACATTTCATACAAACTTGGCGGAAAAGGTCCACTTTTTACACCCCGTCTACGTTTATGTATGTATATTTAGAACAGTTATGTAGTTTTAGACAGACGGTTTTGTTCTTAAACATTTTCTTGGATTTTCTAAAAAAACGGAATTAACTTGAATGCATTAAAGTCGACAAACGACAGGGCAACACACCGATATTTGGATAGATTACAAAAGTATGGAATATAAACGCTGAAATGTTACTGATAGTGATTTAAAACAGATTAAAGTTCACCAGCTGTTTTGGATTAAGTCGTATATCTGATCAAAAGTGAAGGCTCTTGGTTTTTGTATACTGATAAGTACAGTATATATTATAAATGATAACATACCACCGACAGTATGAGATAAATGGTAACATAATAATATAAATTTTGGGAAATACGAGAAAAGGACAAAATGGCGGTTTAAATATTTTATCTGATCACTATCTATTGAGATATTTTAGTGTGCGTTGTGCCATTTTGGTACGAAGCTGGAAGCTGAACCTCGCAAGATGGCACGGGTTCGAAATCCGTTCCAGATTCTCCGTCTGTTAATCTTGTGTCATTTATGTTGCCATACTGTAGGTGTGATGGATTATTATAACTCATTGTTTAGACCCTTTAGCTTAAACAAAGCCAAAGTGGAAACTCTGGGATCCATTTTAAAAAGGCACGTCCAAGCATTAAGGGATACCGAAAATAGGAAAGTAGAATTAGTGTTTCTTGTGGATAGTTCGGCTAGTGTTGGTGCCAGTAATTTTTTTGATGAATTAAAATTTGTGAGAAAGTTATTAGCGGATTTTACGGTGGATGTTAATGCCACACGAGTTTCTGTGATTACATTTTCTTCACGTGGTAAAGTTATTCGCCATGTTGATCATTTGACAATTCCAAAAGAAAGTAACCAAAAATGCGGCCTTCTTGTGGAGGAAATGCCCAAAATACGTTACATCGGTGGTGGAACATACACATTAGGAGCCTTTATTGAAGCCAAGGTAGGGCTTAGAACATTATTTTTAAATTTTTAGAAAAACTTCCTATATTAATCAATATTATTTGTGCATCGGTGGCTAACTGTTAACCAATGTTGCTCTACAAGAATTTGTTCCTGGCAAATAGAATCTTTACTTTAAAAAGAATACTTCCTTAAGAATTAAATAAATATGTAAGAGACAAATGCTATTTACATTATCTATCTGAAACCGGAAAAATATCCAGATTATTCGAGGACAAGCGGTACAAATACGGTTATCACCTTTCCCTTATTTAGACCTAAAAAAAAGAATACCATAACAAACAAAACTTCGCTAGGTGGCTTTATCCAATGCTTTATTCCAAAAACGAACAAAAGGAAACTAAAAGAAGATATTATAAGATAATTATATCTGAGTCTTGTTTATTTTTTACTATGTATATAAATATACATGTTTAAACATTAAATCGGTTAAGTAAAGTATGTGGAGAGGAATGCCAAGATCTATTTTACAGTCCATTAAAACAGCCATTAAATACTTTAGCATGAAACACAATCTCATATATTTTTCTGGTTTTTAGTCTATAAATTGTTAGAATCGCAGTTCGTTTTCAGTAAATGCTAAATAGATAACACATGCAAGTCACATCTATGTAAATAAATTTACATTTCCTTATGCCACTGACCTGGCGACCTATAATATGGCGGAACGTCAACACGTGGTATTTCACATATTAAATTACAAGTTATCGCAATAATATACATCAATATCACTCTCTCACATGGCTAGCAAATGGTTCTTTTCAACCTAAATCATGCAAAAATAAATATTTCTCTAGAATATGTGATAGCACTTGATGGATTACGTCTTACTATATTGACAAAAATACAGAATGTTAACATAAGAATTATATAAACATGATAGTCATATTTAATATGAAAATAGAATTAAATCGGTTAAATGATATTTTTGTAGTTTTAACAAAATGTGTGTATTGATCGTAACGAACGTACTGGTCATTCGAGTCTTAGCCTAGCTTCTCTATTTTTGAATTAAATCATTAAATGGCAGAACTGTTCTAAACTACTTAAAATCGGAGCTATCCGATGGCACCGAGAGTTGATTATGGTCTTGTCATGTTAATAAATGTCTAATTAATCATTTATGTAAAACATTTAAGGCCCAAAGGAATACCTGGAATATACAGATGTCATCGAGGGTTGATTATGGTCTTGTCATGTTAATAAATGTCTAATTTATCATTTATATAACATTTAAGGCCCAAAGAAAGACATGCAATATGCAGATTTAGCTCTTAGATAATGCCTGTTTAAAGGAAACTTAGAATGCAAAAAATTGACCACAGCACACAGCGTAAGATAGATAGTGTCATACTGGTCGCTGTGCGTTTTGGGAACCAACTGTACGCATTTCTTGATACATTCCGTTATGGTAATGATTAACGCAACCATTATATACCCGGACACGGGTATTTTCCTGAAAATACTTCTTAATATGAGCATTGGGCATTAATAAATATTTTACAGTTTCAAAAAAGTTCATTTTAGAGGAGAGGATTTTTATATTTTTCACGATTTTTTAAAGAATGTTCTCAGAGCTGCTCGGAAGGAAGCAGCCAAGGCAATATTCCTGATCACTGATGGTTTTTCAAATGGTGGGGATCCCAGACCGGAAGCCAACATCCTGAGAGAAATGGGAGTAAAAATATTTACATTTGGTATCAGAAATGGTAATGTCAGAGAACTGTTTGATATGGCGTCGGAACCCAGGAATGAAACGTGTTATATATTAGACAGTTTTGAAGAATTTGAAGCTTTAGCCCGCAGAGCCTTGCACGAAGGTATGGTTAGAAAACTATAGAATAGTATATTTTCCTATATTTAATTGTTTACATAACTATCCACTTCCATTATTGATAAAATTGATAAATTCTATCCTGGCGTGCTATAGAAAACACACATGATTATGTATTTTATGTCATGCACAATTTCGTGTGCTGAAACCTTATATACGGCTTGTGGGTATTCATGCCGGTGCCTAGTGCAAATTAGACATATTAGATAGAAAGCAACATCTGAAAAAGACAGAAAGATCTAAATTAACGGTTGTATAATCTTAAAATATTAGGTTAATTGACTTTTCTTGCCTGATATAATGTACTTTTAAATACAAAAACATGTTTATCATAATTGACGTATTTATTAATGGTATTTAATGTTTTTAATATAAACTGTGGCTTCTCTATTGATTTCAGATTTACACTCAGGGTCATACATTCTACAAAAGAAGTCTAGTTGTTTTAGTATATGTAAGGAAGGAAAGGACTGTTGTCACCCAAGAGCTGATTGTATGTGCGGAACCCACACAGGAAAATACGAATGCTTATGTCAACCAGGTTACTATGGTCATGGCAATGGAAAAACAGGCTGTGCACGTATGTGTGGCGTTAAAAGCCTTTAAATTGATAAAATCTATATACATAAATTGTATTATTGTCTTAAGGATAAGGACACAAAATATTAAAAAATTGCGGCTTGGAAATTAGAAACACTTGGGCCCCGAAGGAGGTAGGTCCGAGATGCCTACACAAGCAGCCCGGCATACATGCTCAGAAAATTTAGGAGTAGTTAAATGTAGTTAAAATATCATATGTTAGCTGATAATACATTATTTTCAACAAGTTTTAGGCAAATTTTTGAATTTTTTGATAGGAAGATGAACACAAACGACCAACTTGACCTTGTGCTTTAGCACACCTAACCGCAATGGTCTATCCGGCACTTATCATAACTTATAATTTGTATTAATCTGTCATTCTCATTCATTTCACCTCTATTTATAAGAATGTTACATCTCGCACTCACCTTATAACGTACGGGAACCATAGAAATGTATCTATGTCGATACTATCTATATAATAATTAAAGAGACAAAACCACCGAACACAGTGACCAACGCAAACCCAAAAGGTACGTGCACAATCAATCGGACAAAAACTATTCAACTCTGGTGGTACATCTGCATTATTGTGTTTTTTTTATAGTGAAATCCATGCAAGGTTTAAAAACAATCTCAGTTATAAAAGGTTACATTTTAAAATAGATTTATCTACCTCAAATGTATGTGCGGGGGGGGGGGGGTAATGTATAGTCAATGATTATTCGTTGGTGCTCGAAATTACTGACAAACTATTCCTGATATGCACAGGGTTTGAATAATTATTGCTAATTCCACATTGGAAAACAAATCCAGTTACATTTAAAAGTAATTACCCGTTCAAAATAAAGACGTAATGATACCTATTATATTATACAAGTGATATAATATAGGAAAGGAAATTAAATGTATTATGAAGGACCGCCATATCGATCGTTTTGATTAAAATAGACGTCTAAAAATATAATATGATAGTGTTACAGTAATATTTAACATAGCCCTACATAAAAAGTCACTCTAAATATGACATTAATAAGAAATAAACATTTCCATATTATTAAATCAATAATCTATTTCTAAATTTTGGATCGAGTGTATATTTTTGTTCTTTACTGAAATATGCTGGTATGAAAATACAACTAGTATAAAAGTCCCCAAATGAGAAGTGGCTGCAGGTGCTCCAGGGAATAAGGACAGCATGCTTCGTGCAAAATGTTTACAGATATCTAACGGAATGCTACTGGTTAGATGATAGACTCGCGGCCAAGGGTCCACCATACCACTGGTTTGAACATTAACGCGTTTTGTTCGCAAAATCACTGTTTATGAACGCAAAGATTTTATCTTTAAAGGCATGTGTGACTTTTAACTAGCCGTGCTCTTGGAACGAAAATGATTATCTTAATATAAAATACTTTAAAATAATTTATTCATTCACCAATACTGATATTTCAATTATATGTCAATTATGGTGTCACTGTTAATTTTTTCAGCTTGTCCATCAAAAACATATAAAAATTTCACTGGTGCTGGTGATGTTACATCATGTACTCCATGCCCTGACGAAAGCCAGATAACAGGACTAGGTGCTCCTAATGTATCAGAGTGTAAATGTAGAAAAGGTTACCAACAAATATCCGATACTGAATGCTCCGGTAACTCTTTTTTTTCTTCTTACCTAAACCTCCCTTAGCTTTATTTGATTCAAGCTAAGATCCATAGATCAGTTATTGACGATTCTCTCATTTTTTAAAACCGAAAATAATTTGGTATAACGCAAGGATCAGTTCTTGGTTGTTGTTTATTTTGCATCAGTATTAATGACGCCGAAAACATCCCCCACCTCCTATAGCCCGAATTCATTTCTTGGCATATAAGTTTTTAAAAAGATGACGATGCCATTTAAGCCTTTTCTTTTATAGCTTACAGATGTTCTATGTTGGAACCACCAACTAATGGTTATTTTGTTAACAATAAGTGTAATAACGTGTTTAATGCTGCATGTGGATTAAGATGTCGACCAGGGTATGAATTACGAGGAAGTAGTCTAAGAATCTGCCAGGAAGATAGCACATGGTCTGGAACAACTACAAAATGTATCAGTATGTACGACGTCTTATTTCTGTTTCGAATAGTTTCTTTTGTCAAACTCATCCTCTAGGATACATTCCATTTTAGTTAAGCAGGGTTAGATCTTATTCTAACACTGACTCATTGGCCTTAAATAATATCCCTACAGAGTAAATGTACAGATAAATGCATATAACTCGTCACTATGCATAACACTGAAACAGTTGAACATAATGATGAATGATGTAAATATTGAACCGTTTTAAAGGTCATTGTAAACGTATATATACAGATTAATAATAAAGTATTTATCTCGTTTGAATACTGGATGTCCTTGTATTTCAGTGAAGAGTTGTCCTCCTCTACCAACTCCTAAGCATGGTCACATGATCTGTAGTCGAGATGATTTTAATTATGCTACTGAATGTCGTTTTACTTGTGACAATGGTTTCAAACTGGTTGGCTCTAGAAAGAGAACATGTCTGGCTATAGCTGTGTGGACTGGAATAACGACACGATGTCGAGGTATTCAACAAATAGACCTAAAATACCCGTGAAATTTCTATTTATAAAACAAAAACTGACACAACACTTTATAATGCCCATGTAGTGCCATACCACCTTGTTATAATACACAGTCTATAACCAAGCTCACATTAAAGCCATGGTGGCTCAGTGAGTAAGGCGATGATTCACTAACCTGGAGGCTCGATCCCGGTGTTGGCCGAGAAAGTGCCTTTGTGTTTTCCAGCGTGGTGCAGAACAGAGAGCCTAGCAGTGAACAGCGTCTATTCGTTCGGATGGGGCGAAAAACAATGTCCCACATGATAACAGTTTGGATTCAATTGCTGTCCGGGTAAAATGTCCCTCATTAACAATCGTTCTTTACTGTTTTTCAGAAATAACTTGTCAACCGTTATTACCACTACGAGAGGGTACTGTAAGTCCGTCTAGTTGTACCGAAGGTGAGGTATTATTTGGTACAACTTGTCAGATGTCCTGTTCATCACAATATACTTTATATGGATCACATACTAAACAGTGTACACCTGATGGTAACTGGGTACCACCTGGTAATCAACCCAATCAGTGCATTGGTAAGTTCTCATCTAGTTTCTAAGAATGTGAAGGGTAGAAAGCGGTTCAGTGGTAACAGTATTAGATATTCCATCCAATGCTTCACATCCAAGCATCACATCAAAAGACAGATCACGACTGTTCTGTAGATGTGGTTTGAACTGTGTCAAATTTACATGCCCACAAACACATATCGCAGCGAATGTGGTAGTGTTTTAGTTTAGAGATCTATTAGTAGATATAGCTTGCTCATATTCTAAGTGAAACTGCTTTACATAACAGGTGTCAGTGATAGTAGCCGCCGGGTGAATTCAGTACGGCCCAGTTTCCATTACCGTGTATTAGTTCGGTTCATGTATACTTTTGTTCTGGCGAATGCCAAGACAAAGAACACTATATCTAGCCTATACTTTGATCTTCTAAAATTGGCTCTCTGATAGAAGTTTAAAACTATGTGCCCAAGTAAAATAAATATTTAGATAATTCGATGTTCCAAGATTGAGTTAATTATTACTCTTCATTTTATAATAAAATTTATATAAAATTCAAGATGAGAAGCCACCATTTGTACAGTGTCCACCAAAACTAGTTATAGAGGCGGATCCTGAAGAACCAGAAACAGAAGTTAGTTGGGGAATACCTTTAGCAGTGGATAATTCAGGTTTTATTCCCAGAACAATTGCTGTACCTGCCTTGGTTCCACCGGCCAAGTTGCCTATTGGTTATACAACAATTACCTATATAGCCGAAGACTGGAATAAAAACAAAGCCAAATGCAAAGTTTACATACATGTTATAGGTAAATTTCAGTGATATTTAGTAATTGAACTGTAAAATCACGGGTCAGTAATATGTACAGTCATTGTATTCCATAGTATGGAGATAATTAGAATACCATAGTATATTTTGTTTAAAAAATGGCGTTTCTTTTTTAATAAGCTAAGAATAGCACATAGAATGCTTTGTTACCTAAGAAATAAAAAAATGTCACCAAACATGTCACTTTTTTTTAGGATTTAACAATGTATGTATGCTATATATTATTTTTTTGTAAATACACTCAAGACGTCTTTGCCACGTTAATTTTTCTCTTCCATCTTAGACAACACGCCTCCGAGAGTGGATAAATGTTTTTCTCCAAAAGCTGTCGTTTCACAAGACAAACATGGCACCGTGACCTGGGAAGAACCATTATTTAGTGATAATTCTGGAGAAACGCTACAAATAGTTAAATCACATTCTCCTGGCTGGTTCCCACGTGGAAAAACAAACGTAACTTACACAGCTACTGACAAAAGTGGCAACAACAATACTTGTGTACTAGAAATAAATGTTATTCGTAAGTAATGATTTTTTGTAAACATTTATGAGTAAGTCTGGACACAGGATATTGTATATCACTAGGTTGTTGTCTTCTTTATGGCTACAATTGACCTATTTTATTGTCTTCTTGATGGCTACAAGTGACCTTTGTTTTTGTCTATTTGATGAAAACGTTTGGCATTTGTTGTTGCTTTATTGTTTATTATTCTCATCTGAATGGATTGAATTATTGACATTTTTATTGGCTATGTTAGTGACTGCTTAATTGATTCCATTGACATTTGTTATTGACCTCTTGAAGGATTCCACCGACTTTGTAAAAGAATCCACTGATGTTAGTGACTTCTTAATTGTTCCACTGACGTGTTATTGACTTCTTGGTGGATTCCACTGATATGTGTTAGTGACTTCTTAATTTATTCCACTGACATTGTTATTAACGTCCTGATGGATTCTGTTGGCATGTGCTGTTGTCTTCTTGATGGATTCCAATGCCATTTGATATTGACTTCCTGATAGATTCCACTGCTATTTGTTCGTGACTTCTTCATAGATTCCATTGATATTTGTTATCGACTTAATTGTTTCCACTGGCATTGGTTATTGACTTCTTGAAGGATTCCACATTGACTTCATGATAGAATCGAACCCACTTATAGTATATATTGACTTATTAGTGAATTCCACTGATTTCGTGATAGAATCCATTGATTTCGTGATAGAATCCATTGACTTCTTGGTGGATTCTATTGAATTCGTGATGTTATCCATTGACTTCTTGGTGGATTCCTATTCCATTGATCGCCTATATTGACATTTGTCATGATTTCCTGATTCCACTAACATCGGCTGCGGCCCCCGGTGGACGGCATTCACATAAGTTATGTTTTCTTCGTGGATTCCATTGAAGTTTTTTTCTTGGTGGATTTTATTGACAAATGATAGTCGACTCCAATATAGTTTGAATTTAAAGAATGAAAAATGAATTAAACAGTAACATTTTAATATGCTTGTAGTATGAATAATATAGTAATATACTTTCATGCAGTTGGGTTTTTTTCATTAAGAAAAATATAATCTGAAGGCGGAAGCGGGCGCCTTAATAACATTAAGTAATGTGTCAACAACCATTAATAGAATTTCTCTATTTGATAACTTAAACAGCACATCCATGTGAACTACCACCTCCACCCGTAAATGGTAACAGAACGTGTTTCGAGAATGAAGAGGGTGTTATATGTAAGTTATTTTGTATGGATGACTACGCATTTGCCATTCCACCAGCAGAAGAATATTTCTGTGCTTATGATAATATTTGGCGACCAGAAAATCAGATGCCATTTCCAGATTGTTCAGGTGAGAAATAACATTTTGGTTATGATATTGTGATGTGAATTCGGCATTCACCATATTACTATGTAGATAAATCTTAATTAGACAATGCATGATAATAAAACAAAACAAGAGGACAGAACAAATAATTTCAGTGTCGAATTTCTCCCCCGTCAATTTGCACAATAAAAACTATTTATGGAATAACAATTACTGGTTTTTTTTTAAAATTCAACGTTTCGACGATGGTACCCTGGTTCAATTACTAAATGTCACTCATAGAAGCTTTATAAAAACGAAAGTACTATTGTTAAAAAACCAGCCATTGTTACTCCATAAATGGCTTTTAATGTGTTACTGTCCACTTACCAAATGTCACTCAAAGAAGCTTCACCAATTTGCCCTCAGTAAAATAGTTACGGAAAGGAAGAGTGTACTACAAGAGTCAGTTTGGAGTATTTTAGCGCTTATAAATATCTTTTTTAATTTGTTATTTACTGTTCTGGCGAGAAATAACTGTCACGTTTAACCTCTGTACTCTTGGGATTTTCGGAGAACTTTCCAGACTGCGTTATCTCGACATCTAACTAATTTAAAAACCTCCAAATTCAATTGGTTATTTTAAATGGAAACGAACCGAACACGACAATTGGTAGTTAATTATCATTTAACTCCCTCTAGACCCTTTATTACAAAATGAAATACATGTATCTATTACAGTAATACAGATCTCTAATGATTTGGTACAAGAAGCATCATTTACATTTACTGGCAAGTTATCATGTCGTGATATGCAAATACTCAAACAGATTAAAAGCAAATTTGAAAGGAAAGTCACAAATAGGGTAAGAATTTGGGGAGGATAAAAGATTTGATATTCAATTAGAGAAGATCAGCATATAAAAATTGTTTATGCGGTTCTGGCTAAATTCAGAGTAAAACGGAACCATTAAGTGACATTGTTTGTCCATTTCGTATTGAACCACAAATCAATAGTATTTATTTACATGGCCATCTATTGACATTATTTTTGTTTTGTGCAGGTCAATGAACTATGTGTTGGTGGTATAGAATGTTCAATAGATGATATGGAAACAACTTGTGAAGAAGATGATGGTAATAAATAAAATAATATCTTACTATAGTTCAGTTCATAAACACAACTGTAAACTGCACCAAAACAAAAGAAAAGCAGACACAGTAGACGGCTATTGTGCATTGTTTTCTTTTACTCCAGGAAACATAACCCAAAAGACACAAACATGCTATGCGGACATCTATCTCAAATGGCTTGCCTTTATCAAAGATAGGGAAAACAAATACATAATAATTGCAGCGTCGTTCACGTTATACATGTAACAATCCTTTCCGGTCAGCAAGTGATTTAGTGCGTTAATGTCACGTGTCCGATTTTTGTTTTATTTCTGAGATGCATTCATCAGGCTATCATATTCATAAAATTGCCATATATGTCATTTTGACTTGCAACGGCTTAAATTTACACACACATATAAGACCCAGATAACAGAGAACCAATTCCTGTTTACGATTGCTCAATAAGCACGACACTTAGTCCGTGTACTCATCTTAATATTTTTGAGGTATATGTTTATCATTTCTAAATCAACTACAGACATAAAGGCCAAGGTGTTCATTCACCCTACGACAAAAGTTATCATCCGATTAGTTTAAAATTTCTATATGTATTATTCAAACTATGAAATATAGTGCGAAATTGCCCTTGATTATGTCTTAGAATCTTGAAAATGTCGCCATACTATTAAAGAATTTAAAGATTTTGCTTTTTATTTACCTTAAGATTAACAATGTGAAAAACTTTGCAAACGACCGACTAAGCTGCTGTGAACGCATGTTTCGTTGCCTGGCAACCAATCTTATAACCCGATGAACGGCAACATAACGAGATGCTGTATCTATTCGGATTATTGACTTGTGATGGACACTAAACTTGGCCAGATGGTGTCGGCCGTCGAGTTACCATTTATAACAGTTAAAGATCCATTATATAAGATTGAGAAAAAGAACTGACCGTTTTTGCTATAAAAGTTCAAATTTATATAAGCAAAATGAATATATTGAAAATTTCATTCAAATTACTTTATTCTAGCGACGTTTTGACAAGATCTGACAAAGATTGTTTATTATCGTAGCAACGGTACTCGTTAATCGAGACTAAACATCGATTCGCCATTTTAAAATTAAATCTAAATAGTTATCGTGTTTCAATCCGTTTAAATCTCCGCCATTCGATGGCCCAGAGAGTTGATTATAGTCTTGTCATGTGAAAAAATGTCTAAAAATAGTTCATATAACATTTAAAGCAAATAAATGTTTATAGGATGTGTAATGGTCCGTTGTTGTTGTTATTACAGATTTTAATAAAGTAAAGTTGACGCTAGGAAACAGACGGAGACGAAGTGCTGATAAATCATCAGATAAACCCAAACAAAAACCTAAATCATCTCACAGAAAAACGATTCTTACTTTTGATTTTGCCCTGGAAGGTAAGATTTAACATATTAAAAGGCAATCTGATTAAAATACAGATCAATATTTCGTTTCGTTTTTTTTTAAACTTTCGATTGCTTGCACTACATGAAGATCTGACCAGTTGTAGTGGAAGGTCGCGTCAAGTGTCATACGAGCGGCTAATGACATCAGACATTGATTAATCAATCAGCCTTGACGTTTCTAGTGGTTTACCCAAAATTCCGTGCACTTCACGCCAAAAACTCGACGTAACAGACCGTTTCATTGGCTAATGACTCGCAGCATCCAGAACGCGAGTTATATAACAACACTTCCAGATCCTAGTGTAGTAAAGACAAATAAAACAAAAATTAGAACTATAAAAAACGAAACGTAATACGATCTGTGTTTTAATCAGATTGATTAAAAGGCTGAAATATGATTTGAATCAACATGAAGTGTGAGATCTAAGTGTTTTTTGATTACTTCTGGCCAAGCGCTATATAGTCATTTTATTTACCAAAATAGATAGATATTAGCTTATAATTGCTGACTGTTGAAGACAAAATCATTTTTGTTTCAACGATGCCTTGGCCAGTCATATTTAATAAGGTTGAATTTAATGTAACTTATGCTTCCATCTTTGGAATAAATCTATGGAGAGAAGAAAAGACTCCACGTTTTGCGACTTGCGTCATAGTAATAATACTATTTGACATTTGCATGATCTATTTCTGGCGGAGAATACTGTTACTTGCAATACAACCTGATTTCTCTTTTATTCACAGGTTCGGTCAATCCAACTGGTGATACCGGAGAAGATAGAAAATCACAGAAGAAATTAGAAAGAACATTAAAAAAAGTTATACGAACATTACAAAACGATGCGGAAGGTGGTGATTTTGATTTACTAACATATGGCAAACAAATAGTTTATAATGGAATGGAATTGGATTCAAGCGACCCCAAGTTCAAATGTGTCGACGGGCAAGTTCTACATGGATCTGATTGTGGTACACTTCATTATTTTATATATTTTATATTAGTATATTAAAAAAAGGCCTCTTTTAACAAATAATATATACTTGTTCATTTACTTACAGATAAGTTAGACCTAGTAAGACATATATACGTTATGCGAGAGAGAGAGAGAGAGAGAGAGAGAGAGAGAGAGCAATGGGTTTAACGTCCATCTGAGCCAAACTAGGTCATTTCGGGACTAACGTATGGTTCAGTTTTATTTTAATAATATGGGTCTTTAGCAGTGGAAGGAGACCCTAGGACCCGGAGAAAACCTGCGAGGATGGACAAGCGGCGCTACTCCTTGTGACGTACAAGCGAGGAATGTAATAATAATGGTAGAATTTTTGCTCTTTAAATTAATAACATTATATGATATCTTTAACTAATTGAACGAGTAATGGGTTGACACATAAAAAGATTTATTAAAGCAAAAAATAGCTGGTTCTGTGTGAAAACAAAATATCACCAAATCACTTATGGTAGGAAAAATAATATTGCATCATTTGGCATAGTAACGAATCCTTATAATTAACTACGTCATATTTGACCAATTAGATAATTGAAAGCCGAAACCCAAGGGTAGAAAACCACCAGAGCTCTGTGCGATAAACAGACATCCTCTAGATTCTTAGAGAGGAAGATGTAGCAAGTTCGATCAGTAGACTCGTTCTGGCGAGTTTGGATGAGAGTGAGGTTGAGAGAATGGCTTTATTGTAATCTATGCCTGTAACCTATGTATCCAGTGCTTGATATAAAAATGTAGAAACAAACTGTTGCATCGTTGTACCCGGTAGACAAACGTCTTAACTGCTATATAGTAAGAAGAAAATACACAACGTGGAAAAGGTCCTAGCCATAAGAAGAGAATTATAAAAATAACCAGACGATCACAGGGCTATTAAAATATGTAGCAGAATAGAGTATGCGTCACACTTCGTTTGTTCGGAATTTGTCCATGTGCTTTCCACATCTAATCAGTGACGCATAGCACTGCATAGTACTACATGTCTGATTTGGTGTCGTGACCAAGATCGACTTTCAAGGGGATCTGGTGGAAAAGATTTTTTGTGTGGGAAAATTCGCAAATGGGTAATATTTGATTTGGTTGCCGTGCCGAACACGACCTTTTAAGGGGAAGAATTTGTCTAGTAGAAAACCCGTGGAAGAAAAGAAACCCGGAAGATTAGAACATCCGTGTATAAATCAGTAACCAAAAGAAATCTGATGGAATAATTGGTTGAAATATTTGCAAATGGGTAAATACATTTTTCTGAAAAATTGAACATGTAAATTTGTTAAACAGACCAAATAATGTTTAGTAGTTAATATCAGATTATGTGACGATAAAGCACCTTTGCGAAAAGTGGATAAATGTATACGGTAGATATTAGCCGTATATAATTTTATGTTATTTTGTGTCATTAAATTTTGCATTAAAAACGTAATATAAAGTTTAGATATATATTTGCTAAATGTTATTGTTTCATGCGTATGTTGTTAATATGTGCAATCAAAAACTAAGTATGTTCTGATTGTCGTATTCCGAGTGAATGGAGTGTGCAGTCATTTGCTCTCGACATAGTTCTATGTAATAATGTTTATGTACCGCTGATGTTGGAGTAAGTAGGACCCTGCTTGTTTTAGGCATTCGGAGGTGTAGGATAACAATATAATTGTTTTGGTTTTATAAAAAAAACCGAAATACAAATTATAATTGATTAGGTCAAAAGGTTAGGTGACTGGCAGTAGATGTTTATGTAACACTGGATAATGTTTATGAAAAATAGAAGTTCAACTTGTAGATTACTGAGTTAAGGTCAAGAGGTCAAAGTTAGTTTGCAGATTTATAATTTAGAATTCTAATGATTAAAGAGACACATCAAAATTTAATGATAATTATATGAAGTTTTAATTTTAATTAAGAACAAGAGTTAATAACAAAATTTAGATATAATAATGTCCGAATAATATTAAAATAAAGTTTAAAATTAGGAATAATTAATTCTTGGTCTGATGGCGATGACATGCTTTGATTTGACGGATGAAAATGTCCAGCCAGACATTAAAGAAGTGCTGACTGAAAATTCTTAGAAGTTGGGATCTGTTGAGAATATGGTAGCTGAAACAGACCAATGGAAATTCAAGATGATGTATTGTAGAATTTAAAGTGAAAACTGAACTTAAAAGTGCTGTGTTATAGTGTTTAGAGATTAGTGAATTATTGTAGGACTTTGAAGTTCAGTGATGAACTTTTGGAGAGCGATTGCATGTGATTGTTGATCATATGTAATCTTGTATGTTAATCGTATAGTGATCGTATATTTGCATGTTACATGAATAATTTTATAATTATATGGTTTAGTAAATGGAAGTTTTTAAGGGTCTCCTACCTGATAATTTTGCACAAATGTTAAAACAGCGTAGGTAATGTAATAATATCGATGACGTGATTTGTGCTACTGTATGAATACTTATATAATCCTATATATTTTGTGTCATTAAATTTTACTTGAGAGAATGACTTTATTATAATCTATGCTTGTAATAATATGTGTCCAGTGCTTGACATAAAAATGTTGAAACGAACTGTTGCATTTTTGTACCTGGTAGACAAACTTCTTAACTACTGAGATAGTAAAAAGAAAATGGAAAACGTGAAAAAGCGTCCTAGCCATAAGAAGATAATTACAAAAATACCCAGAGACAATATTAGACATATTAGAATATGTAGCAGAAGAGAGTATGCGTCACACGTCGGTTGTGTACTTTCCACATCTAACCAGCGACGCATTCACTGCATAGTAATATAGGAATCAAAACCACGCCAATTGACTCAATGACAAACCTTATGATGCAAGGTCCAACAAACCCTCCTTTAGAGAAAAGGCTATAAAAGTTCAAAATATTGATAATTTCAGTCAAATTACTTTATTCTAAGCGAAGTTATGAATGTGTTGGTAAGAAATAGCCATAAATTGCATTATTATGTAAACCTCAACCACATACATTCTATTGTCAGTCCTGTCATGTACAGTCTGGTGTCATATTTGTATTTAACGCAGATATCGCATGCTTTATCTAATCCACTATATATTTAAGCCATCCGATTTTCTAGAGAGGTGATGGTGGACTTTTCATGTGAATAAATGTCTAAATAATAATTTTTACAACATTTACAGCCCGAAACAAACCCGACTATAGGCAAGTTAAGCTAGCGCACAATGCCCCTTTAAGAAAACAGAATTAAATATTTATGATATACGTATTCCAATAGTGTGTTTTTATTGTCCAATAACAAATACAGGCCCGTATATACTTATAAAAATGTGTCGTCGATTTTCAACAGTTTTCAATTAACTGTCTCAATAATAACCACATCATTGCTAATAATTATATTTTTAGTGAACTGTCCGGTTGGTACATTTTTCAATGTTGTTAAGAGAAAATGTGAAAGTTGTTCTAAAGGCACATATCAACAATCGGAAGGTGCAATTAGATGTTTAGTCTGTCCAAACAAAACATCCACATCTCAAAATCATTCTAGAAGTGAAGGGGAATGTTTAGGTATGATTTTACACATATGTTTACTAATACATTTGTACTGATTTCATCCAACTATAATATAGTGCCCAAATGACCAAGACTGCACTGTCCAAAACGGCATTGTCCGTGACGGCTCCATAAAAGTAGACAGCAATGTACTAAATTACCTTTATGATAAGACTTAACGAGATAGATCTAAAAATCAATTTTTTTACACGGTAAAATTGAAAAGCCATTACGCTGTTGATAAAACTAAATGACATTTAGCGGTATCGGAAGGAATTTGACTTCGCCGCATCCCGGAAACTTCCTGACTTTACAGGTTATAAAACCGAATCGACCAATCTGTAATCAATTATTTATTAATTAACACATATTTGACGATGGATGACAATTCATTAATTTTCGTGGTGAAGTCGATACTGTACCAATTTCAGCTGTCGATATCTTAACAACAATACTAAAAGTGGCCAACAGACTGGCTCCCGGCAACTGAAAGTATAGTAGTTGTATTGTCATTAATCGGCCTATGTCTTTACACACACGGGAGGTACAACGGGGCTCCAATGTTGAATTAAAGATACATTATGTAAGGTTTAGATAAAGAGCTGGCCATTCTTGCTATAATAGTTCGGAAATAGATAATGTAAAATGAATAATTTGAAAATTTCATTCAAATTACTCTATTGCGAACGAAGATTAGCCTTTGGAGAGTTGACAAGATGTGTGCAATAATTTCAACCACCGTACTGGTTGTTCGAAGCTAAGTCTCGCTCCTCCATTTTTAGCTTAAATCAAAGTATGGCTGAACTGTTCTAATCTATTTAGTATCGGAGAAATCCGATGCCATCGAGAGTTGATTATGGCCTGGATAAGTTAATTAATGTCTAATTAATAATTTAGATAACATTTCAAGCCTAAAGAAAGACCAGCAATAGGCAGATTTAGCTCTTGCATAATGTATGTTTAAATAGAAATGTGATATAACATTGAGTCTTTATTAGATATTGTACTGTTGTTTGTTTGTTATATAGCACAATGTTTACCTGGTAGTTTTTCACCGACGGGTGTTGAAAGATGTGAAACGTGTTCAATTGGTTGGTACCAACCAGAATACGCTCAAACCAACTGTACAAAATGTCCCCCGGAAATGACGACATCACGAAGGGGAAGTCGTACATTGCAGGAATGTAAAGGTATAATATTATTTATATTAAAGCGTTATAATAACGATTTTATATCCTTCAATGAAAAGTACACTTTACTTGTAGTAACTGTTTTCGATAAAATCAAACAAAGACCCAATTTTGGGTGGTTTAATATGCCAAAACAAAATTTTATACTGTCGGTGTATTTGACGATCGAAATGGCGTAACGCCAGCAACCCATCCTCCCATCCCCTAAGCACCTCTGACCCACACCCCAACCCCACGCCCCCGCTCCTAAATACACCATTACCGCTTTTATAAAACCCACATACGAATCAATATTTCCGGTCCCTTAGAATACATGTACATGTTTTCTTTTTCGATAGAAATCTGTCTATGCGATTATGTGTCAAAGATTAACCCCCTAAAAGCCCACTCCCGCTCCCGCCCAAGCTCCTTCTCCTAAGTACGTCATTCGGGCTTATTATCGCCATCCAAGTCAGTATATGTTTTCTTTATAATAGAAATCTGTCCACGTGGTTATGTGTCAAAGAATGGATTGGAACCGTGTTTTGCTTGTCCAAGAGGAACATTCCAGCCTGATAGTCAGAAATCGGCTTGCTTTGAATGCCCAAACAACGCATCAACGTTTGACATTGGAAGCGTATCGTTGAAAGATTGTGAAGGTATGTTGACCAGCATCTTAGAGTATATAAATTAAAGCAGATAAGAAGCAAGGATGTTGTTATCCAATAGCACCAATGACTGTCTTGAGTCCAGTGAAATGTCACCGTAGATGGTTACATATATATTTAACATTAAAGGGATATTGACAAATAATATTATAACCGCGTTTGTTGAGGCATTTGGCGGTAGAACCAGATGTTGTTATCTGTAGGTCATTAGATCCTTATTTCAGATAGCGATTTGTCATGTACTTCAGACCCAGTGTCAGTTTAATCTAGGTAATCTACTCACTATTTGAGGTGTGCAGATATAATCATGATTTTGATCACAATATCACTTCTATTGAAGTAAAGATTCAGCCAACCATAATTGGCCATGGAGGCCATATATGTATATATTTTCAAATGCGGATGGTGGTTTGATAAGATCAAGAAGACACGAGTTAAATCTTCTTTATATAACTGTTGAATGATGTAATATTTCGAATCCAAATTTACAGAGATGTACAAGATATTATTATATCTATTGTATGTAGAGCCAGAAATCAATAGTAAAATAACTCAAGGTCACCGATTTCGGCATCACCCCTTTAAGATTGCAGTTGCAATGAATTAATACCCAGTTCATATTTGCCACCGTAACAGCCTGAAACGTTTATCAGTTAAAGGGACAATTTTAGCATTTATTTATAAATATTTTAATCTTCAGGTGATTGGGATTTACAGAGTGACGGTGAGATATCAGAGATACAGAATCAACAACAACAGTTATCTATTAATGGATGTTTTGAGAACCCCTGTATAAATGGCGGTACCTGTGTTCCTAAATTTATTACTTTCACGTGTAACTGTCCACTGGGTTATGGGGGTAAATAACTTTCATTTATAACGTTACTATTGTTAGTCATCAACAACGACAAATGTCTTACTTGATTTTAGAAAATATTTAAGTATATTTGATTCTATTACGGCTTTGCTGTATAACAGACTTCAATAAATGGTCCATTTTTGTGCTTGTTTATTGCCTTATATGCACTGCCACGGTGTCCGTAGTTCGATCACTAACCGGTAATGGCAGAAAAAGATTAGCTGGAATTATCATTGTGCCCTGTCCCCTTGTCAGTGTAGGACGGGGGGCCTTACAAGGAACGTCGTTAAAGAACCCTTGGTGTGCATTGATTTATTCTTTAGTGCCAAGGGGCTTCATGATGCAGCATGGGGTTGTGTTACCAGGTTTTGAAGAGATTGGCGTTTAGTTGTACGGAATAGTTTTCATACTTTCTTATGTTTATAGGTATTTTTTGTGAGAAAGTTTTAGATGAATGTGAATCTAAACCATGTTTAAATGACGGTACTTGTATTACACAACTAGGAGATTATAAATGCAGCTGTGCTGACGGATTCGAAGGTAAATATTCTGTACATACTTCAGATAATAGTTTATTGGAAGAATCCCAGAATATGAGACATATTTGCTGATAATTACATTTTAATAGCCCTTGATCATATAAAAGAATCTTGTCTTCGCTCCCGTCTAGATTTGATTCTAGAGATGCTTGGTGCTAAAATGAATTATTTATCACCCGATTGACTCGAAATTCATACACAATGATTATTTAACTGTATGCATTTTGCTTACCCAACAGTTCCAATTGTTGTAATCCTCCGAATTCTACTTTCACTCACAGAATTTCTACTTTCTATAACTGTATATTCTCCAAGGATTCAAGATACCCAAGTAAACATACCTTTAAGTATATTAGATACATTCTTAAACTATATTTCTGGTGTTCAAGTTACAAAAGTATTGTGTCTATTTCAGGGAAGAAATGTGAAATCGATATTAATGAGTGTGAATCGTCGCCATGTTTACAAGGTGGTACATGTATTGATGGTGCTAATAGTTTTGTATGTAATTGTCCGGCTGGTTATCAAGGTTAGTACAAATGTAGTTCGCGGACTGTTTCAACCCAACTTCCCAAAATATGGCCGTATATTGCCACCATATCGGTCATCTTTCCGTCTTCCACAATTGCCTGTGGACACTCTAGAGATTCTGATTGGAATATTTACACTTAGACGCCTAATTGTATAGTGAAAATAATGATAATTTGTACTCGTGTAAATCTTCATACCCATAGATAAAAATATTGTTGAAATATAATTGTTTATGTGTTCCTTTGTCGACAATTGGCGCCAAAAACAGAACTAAAAGTAGTAAACGAGCCGATTTTAAGCTTCATCTCTGGGAACCATTATGTTGATCATGTTAACCGAATTTAACACTCAAAGACGTCTATTTCCTTTAATTGTCGATTTAAAATTGTTTTATTTTTAATAATTACTTTTCGTTGACTATGATTTTTTTTTAAATAAAAGGCCTGAAAGAATCTGTTGATATGATAATAATGTAACGTTTCTCCAAGTTAGGTGTGAGGTGTGGCAGTGACATCAACGACTGTTCAGATCAGCCATGTCGTAATGGTGCTACATGTAAAGATAGACTAAAAGGATATGAATGTCAGTGTGCTGAAGGTTTTACTGGTTTAAGTTGTGAAATAGAAATAGATGAGTGTCTAGAAAATCCGTGTAGAAATAACGCCACTTGTGTTGATATTCCTGGTGATTTCAGGTATTTTTTTTTTTTTTTTTTAAAAAGCTGGTAAAGCGATATTGTCAACTGTGTGTAACATTCAATTTATCATGGTGACAAAAGTTGGCGTAGTTAGCTGTCAATGATCCGATTAAAGTACATTTTCGAAGAGCGGGTGTCCATATCTTTCGAATCCAGTGTCATGGTTAATCGAGGTACCTTACTATAAATATAACCCAGATTACCAAGGTTTTATCATCATCATCATCATTGCGTGAAGTGGGGAAGTGTATTTACAACAATTTTGGATTGCACCGATTATATTTAGCTTTCATGTGAATATAAGCGGAGCATCAGTCCACCGGGCTCATTTGAAAAAAGTATTACCCTGTTTATTTGTATCTTCTGTATAGGTGTGATTGTTTAGCTGGTTATACTGGTAGAAAATGTGGAAGAGACATAAATGAATGTAATCCAAATCCTTGTAAAAATGGTGGTAAATGTGAAGATCTTTTGAATGGATTTGTTTGTCATTGTCTTACTGGTTTCAGAGGAGACGACTGTGCTACAAGTTAGTAAACCACTATTTAGAACTTCTTAACGGCAGTCTAGTCCTTCGGTTTGTACAAAGACTGAGGTCAGTCCGTGTACGTAAAACAAACCTTGGCAGTCTCACAGAACACTACCCGACATTTGAAATCCTTAAGGTTATTTCGGGCCATTCAAGGATTCGAAACCTTATCGCTCCACTACCCCGGCACCTATTAGGACATATAACTGACAAAACGCCAGGGGGTAATCGATTGGGCTGTATAATTTACAACAGCGCACAGACCAACGATTGTAGTGTTTTGTTATGATATCATTTTACTACCAAGCGATGAATACATAGTTCTTGGTTTGGGAGTCACGGTGGCTCAATGAGTAAGACGTTGGCTCGCTAACTTTGAGGTCCTGTGTTCGATCCCTGCGTTGGCCGAGAAAGTTCTTCGGGATTTTCTGGCGTGGTTCCTCCTTGTCATTGGTGTAGGATCGAGGGCCTGGCAAGGGAAATGTATAGTCGTTTGGATGGAACGAACAACTAAGGTCCTGTGTACACATTGGCGTGCACGTAAAAGATTCCTTGACATTTGGAATTCGATATAAGAGTATGCCGTAGCGCCGCTGTCCGGGCAACATTTCCCTCATAACACACTGTATGGCGTGTGCCCGTTTTCATTAGCCCAGTTGAAGCAGAGCAGTAGGCTGTTAAACCCCATTTCATTTAAGTTCCTGCTTTCAGGAATCTTAATATTATTCTTAGCTTATAATTGTTGGTAGTCTGCATGTATTTGAAAGTGATGTTTATAATTGCAGCATTAGATGTAAACTATCAGTTAGATTTTGCTGATGCTGGTATAGTAGATCATGCTCAGATTCAGTTTCCAGATAAACCACTCAATTCTATAACTGTTACATTCTGGATGAAGAGTGATGACTTGCTCAACTTCGGTACACCATTTTCGTATGCGGTTCCGGGCACAGACAATGCCTTCACTTTAAGTGATTATAATGGGTAAGAACCCCTGTTTAAAGTTCAAATTTTCTCACCGCAAGTTTTCTATAAATTTGGATCTTGATCGGGCCTCTTAAGAACATGACTTATTTTTGTTTTATCGTAGCTGGTCCGTATTAAAGTGCACACTATAAGACATGCGTCTTAATGACGTAAAATATTTTGGTTAGGCCAAAGGGAACCCATCCCCACTTCTCACTCACAATCACAAAAACAAAATCTTGTCGGCAAATACTGGCAAATAGTCTTTTTTTCAATATTTTTTAGCCTGCCAGTAGTATTAGAAATAATTTATAAGGAGCTTCGGGATATAAACATGCGTTTCGGGACCTATCCGGTCAAGTTTACTAGTTTGGGTTACTTTTATTTCCTGTATTTTCTATAGGTTTGTTATTTACGTGAATCAAGAGAAAAGAGTAACAGATCTGATAGCTAATGATGGTCTATGGAATCATATTGTTGTTACATGGTCCAGTAATAGAGGATCGTGGAAGATTTATCAAAATGGCCTTATTATTGATAGTGGTTGGGATCTATCAACAGGAAAACCAGTAGAGGGTAAACAATATTTATTACAGGGCGTATGCCTTTATTTTTTGGAACCTTGAAATAGACGAAAAGCATATGTTAGTGTAATATGAATGTATATAAATAAAAATATTGTAATTTCTAATCAGTTATGTTCGGTGAATAACGTGAACATTTCAAATTGAACGACAATCGTTTACGCCTGCTTAGTCCATTCTACACGTTTTTTTAAATTATTATTTTTTTGTCGTTTGTGAATCAGCCTTTACTAATTACTCCCACATTGTCTTGTAGGATATGTTTTATTTGCTCATAGAATACACGACTCGTGTACTTATTATAAATTGGTAATTGTATCTTAAATATTGGATATCAGGATCCTATATTTTCACAGCGAGATAGCAACACCAATATTGATTGGAATTGACCAGTATTAAATTCTACTTTGTGTTTTTAGCTTCGAATATTATGGAAAATATTGAGTAAGAGATTGAGGTCCTTCAATACTAAGATGAATTGTGTTCGTAACTGAGATCACATAGTACAATGTATTTACTATAAAGATTATGTTTCTTGAAGATCTGGTGCACTGAGTTCATGAATTGTGTTCTTACTCGTAGTCGTCTGAGATCTCATAATTTTAGATTCCCCGCTTGTGCGTGACAAGGAGTCGGGTCGCTTGTCCAGCCTCCGGTTTCCTCCAAATGCTTGGCTGCCGGAAATCATGTCTGTGAGTCTGATTCATAAATTAGACTGGTTTTTTTACAGGTGGGGGTATGTTTGTGATTGGTCAAGAACAGGATGACGTTGGTGGTAGATTTAGTTCTAGCGAATCGTTTGTTGGTAGTTTAACTCATTTAAATGTATGGGATCAAGAATTACCCCTAACAACTATAGATGATATGAGAGTGAGTTGTAATAAATATTCTGGCAATTTGTTAGCCTGGCCTGACGTTTTCAAAGGACTACATGGAAGTTTAAGAGATAGCCCGTCGACTTTTTGTGAAGGTAAAAACTAGTTGTGGTTTGTATGGTCATAGTGATTTGTTACTTATATTTAGCGATTTATAATATAATATGAATGTTACAGACTATAGTGCATGGCAGTTAAAGAGATTTCCTCTAATGCTATAGTAAAAAAAAATACATATATTGCTTGTTCCAATTGTGCTTTATTTCTCACGTAAAATAGCTTCTAAATTTCTGTCAGTCTATAGTTAGTGTCAGTAGTGCATTTAGTGTTAAAGATCGAGATAGAATTATTTCTCTGTGTTCGGTTGAGAGTTTCGACTTATATAAATTTTAATACAACGCAAAACAAACATTTAATAACAGGAGGGGCTAAATCTCTTTGATGTAGGTGCAAATAAAGTGTCGAATTAGATTGTTTTGATGAAATAAAATCTAAACGATAAAATACACATTAAAAAATACAACATGGTAAGAAGTAAATGAATATCAAATAAAATGGGTTTTCAATTTTTTCTTAATCCAAATCAGAAAGGTCTAATCACTTTAAGCGTATAATGGTGCTAATTATCTATTTTATGTATTATTGACATTATTATGTAGCATGTATCAATATTCATGTATCGATGTAGAGATTTTATTCGTTAACAGTTTGTGGATGCATAGACCTTTGTGGAATGTATAGACCTTTGTGATATAAATTTGTATTAATAAAAATATCTTAATAAAGAGTGGTTCAATATCTAGTAGCTATTTGACTCTTTGTTTACAGCACATGCATGCTATTTGCACCCATGTGATACATTCTTCTGTACATATAAACTTGTTACAGACTTGCATTATTCTGACCAATTAAAATCAGTTCTCTTTTATACGCCCACATTGAAATGTGGCCGTATATTGTAATCGGTCTGTCGATCCGGCGTCCACGTTTGCTCGTTGGCGCTCTGGAGACTAAAGTTAATATCCGATTGGCTTTAACTTTATACACAGTGTTTAGGGTCATACGACGAAGAAGCCTGTTGATTTTCAACAATTCCCTATAATTGATGTCAGAGTTATGGCCCTGGGCCACTTTGAAAAATATTGTGGATACTCTAGAGGCTAAAATTAATATCCGACTGGCTTTAGATATATATACACTGTGTTTATGGTAATGACGCGAAGGGCCTATTGATTTTCAAGGATTTCCAATAATCATTACCAGAGTTGTGGCCCTTGATTACTTTCAAAAACTTGCGCCTGCTTTACAGGCCAAAGTTGCCATTCCATTGACCTTAAATTGATACTCGTAGTCATATTTAAGTGTATTGTCTCATTACCGACAAAAGAAAAATATTTACAACCCTTGTTGACTGCCAGACGACTTTGGTGCTGTGGGCGTATGTTTCGTTGCCTGGCAACATATCTTTATATCATCGTCATTCTCCGCCCGAATATTTTTTTTAAAAAGATATCTGTATGTTTAACGTAATTCCCATTTTATCAACTAGTGTTTGTTTCACAGTCTTCGCACAAAAGAATCGAATATATGCCGAATTTTCTATTTTATTTGAGAATTTGACCCTCTTCTGTTCACGAACCTCCGAATCTCATTTTATATGCCTACATTTTCATGTGGACGTATATTGTGGTCGCACCTGTCCGTCCGGACGTCTGCCCGTCCACAATTTGTTTGTGGACACTCTACATGTCACAATTCTTATCCGATTGTGACGAAACTTGAAATATAGGTTTATCTCCAAAAGATATCGGTTCCTTTTGATATTGGCATGTATTGTATCTAAACTTCGTGGATTATGGCCCCAGATTGTACAAAAAATCACGTTTTTACCGTGTGGACACTTTAGAGGTCATAATTTGAAATACATCTTTATAACCCAAAGATCTTGGTGCCTTTCGATATTCGCACATATCGGATGGTAACTTCCTGATTGTACGAAAAATCACGTTTTTATTTTTATCCAATTTAAAAAAAAAAAACCATTTGAATACATCACCGTTACACCCTTATGATGGTTGAATTCGAATTTCGTGAAAATCTGACCAAAACTGCCGGGCAAAATGGCCGCCCCTCGTACGCAAATATTGTAAATATATGGAATATCAAGGTTGTGGACCCTCTAGAGGACACAATTTTGATCCGATTTTGATGAAAGTTGAAATATATGTTTATGTCCCAAATATCTCAGTCTGTTTCGATATTCGCGCATTTCAGACTATAACTTCCTGGATTATGGCCCCTGATTGTACGAAAACCCGCTGGTTTTTCTTTTTTGTTTTTGTAAACAATCTGTAAAGTTACATACGTACGAGTAAATCAAATAAAATAGTAGAGAGTTTTGGCAGGCGTAAATTCCTGGATCGTATCGCGTAGCCGTATGGATTTTGCATGTGTCGTCATCAATGTGTGTGTATTTCTCATACGTGATACGGCACACGGATACGGCAGCACGTATCGAACAGCTTTCATACTGAAAAGGTCCCTGTTGTAACACTATTGTCTTTTTACCGTCTTCCTTGCTACTTTTAGACGCTGAAATGTTGTATTATAGCGTTTTTATGAAATTATGTACTATCCTGGAACTCGAAGGTGTATATTTGATGTGATTTTAACCATGATAACGACAGGAATTTAATCATTATTTCCTGTCTGTCTGTCTGCATGCTGGTTGATCTACGTGCTAAATTTAGGGATGCGGGACCTTGCAAATCTGTAAATGATTTTATACATTAGTGAAACCAAAAATTGCTGTCGAGTTGAAGTCGAAGATTTTTAAATTACATTCGACATTAATTATTCTTTTATTGTCAAGCGACTGTCGAGCGACTTCACTCCCTCCGGGAAATTGTAGGCTAGGCACTTGACTATTACTGGTGGTCATCTGCCCAAACTCTAAAACTACATTGACGCAACGTATTACACGATGCGGATACGTAATACGGATGGGTAAATTCCGCTTGCCAAAAGTCTCTAGTAACCTACAAGTTAAGTATGTACGCAAATCCTTAAGCAGTGTACTTGCACAACGTTCCCAGATTGGTCCATTCTCAGGTATTATATTCATAAAAGTCTTCAATGTATCAAAATATTCATAAAAAAATATTAGATAATTTATTTCACAAAATTCAATGAGCCGTATCATAAATCGGATATACAAAAAAAACACACTCCTGAGATTATATTAAATGAAAATGTTTTTATGTTCTAAAATTAACTGATTAAAGTAGAGATTAATGTTATATAGATTGCCCGATCCCAGCCAAGCCTGATTTTGGTAAAGTTGAATACACTGACGTGAAGACAGCCTCTACAGTTACCTACAGCTGTTTACGTGGTTTTAACGTAGCCGGAATGAACAATCAGCTATGTTTAGCTACCGGAGACTGGGAAGCAGAAGCACCACTCTGTGCTAGTAAGTAAAATAAAGGGTAATTTAAAAGGGTTTACAGCTATTAAATTTAATTGGGCATACAAGACTCTAATGCAGACAAACCCATAAAGCTAATATCCTATCCAATGGGCGGGTCTACTATGAAACCATCGAAGCTTAAGCTTCTGGGCCCCTAGTCCCAGTGGGGTCTCCGGATTTTGTATTAATGGTGTATTTTCTTCTGTCCTTGAACATCCCCATTGAAGAAGATAACAGTGGATACCCAAACCTGTAGATCCTCCACTGTCCTACCATGGTCGAAAGAATTTTTTTTTCCGAATGGTGTGTTTCTAGTTCTTGAATCTGGCATGTGATTCATGGCAGGATCTGGGACATTTAAAGATAATTCATTGAATGATACTTTTCTTTTACAGAGGTTGAATGCGGTTTCCCAGGGAATATTCAAAATGGCTACACAGAAGGACGAAAATACAGTTTCGATAACCGTGTTCGATATCATTGTTATAAAGGGTTTGAACTTAAGGGGACAAAAACGCGTTACTGCAATGAATATGGAGAATGGGAAGGCGATAAACCAGAATGCGTTGGTAATTATATCGATTTTAATACATTTCAAAGACAAAGCGTAATTACATGTATCTAAGGGGATAGATTTCGTAAAGTATTTCAGATACTTGCCAGATCTTGAATCACACACGACTTACAATTTCCAGATATTAGTTCTACCGGTCTGTGCTGTTTGAGCACAGGGGATAGGGTTCCGGTTGGAGTACATACAGGGTTATTTACGCAAATTTCCATTAATTTGATTGGTCAAAACCTAAAAGTGCATTTGAAATTATAAGAATTAAATTCGGACTTTTTCTCTAATAGTTTCCTTTTTGTGAAGCCAATGAGATGGGAAGTCTTTATATTTGCTGAAACAGGAACTATTATCTTGTTGTTCTTTTCGCTCTTCTAATTAAGCCTAAAGCTTTCCCAATTCAAGTACATCGACATTTGGCACGATTGTTACTTGTTGGGCAGCGATGGACGGGTCGCGATTTTTGATATGACGTCACAGTTCCAAGATGGCAGCCATGACGTAATGGTCGGTTTCTGGTCCATGTAGTACTATTTACTATCGTACTTGTATGTTACGATTTATAAATATCAAATTAACAAAGTATCAACATGATATTATTTTACTTATTTTAATTGAATACAAAATATTAACAGTTTTCTTTTTGTCTTTCAGAAATAACATGTGAACTGCCCCTCTTATCAGAAAACACTACAGTTTCATCACCAAAGAATAAATATGTACCAAGAAACGTTGTTCAATTTATCTGTACTCCCGGGAACCGGATGTTGACGACACATGATTCAGTCAGGTGTCAATCAGATGGTACTTGGGATAAAAGTGTCCCAACGTGTGATCGTCTAAAGTGCTCTAGTCCTCCTAAAATAGTTAACGGGGGTGTAAACAATCCAGCCACTGAATATTCTGTAGGCGGTCAAGCTAGCTACAAATGTGATTTTGGTTACACTTTGTCACTCAAAGCTACTAACACAAAGGGTAAAATATCGTGTTTGCCAAGTGGGAAGTGGGAATCGGATCTGCCTGATTGTGAGATTGTAAAATGTCCGGAAATCCCAGTAGTTGCAAATGCGAAAGTTATCTCAGGATCCGACGTGATATTTCTCTCGATCGTACAATATACGTGCAACACTGGATATGAAATGATAGGTGATGATATTATCGAATGTTATGAGACGGGAGAATGGTCACCAGAACCACCTGAATGTCGACCTGTATCATGTGGTAAACCAAATGACATCTTGCACGGTGTTATTAGGGGTAATGATTATGAGCTTAATAGCGTTTTAATCTATCAGTGTGATACGGGTTATAGACTCAATACCGAAATACGAAGCCGGTGTTTAGAAAATGCAAGCTGGACAGGAATTGAACGATTCTGTAATCCAGTGTCTTGTCCACAACCTACTATTATTAATAACGGTCAGGTTATTGCTACAGACATTATATTTGAGAGTGTAATTACTTATGTGTGCAATGAAGGATATGACTTGGAAGGCCCAGAAGAGAGATCGTGTTTAGATTCTGGTGAATGGTCTGCTACAGAACCAAAATGTGAACCAGTAAATTGCGGACCTCCGCCAGATATCGTTGATGGAAATTTTTTTGGATTACCACCATATGTGTATGGTGTAGTTGTTACATACTCCTGCAATGTTGGGTACCGACTCGTCGGTAATGATCAGATTATTTGTGACAGCAGTACGTTTTGGTCTGCAGGTTCTCCTGTATGTGAGCAGATAACTTGTCCCGAGCCGACTCCTCCTGTAAACGGTTATGTGAATGTTCTCGGTCTGACATACGCTAGTGGAGCAAGTTATGAATGTGCTGAAGGTTATGTTTTAGATGGTGTTAGTTTAAGAACTTGCCAGTTAAATCAAACTTGGACGGATTCAACTCCTACTTGTAAAGCTACCCAATGCCAACCGCCAGATCCCGTCAAAAATGGAGGTTTAGATTTTAAAGACTTAAGCATTGGATCTATCGTCACTTACACTTGCCATCTTGCTCATACTATGGTTGGCGAACAAGTGCGAAGGTGCCAAGAAGACCTTACGTGGAGTGGTCAAATTGTCACGTGTAATCCTGTCCAGTGCCCTAATACACTCAGTGTTACCAATGGAAGGGTAGATATTACCGGCACGGGCTTTGGCTCTATCGCTATCAACATTTGTGACGAAGGCTATTTGTTAGAAGGAGAGGAAGAAAGAGTTTGTAATGAAATTGGTGAATGGTCCGGTGAAGATTCTCAATGTCTTATAGTAGAATGTGATAAAACAGGACACGTAATCTCTAACGGCCATATGATAGGAAATAATTACACATATGGCTCTGTGATCAATTATGTTTGCGATGATGGTTATACTATGTTGGGTTCATCAAGCAGAATTTGTCAAAGTACCGGTGAATGGGATGAACCACTTCCAGTGTGTCAAAGCGTTCGCTGTCCAAGCTTTATCTTGGCGAACGGTTTTGCCGATGGATTCCAACGAGACTTTGGTTCGGTCGTATCATATTCCTGCAAAAGGGGGTTCACCTTGCAGGGACCTGCCTCTCGAAAATGTCTTTCTGGCGGAGTTTGGGAAGGTGATGATCCAATCTGTGTTAAGCTTGTTTGTCCAGAAATCCCTGATCCATTACATGGCTCTTTCTCATCTCCTGATGGGTTAACTGTAAACTATCAGTGTGATGAAGGTTATACATTGAATGGAGCTGTAGAGAGGACATGTCAGGATGATGGAACTTGGACTTTGGAAGATCCGTTTTGTGAGATAATCTCCTGTCCGGATTTATCATCATTGATAATAAATGGGGGCTCGGTTATTCAATCGGGCTTCACTTTCTCTGAAAGGGCAACATTTGAGTGCCTCGACGGATATAATATCAATGGGACGGCTGTATTAACTTGTGAAGCAAATGGTGAGTGGTCGGATATGATTCCAACGTGTGTCATTGTCTCTTGTGGTGAACCTGGAGCGGTATTAAACGGAGTTTTTATAGGAAGTGTATATACGTACGGCTCAAGTATCAGATATTCTTGTTCAGAGGAATACGTACTCATTGGAGTAACAGAACGCCTTTGTGGAGCGGATGGACATTGGTCCGATTCGAGTCCAATTTGCCAACAAATAGTTTGTCCAGACTTGGAAAATATAGAATTCGGAAGTGTTACTATTCAGTCTAATACACCAACTGGTTTTGCAAGGTATTCGTGCATTCCCGGATATGAGCTATTTGGAGAAGAATCAAGGGAATGTTTGGTCACTGGTGAATGGGAAGAACAAGACCCCGTTTGTGCTCCCATCCACTGTCATCATCCTCGTGCTTTGGAAAGGGGTCGAATAATAGGAACGGATTATCATTACCAACACCAAATTGTCTATGAGTGCCTTGAGGGATATGAGTTAGTCGGGGATTCTGTTAGGACTTGTGCAGCAAATAGACGATGGAACGGCACAAAACCTAAATGTGAAATCATTCGATGTGAGGACCTCGGATATATCACCAATGGTAGAATCATCGGAGACAACTTTGAGTATGGTAGTAGCGTGACTTATGTGTGTAACGACGGATACGAATTAGTTGATGGGACAGCCACCAGAACATGTACAAAGAACTGGGTATGGGATGGTAGTAGGCCGCGGTGTAAAAGAATATCATGTGGTGATATTCCAAGTATTCCGTTTGCTACGATAATAGGTAACGAAACTCTGTTTAATACAAGTAATATAATAGAATGCGCTGAGGGTTATATACCAATAGGAGAACCTATAATAACATGTTTATCTACGAGATCTTGGAATATCGGTGAATTTAGATGCCAAATAGTTTCCTGTCCAACGATTGAAAATATCCAAAATGGACAGGTACTTGGGTCTGATTTCATTTACGGAAGCAAAATAAATTTTCTGTGCGACATAGGTTCTGATTTAGTTGGTGCTGAGTTTCTTGAGTGTAAAGCTAACGGCAGTTGGGATGGTGATGTTCCACGCTGTCAGATCGTTACTTGTGCCGAAGTTGTGCCAATCCGATTTGGCAAACCTAACTCTACGCTTAATACGTATGGCACAACCATAAGATATACATGTAACAAAGGTTACAGGCTTATAGAAAGTAGTGATCGATTCTGTTTGGATTATGGAGAATGGGATACCCCGGTGCCATATTGTCAGATTTTATCATGTCCACTAACAATAAATAAAATTACCAATGGTAGACTTCTTACAGAATCTCTTAACTTCACTGTTAACGCAACAGCAAGGTTTGAGTGTAACGAGGGATATGAAATGGTTGGCAATGAACTTCTCGTGTGTACAGAATCCGGAGAATGGAATAGTGGTGTACCATCATGCATCAAAATTAACTGTCCTCAACCAGGAGGTCTAGATCACGGGAACATTGTCAGTACAGATGATCTTTTAACTTACAGTTGTCGTGAAGGGTATATTTTACGGGGTTCTACTAGACGACGTTGCACAAGCACTGGGCAGTGGGATTTTGAAGCTCCTGTTTGTCACCCCATTGCTTGTCCAGATCCACAAGATTTAATCAACGGGGAAATTTTAGGGAATAATTTTACTTTTGGGACTCAAATAGAATATCTATGTGATTTTGGCTACATTCTTGTGGGTAGTGAGCAGCGAAATTGTGAATCTAACGGTGAATGGGATGTTCCTGCGCCATACTGTGAAATTATTTCTTGTGGAGCTCCTCCAGTGTTGTATAACGGTGAAATAATAGGCGATGTTTATACATATACGGCAACTTTAAAGTATGTTTGTGGAGAGGGGTATTTATTGGTCGGTGCGGATGCCCGTGAATGTCTTGAAGATGGATCTTGGAGTTTAAGTGCACCTTACTGTACAAGAGTAACATGTGAGATTACACCCATTGAAAATGCACGCATAAGAGATTCCCCAACCATATTTTATGCTGGAACATTCATTGCTTACGAATGTTACCCCGGCTATAGACTTAGTGGATCTTCGACTGTTGAGTGTGGTAATGATGGGAAAACTATATCCAACGAAACAGCTGAATGCATCCACGTTACATGCCCACCTTTAAACAATCCAGCTAATGGAGTTCTTATAAATGATGATAGGACGGTTGGTGCTAGAGCAGAATTTGTGTGCAATCCATCGTATACATTAATCGGCAGTATTGAGTTGAGGTGCCTCGAAGACGGTAGTTGGGACGATGAATCACCATTGTGTGTTCAGCAACTTTGTCCAGCGCCAGAAAATATTGAACACGGTGGATATCGAGTTTCTTATCAATCAAATCGTGTACCTGATAATGAATTTAGAGTCGATGACAGAATCACATATTACTGTGATATTGGTTATGAAGCTAGTGGGTCTGCTTTAAGTCAGTGTCGTTATGATTCAATGTGGTCTCACAGACCTCCTGTTTGTTTACCGGTAAATTGTGGTACTCCCCCCACAGTGGATTACGGCATCATCGAAGGACGGAGCTACATTTATCAATCACAGTTGGTCTATAGATGTCAACCTGGGTTTCATATCATAGGAAATACAATGATTGAATGTGGAGATGAAGGGGCATGGATTGGCGATCTACCAAGGTGCATTGGTGACTGTGGACAACCACCGTTAATCAGATCAGCTACGTTTGAAATAACTGAGACCACGACATTAAAGAGAGCAACGTACACTTGTAACTATGGTTCTCGGCTTAGAGGAAACCCCGTTGCAACATGTGATGAAACTGGTAACTGGGAATATGATAGTGACTTGGTCTGTATTGAGATATATTGTGATGAGCCACCAATACTGCGTTTCGGCGCAGTTTTAGCTGACAGCAGAGTGGTGGGATCTGAGGCAAAATACGTGTGTGATAATGGATATAGACTGGTGGGATCTGTCAGCCTTGTGTGTGAAGAATCTGGTAGATGGGAGGGCGAGATGTCTTACTGTGAACCTGTAGACTGTGGAGAACCACCAGGTCCGCATCCTTATTTGGGACGAGATTTCTCATTTGGTAAAGAAGTGAGGTATCAGTGTGAAAAAGGTTTTCATGTTATCGGCGGCGATATTACTATATCATGTCAGTCCAATGGAGAGTGGAGTGGTGTTGGCCCAGTTTGTGAACGTAAGTACCTATTTCGTCCCTAAACCGTGTTTAGTCAACTGACGAGAAGAGAACAATAAGAGGAGGGGGGTTGGGCTTTAAATACACGTTTTAAATTATTTGTTTCACTTTTATGATAGAAGGAAATGTTACTAACTTAGGTCACCTACAGTTTCTTGCGAACAGTAAAGACTGCAATAAGATCTTTTTCAAATTTATATTTGTTAAGGATATTAGAGAGACGCAGATCCTTTGCGTTTTCTCAGCGTGATCCGCAGAAGTTTATGTAATTTCAACCGTTCACGATACTTGTCTCGTGAGTCTCAATTACTTCCAGAACTATTTAAATTACTCACTTTGTAGAATTTGGTGGACGCGACAAAACTTATTATCCGATCTGCATGCAATTAAAATACGTTGATCAGGGTAGTGCCATTGCTCACTTTAGAAAAACTTGCGTAATTAGGTTACTACAGTAATTTTAAGTATAAAGATTCTGGTTTCAATTTACCTTTCAGGCTGTTCGTGCGGCTTAGCTATCGCGGCCGTGTGTTTCGTTGCCTGACAACTCAACTTTTTTATTTTATAGAAAACTCCTGTGGTGTTATTGAACTTCAACCACATGTGCAAGTTATACGAGGTGATCCTGTAAAGCAGATTTATTATAACCATACAGTAGAATTTGCTTGTGAGTCAAATTATGTGATGGTTGGAGAGGCTGTCCTACGATGTTTGGCAACCTCAATTTGGAGTTCAAATCCACCAAGCTGTGAGCCTATATTAGGTATGATGATAATTATTTCTGAAAATGTCTATCGTGCAAAATCAGTGTGGATTTCAAAATCTCATGCGTACTGGTTAATTGAAGTGCACTGATTTGCTGATACATGTAGATGACATTCACAGAGAGTCCCCGACGCGTTGGTGACTGTTTTACTGACAGGGGCGATAATGATAGCGGATTCGGTCTGTAAAAAGGATCGGGCGGGGGGTAACTTTGAAACGGAATATAGGAGAATGCTGAATATCCTCTCATGATCCCAACGCTCCCCACCAAATTTTGATATTGACCATATGTAATATTTTGGCAAAGGGGGATTTCTCTGGAACTGAAAGTCGCAGAATTCTGAATGTTGATAGGGTTTGTCCTTTCATGACAACGCTGCTTCGCATTAAATTTGAAACGATTCTGTAAACAACTATAGACTCTGTTGCGTTAAAAAGGTTTTCGGCAAATGGGGCCAGGGGTGTGACCCTGGAATGGAATACCGAGGAAGGTTAAATATCGATAGGGTTCTTCCTCTCACGACCCCAATGCTGAAAGTCACAGAATGTTGAATATTGATAGGGTTCACAATGCTTCACAAATTTCAAAAGAATCAGTTAAAAGCAATGGCTTCTATTGCGTCCACAAGGTTTCCTCTAACGGAAAACCGAAGAACGCTCCCCATCGTATATGAACGTTGACCAAATGTGATGCTTCGACAAAGGGGTGTTTACTCCGGAACAAAAAGCTTTGACTTTAATTCTATTTGGTCTTTACCTGATGGTCCGTTACATTAATAAGCAATAATAACCATGTCGCTGGACTACCTCACCACTCCCCAGCATTTGTGATATTCTCTTTCTCCTGTTTCAGGCATTGTTTCCTTCTGTGACCTTCATGTAGATATTCGGAACTCTCAGTCTATGCAACAGGGTTATTCTAAAGGCGATACAGCTACTGTAAGATGTGAGAAAGGGCATTACTCTGTGGGTAACATGGGCACCGCATGTCTTGATAATGGAAAATGGAAGGTTCCAAGTGGTAGATGTCGGCGTGAGTATAGTTTCATGGCCTACCACTCTGAAAATATCTTATATACCCGAGCTAGGTTATGGGCCAGAAGCAGCAGCAGACATTCACAAACAATTTCGTTTTGTATTTTTATATGGTAGCCTATTACGTTAACATCAGACGTTTGAAGTCGGCGTTCTGATCCCGTTAACTTATTGGCTTTTGTACATCCCACTAAAGATTCAGTATGGCCAGAAGTTGATAAAACATGGACATAATAAAAGTACTCATGTCGAGTGTATAGGAAGCACAATCTTTTTAGCTGATTGGTGACAAAAAGGCAAAAGATTTACCCATAATAAGTGAATCGGAGATCCATACATAGTGTTTAATTAGTGTCTTATAATCTGTTGGTCGTACTCTTGAGAATAAATGTACTCATGTCGAGTGTATTGGAAGACCAAATCAATCACAATCTTTTTAGCTGCTTGGTGCCAAAAAGACACAAGATTTCCCCGTAATAAGCGGATCAGAGATTCATACATAGTGTTAAATTTGTGGTGTTTTTTTTATGGAATCATAGGTAAATATTGTGGAAGGCCAAGGGTTAAAGATATAATGAATGTGATAGTTCAAGGCCAGTCGTTTTTCTTTGGTGATCAAGTAAGGTATATGTGTCGACCTGGATTGAACCCTAGCCGATTTCCTCCAGTATTAACATGTAAACACAATGGTAGATGGGATGGAGAGGCAGCTTGTTCAGGTTAGTTCCAATCTTTCCAGTTTCCATATATATATAGTTTCAGAATGTATTTGACTGGTAAACTTGCCAATATAAATCACACCAAAAATCGTCAACTATGACGCGCAAGGGGCAGGAATGGTCTGAGACGGGGCTGATAGGTATGGCAGGTTCGGAGGCCCATAAAGACATAAAGAAGTTATTATGCTCATGTAGTTTGTGACCCCTTTTTAGTTTTGATGCGCATTTTTTTAATTTGTGTGTGTTAGTTCCTTTAGCAACTGCCTCTGAGCGGACGATATCCACTGACAGTTCCTATCGGGCCCGATATAACTGCAATATGAAAATACCGCTCTTCCCTACCTCTGTTCTAGGGCTATTTTAGAATCCTTACCTACTATTTTCACCTTGATTCTACTTTATTCGCCAAAGGAATCATTTCTAGCCACACTATTTTCAAGTAGAATTCTGCGATTAAAAACATACATAAAATACGTTTGAACTAATCAGTCTTTATGAGACTCGAACATGTGCAGACTGCATGTTTATTTTATCGCTAAATGTTACTTGAAAATGGTGTTGAATTATTATAAATTTGTGTCAAATATGGTGAGAAATGATTCCTTTTGGCGGAAAATAAAGATTCGTGGTGAAAAATAGAAGGGTCAGGCTTCTAAAATAGTCTGAGAGGGGAAGAGCGGTATTTTACCGTATTTTCATATTGCAGCTGAACTGTCAGTGGACATCGTCCGCTCAGAGACAGTTCCTAAAGGAACTATGTGTGTAGTGTGTGGTGGTAGTGGGCGGGGGGTGGGGGGGGCTTTGTAACCTTGAATTGCGTTGGCAATTCGTGCATAAGCTAGAAATAACAACAGGATATATACCCAGTTTTTCAAAATATTGCTCGCGCAAGGGGAAAAGACACTCAACCCCATCCCCTACCCACTGGGCCTCCAGCCCCCAGTCCGTCTATGGTAAACAGTGGAGAAACAGATTCTGCACAGATAGGTGGGGTAGGGAAAATGTTATACATTCGACTATCAAATCCATGCACTTGATGCACAGCAGTAAGGGTCGGATTAAAGAGGAAACTAACTGGGCTGCAGCCAGGGGCCCAAATATTAAAGGGGTCCCCAATATTAAAGATACATTATGGAATGGAATATTAGATAAAGAGCTAGCAGTTCTCACTATAATAGTTAAAAAACAGATAATGTAAATGGAATATGCTGAAAATTTCAGTCAAATTGTTCCACTCTGAACTGAGATATTGGCGTTTGGGTTTTAAGAATAGCCTCGATCCTCATTACTAAAGTCGGCAGCAAATCGGATTCAAATCCAACACATAACATGCCATTGAAAGTTGATTATGGTCTTTTTATGTTAATAATTGTTAATTTAATAGGTTATATAACATTTCAGGCCTAAAGAAAGGATTGCAATAGGCAGATTTAGCTCTTACATCATGTATGTTTAAAGGGGTCCCAAATTTGTTCTAAAAAATGTACAATAAATAAATGTCATTTATTTTGTTGTATATGTTTGTACCGAATAAATCTATCCGTCTACCATGCTGACATACAAATTGCATGTATGTGAGTGTGACGGACAATGGTCAGAATATGACCCTTTTCAGTATTGATGCAAGGGACCCAGTGACATTTTCAGCCAGGGTACCCATAGCAGCTTAACCCGGCCCTGGCAGCAGTTTTAATGAGGCAGACCTTTTTTTATTCTTTATGTTTGTTTACAGCTCATTGTAAGTTAGGATGTAGAAATGGTGGTATGTGTATTGGTATGAACAGGTGTAAATGTAGACCTGGATATGGTGGACAACAATGTCAAATACGTAAGTTCCTCAATCTTCCCCCACCCCTCCCCAATCAAAATAGTTGTATGGCATTTATAGTTTTTAAGATAAAACTGGCAACCACCTGGTATAAAACCTGGCAACCACCTTGAAATCCAATATAACGGCTGATGTAAGCGAATTTTAACCTTCGGATACTTAACAGATACAGTAAGCGTCAAGTTCCTGGCATTTATAGTTTTTGAAGTACAAATGAATGTCTATAATGTGGCATCCATCGCAAAATCTAATACGGTGACCGTTTGACCAAATCTGATACTTCCATAATGTTCCTTGACATTGAAAACATGTATAGACAATTGGGTTTACGTCCAATATACAGTAGGATTGGAGAATTGAACAAAAATAGGTTATTTTGGTGACTATTTTGGAATTCAAGATAGCAGCCACCATGGTGCGTCATTTTTTGGGGATTCATTTTTTAAAATGATACTAAGTTGTCACTCTACCCTTTTGTAAAGTTCAATGCTTTACTCAAGAAGTGGACGTTTTTTATGCTTTGCTGCTCTACTACAGGCACACTTAAAATCTGTGTCCGGTACATGAACCAAAATCACATCCGAGCACATAAGTTATCAACCATCCAAACTTTCTTAAAATTGAACCATATATATTTTCAGCAATTTGTATATTACCTTGTTTAAATGGTGGTAAATGTGTAGCACCGTATATATGTAGTTGTCCTGAAGGCTATGGGGGTTCCAGATGTCACCGAGGTAAGATAGGTCTCAATACTTGGTTTTAATATTTGGGTCTCAATCGTTGTTAAACGGCAAATAATATCTCCATATTCAATTAATACTATGATTTTCAGCGTCATACAAGAGAACTTCACAATTAAACAGTTTATCATTACTTCCGTCGGTAACTTAAAGGATGTGGATAATTTCCTGTTCAAATTGAGCTAATGAAGATGGAAATGTACCATACAGTGTGTCGTGGAGGATATTTTGCCCGAACAGCAGTTGAATTGAATTCCAACTGTGCATAGGCCTCGGTTTTGCTGTTCCTTGCCAAATTTTTAAGTAGGCCTAGGTCTACTGCACCACTGACAAAGATAAACCACGGGAAGTTTCTCGTCCAACACCGGGATCGAACTACAGACACCCTGGTTAGTGAACTAGCGCCTTACTCTGAGTAACCGTGCATTAAATCTGCCATTACTTTTAGCTGAATTTAGGTTATTTGTGCATATTAGTATTACGTCTTGTCATTATTCTTAATCGGTCAATGGTATTTCCAGTTGTTTTTCCAGTTGTTCATTACAAGAAAATGTGAAAAAATGAGCACCTTGTCCTTGCTTTTAACTGTTCTTTATAGTTTAGTTGCCTCCACATATTAACCTTACAACAATTCCTAAATATAGTTTAATTGCCTCCGTCTATTTACATTGTAACGATTCGGGTGGGAAAATAAACGTGCAGGGGTCGACACAATCTTAGTCGTGATTTGACAGTGAAACCCATTGAAATGAAATGGTGGTTTAGCGTCCTACTGTTCTGCCCCAACTGGTTAATAATAGTCCTGAAATGACTTAGTTTTTGTCGAGTGGATGTTATACCCCAAAATCTCGATTCGAGTATCTCGTGAGAACCTCCCTGGGGGCATTTGTCATATAAATATATAGGAAAGGGAAATAAACAAATTTTGTGAAAATCTCCAAAAATTAAACTGAAAGGAAGTACCAAATCCAGTCGAAGTGCCCCAAGTTCAAGAAAAGGGACACAAAGTCCAAGAAAAGGCACCCTCTGTGTCCAGTAAGAAAAGGGGCCCTTTGTCTTCATGACAAGGCTCTCTGTGATTGTGTCCAGTAGTAAGGTCAAGAGCCATGCGTGTGACCCATCATTCATTAATTTTATGATAATTGTATTTTAGCTATATGTTCTCAGTCTTGTGAGAATGGTGGCCGATGTTTACGACCAAACAGATGCCAGTGTTATAATGGATTCCAGCCTCCTTATTGCCAAACGTAAGATTAATCCTCTAATAAATAATTATCCTCTTGATTCTATAAAGCTGTATATTTTATTTCTCACATTTTGAGACAAAATGGTTCTTAGCCCAATGAGTTGTTAGCGCTTGACAGGCTGCACATACTAAGATTTAACTCCCATGTTTTATGGAAATTCTAAACTTTTCTCAAGACTTTTGTTAACAGTTTCTAGATGAGCAATGGTGCATTGTGTTCTGGTTTTATCTATGAAATTAGATGTTAAAGAAAAAACTGAACCCCGTGAGTTTTCGGACGTGAGTTTTCGGACAAAATATGTCCAAGTCACTCTTGACACCCAAGCTGTGATAAACATTATTTTGTATAGTAGTATAGTACATGTAGTGTTCAACTGAAATCCATTAAAGGCGCATTATGGGAGATTAGATCAAGAGTTGACAGTTCACACTATAATAGTTACAAAATAGATAACGTAAATAGAATATGCTGAAAATTAGCTTTTGAATTTTAGGCTAGCCTCGATCATGTTTTTTTAAGTCTGTACGATAAAAAACAGTCTCGATTATCCATTTTTACATTTAATTATTTTTCAAAATATGTATTCTAATCCGTTAAATATCGCAGGCTAGCAATGACATCATCCAGGGTTGATTATAGTCTAGATAAGTTAATTAATATTTAATTAATAATTTAGATAACTTCAGGCCTAAAGAAATACCTGCAATAGGCAGATTTAGCTCTTGCATAATGTTTGTTTAACTCTTCTAGTAAACATATAATCAAATTTATGTAATCTTTGTTCCAACAAGAATAGGAAAAAGTCCATGATCAAGGAAAATTAGGTTTCCAACCAAGCAAGCATACCAGTACAATTTTGATGAGTTTTTGTCCTATAGAAATTGACATTTATTATTATTATTATCTGTATTTACTTGGCCGTCGTTAACATGTTACCCAAGTCATCATCTATCTATTTTGCAAAACATAATTGGTATCTTGTTTGATTACAGCAAAGTTATACCAAAATCAAGACGAAGATCAGGCAGATAAAAAGGAAATAATCACCCAGTTAGCCAGGAAGATTTCTTTGTATTATTATAATATTTAATGAATCGTACCAAATAGATTTTATACTTTTTGATCTGTAAAATAATGTTCCATACAAACCCTGTAATTCCATAATCTGTTAACTTTGTGGTCGTATGTTGTCCTCTGGTCTGTCTGTCTGTGTTCCACAGTTTGTAGTGAACTCTCCCGAGACAAAATTTATCATCCAATTCGTTTCTTTATAGACTTATGTTCTAGCAACCAATCTGCTTGAATTGAATATGCATTGCTCAGATTAGTGAGACCCAAAAGCCTAACAAATTTCAATCATTTCTGTTCATTAATGTAATTTATAGTCTTTGTTTCGATTGGCTTGGTATTAAATTACAGGTGATAATTAGAGATGCTCTTGATCACAACCAGTATGGCCTGCTGCAATGACTTGGGCATACGATTCACTGCATGTCAACCTATTTTTCTGCAACTAGTTTGAATCAACCCAATCCATAAACAAAAAATGTTTTATCCTGAAAATATTTGCCATTTGAAAATAAAATAGCAAGAATGATTGATAAATTCAAAACATATATTTATACATTTCATTAAATTTTATTTCACTAAATATCAAGTAGAATGTAGTAAAAATGTTATTATGTACAGTATGAATGTATCACATAATATATAATATGCAATTATTGATATCATTATATGATAATTGACTAAATAAGCTATATGCTTATATGCAACAGCTTGTAATATTTTAATGTATTATATAAAATATAAGAATATACTATTAAGACTTTTCTTTTTTTGTTTCTACAGTAAAAGGCACAACAAATGTCCCTATTAATTGAACTAACCAGAAAAATTAAATTTAGTCACATAAAAATATTTTAGAATATAATAATCTTATAGCCTTAAAGAGACATTATGACTTTCACAAAGGAAATTAATATAACTTTCAAAAATTAAATTTAATAAACTTTCATTAAATTCCTTGAAAAATCACTGAAAAGTTTGTATAGTCGAAAATGAAGACATCTCAAAATTTGTCTCAAATTTTGCATACAATCGAATTTACATGTGTTTATACTACTAATTCATTCTATACAAATCAGGTCATTATTTCCACAGTTTTTTAGCCTCAAATATGACAGTCTTTACAGTATATATAGTATTTATATCTTTTTAACTATGGTAGAAACTTATATGACATACAAATTTTAATGTTAAATTTGTTAGCACACAAGTAAAAAAAACTCTGCTGGCGACTGAATGACATATTATGAGTAGAATAACAAAATACTTTCATCTTATAGTATCATCAGTCTGTCTGCAAGATGGCTTATCCCCCTTTTAAGAATTAAGACAGTTTTGTGTCTACACTTGTTCTTAGGTTAATTATTTTCTCTCACAGTCTCTGGACGATCTTTCAACTACATGTATCTTGGGCACAGGTAATTGTGCATGTTACCAGACCACATCCAGCACATTCCTTCAAGTTACAGAATTTTGTGATCCATCACGCTGATTTGTAGAGAACTGTTTTTGGAAATTTTCAGCATCTTGAATTTTTTCTTTGGTACAATAATCCTGAAAAATGGATTATTTGGTTTTACAATAATACCCTTAATAATTGTAAGCTAAAGCCCCAAGCAAAGCAGTAGGTACTTTTTTTCTCCATTTGTGTATGCCAGATCTAAATCTACCTACAATTTATAAAATTAAGTTGCCAAGCAACAAAACCTACACCCACAGTCTCAGAAGCTGCCCATAAGATTGTTGCGTTATGGTTCCTTAAACATTTACAAGTACAAGACACTAAATATTGGTAGCCAAGCAGACCATAAATAAAGGCTGTCATTTTTCTATTGTGGGTAAATAGAGCATTTTCAAGCCTCTAAAAACTGATCAAAGGAAAACATGGCATATATTGTCGTCACACCCATTCGGCTGTCATCCACATTGACGTTCTAGAGGCTAAAGTAAGTAGTGTATTGAGTTTACGGAGCCACAGTGGCTCAGTGGATAAGACGTTGGCTTGTTAACCTGGAGGTCCCATGTTCATTCCCTGAATTGGCTGAGAAAGTCAATCTGTATTTTCAGGCAAGGTCTCCCCTTGTCAGTGGTGCAAGACAGAGGGTCTGGCAAGGGACAACATTATATGTAGTCGTTCAGATGGAACAAAAAACAGAGGTCCGATGTACACATTGGCGTGTACATAAAAGATCCCTTACAGCTGGAATTCGGTATTAGAGTAGGCGTAGGCGTAGGCGCTGCTTTCCAATGCAAAATTTCCCTTATAGCACACTGTATGGCGTATCGGTATGCCTGTCCTCATTAGCCCAGTCGGACCAGAATAGTAGGGTGTTAATCCCCATTTCATTTCTATTGATTTTTCAACGATTTCCGATAATAACTGTTGCTGTGGACGTATGTTTTGTTGCCTCACTACCTGTTTTTCTAACATCTTGGAACATGCATTTTTATTACAGAGCTATTCCTTGATAATTTGCTGAGTTGTAGTTTTGGGGCAAAACTTAAGCTCTGCTGAATAATCTAGAAAACATAATTGCAATTGCAAGTGTGCACTATCTTGAAGAAGAATCTTTGTATTTCAATGAAAATTTGATACATAATAATTAATACAAACATTGGTAACTTATTTCTACAAATATGTAAATACCTCCAGGAAGACCCGAGCCAGATTGCAAAGTCTTTTATTATTAGATTTAGAAAATCTTAACATACATTCCACAACAGGCAAACTGGTTATATCTGAAAATAAAACCCATGGAGCAATTATCTCTTTGATATCCATGATCTTTGTTTTGAAGAATGACCTCTTGTGATTCATGCATATTTCAAAGTTTCATACCAAAAAAAAATACACAATTAAACAATTTATTACTAGATCCAACAACAAAAGTTATTGTGAAATTTGGGAGGTTGAGATGTAGCTGTCCTAATCCTCAATTAATGTGACACAATTCTAATATGGTGGACATTGGTCTCCATTTCTTTCCTACTAACCTAAATTGAATCAACAAAAATGTTAAATCTTCCTGTGTTATTCCACAAAACAATCCTGTAGAGGTATATATCTAGTACTAAACATGGTATAAACATGTACCCAGCCTTAATCCCCAAATAACCAGTATACTTGCACATTTATCTTTATACAAAACATCAAGAAATCAAATTACTTATCACTCAGCAGAAAATGCCCATTATCGAACTTAGTTAAGGTACTGATGTAATGGAACTGTGTTTGATCACTTTCACTCAATTAGAATCAGAGTTATCGTGTCCAAAGCTTCATCAAATCAAATTGCTTATACATTGTACCTGCATAGCCAAGCAGAAAGTACAGATCATCAAACTTAGTCAAAGTATTGAAACTATACACCAAGTCTAATACAATAATAGTTATCACATTATGAAATTGATCCAACAAATTTTTTCTTTTATCTGATTTAAAATCAGAAGTCCTTAGAACTTATTACAAGTCATTACAAACCTGGTTTAGATTGCGGAGTAACTAAAAACATCAATGTTGTTATTGCCATCAAAACTGTTTCATTATTTGAACTGAAAATAACCCAAAACGTTGTGGTCAACAATTCATACAAATAGTAGGAAAGGCACATCAGTGAGAGTATTCTGTATAAGTGATTCACTTACGATATTAAATTGTTCTATGGTTCCATGTTAGTCACTGTTGTTATAACAGAATGCTGTATTGTAAATTAAAATTACCCACATTCCCTTTTAGTACCTTATTTTAACAATCAAGCCCACTAGTAAAAATTACCATTGTCTTTTCTATGCTATGATGGTATACTGTTTTGGTTACTGGGCCAATATATATATTATACATGTACATGTATGTGTAGCCCTTCATTGATCAAAGCATTGCTGCACAATTGCAATTCAAGTCAAGTCATCGTGGCAGATCATTTGAAGGTTCATGATGACAAAATCAAAGTCTAGAGACATTGAGCACATATTTTTCAAGAGGTATAATACTACATTTCACCAGAATGTGTATAGACAATAAAATTTAACAAACCGTATATATCAATACAATTTTATAGCTTACCTGGATAAATATTTAATTATCATCTGAACACCATTATTCTCTAAGAAATAACATTTATTCTCTTTATCTAAAATAAAGAGAATTTTTCATTCTTAATTATATGTGACAAAGTGTGGCAACAGTATCATTCCACATACAAGCGTAACCTCATTTTTAACTTTTAATTACATGTCCTCTGATCTCAAAGGAAAAGACCACCTTTTCAGGTGATATTGATAACCCTTTTGCGCACGGTACCGTAATGTTGCTCAGATCGGATGAAAAAGCAATATCCTATATACAAATTGGCAGTACGTACATATAGATGTAATACCAGCTGTAGATATTTTAGGTCTGATTATAATATAAGGACTAGTGCCACCATCTGGCAAAATAGTAAATATATTCATTCATGGTCATGTACATGTATTTCATTTCATTTCCTTTATGATCCAAGTAGAAACAATCCCGTAAATTTAACTTACTAGTAACAAGTGTTGTGCAAGGTAAACATTTTTCTGAACATCTGATACCACTTTTTATCTTATATCTTAGACAATTAAGTCTACATAGCAAAATGGCTTTTGAGTAACATATATTGGTATCTTTATGAAATAATGCAAACATTTCATACTCTTCAGGACTAGCATATTATGCTATGAATAGGAGTTGAGGACCCAAGCCAAACTACATATTGATTTTGCTGAATAAAATTATTTGCATCTTTAGCATATGTATCTTGTTTCTTACCTAAACATGAATTACAAATTCCACCAACAGCAAACTGAATTAAATCTTCGTCAGTGTCTTCTAAGGCATCTAGAAAAACAGAAATGGACATTGTTGCTTATCACTCGATCTGCTTAAACCTAATCAGAAAATGCACATTACATTGCACATTATATTAGTTAAGGTATTGATGTAAGTAAACACAGTTTAATCACCCCTTAAACTTAAACCTTCACAAAGTTATTGTATTCCAGACTGACTGACATATATTGCTGCTAAGCAAAAAATACCTAACTTAACAAAACCCAGTAAAAATATTCACCTACTGAACACCTACATGTACACAACAATAAAAAGCAAAGCTATTGTGTCCCAAAGTTTCGACCATTCAAATTGCTAATGACTTCTTGCCCCCGAGAAGAAAATGCTTATCAATATCATCACAGAGTAAAATTTTTACTCTGTGATATCATCAAACACATACCGGTACTTACCAAGAAATATGTCAAGTATGTTAAGTTTTCTAAAATATTCATAGTTGATTGGATCATATGCAAAATTGGCTAGATTTGATAACACTTGTTTCTTTGCATCTGAGAGGAGAAAAAAGAGCATTAATAATAAATTGTCCTCAAATTCAGTGTAATAATACCATTATACGACGGTTAAATCACTGTAATACTATAGTATAAATTGTACATATCATTACATATCTATATGGTAGCTAATGTAGCCTATATAATAGTGCAATAAATCATACAGATCTACAATATGATTAAACTTAAAATACAATACCGTACCGATATATTATAATATTGTGATTATACTATATATAATGTATTAATTAATACTATCCAAGAGGGTTAATAAATCAACAGATCTTAACTTTACCTGCATCTGATGTATCTTGATATTCTGTGACCAAAGATTGCAAATAGCTAAATCTTCCTATTCCGTGTGGCCCCGTTCGCTTGTCCAATTGCTCTTTTGATGAGAACATGATTACAAATATACAAAATAAATATCTAGACTAGAAACAAATTCAGTTGGTAACAACAATTTCCACCTGGGAAAACTTATCTTTTTCAAGGGACGTAACTCTAGTTATATTGTTTCCATTAATCAGGATGTATCCCACATTTAATTTTTCCATTGGCATGTTAACTTCGACTGTACATAACTTGTCATAACTCAAATGAAATGAAATGAAATGAAATTGGGTTTAACGTCCTACTATTCTGACCCGACTGGCCAAATTTTGCACTATGGCCTACTCTTATATCGAATTCCAACTACCAAGGGATCTTTTATACGTGCACCCCAATGTATACACGGGACCTCGGTTTTTCGTCTCATCCGAATGAATAGACAGCTGTCCGTGACAGGCCCTCCGTCCTGCACCACTGACGAGGTGAAACCACGTCGGAAAAGACTGTACATAACACATTTTCGTTGTGAACTATCCAACTATAGCTGAGAAAAAAACCTAAAAATCTGTGACCAAATTCAGCAGATCTTATTTTTAGGGTGTTTTCTGTATCAGACAAATGTCTTTGGGGCAGGGGTAGAAATTGTTTGAAAATAACATGGTTTCTAGCTTCATTTTGGCGTATATCTGTGGTAACAGGGGGCCACTTTGCTAACACAACCGGTAGCGGATCTAGAAACTGCGAAGGGGGGGGGGGTGCTTCCAAATCTGGGGCGCGATCCCCAGTCACACCCAGTGCCGGATTAAGACTCTGCTGGCCCTAAGGCACATTATGATCGGTGGCCTGAAAATACAGATATGTTGGGCTCATTGACAAACGGAATTAAGTTAAATTTAGCAACATAAAATTTATTACAAACAAATTCAGAACATTGACAGTACCGAATTTACTATAAGTAGCCTACATATTCCCATTCACTGCCTAGCTAGATTAAGACTTTGCGTGCTTTTGTGACTGCAAATTCGTCAGTTAGTTTTTTAAAGTCAATTTTATGAAGTAAATCATGTTCAATGCAGAGAAGTGCCAGTATACCAAGACGTTTTTGACCCATCGTTGATCATTTAACATCTTTAATTCTTTTTAGTTGCGAAAAAGAGCGTTCCCCTGAGCAGTTCGTAGCCATTAAAGATAAATAAATTCGGAAAAATAAAGGCAAACATTTTTGTCACCACCTGATAATTATCAAAAAAATTTTACTTTATTATTTTGTGGCCTGGATTTTTGGCTGGCCCTAACGGCACGTGACTTATTTGCCTTATGGTTAATCCAGCACTGGTCCCACCCCAAAATGAATGTCAACATTGATCGTATTGCCTATATTAATATAGCTGTTTGCCGATCGTTATCTCGTCAGAAAGCAGTTTTATGTAAGTTGACATAGCGAGCAACCCGAGGATTGGAATTAGGGTGGGGGGGGGGGGGGTATGTCCATCACATTCTGCTCGTAATATTGGCGCAGTCTTTGATAGTTTTATGCTTATGGGAGCTCAAGTAAATAATATTTGTAAATTGTGCTATTTAATATCAGAAATATAGATAGAATACGTACATTTGTAACTGTAGAGGCCACTCACTTGTTAATTCTCTGGCCACTTCTCCGTCCTGCATCACAGACAAGGGGAACCGCGCCGGAAAATCGGGATGAACTTTCTCGGCCAATGCAGGGATCGAACACCCGACCTCCAGGCTAGCGAACCAGCGCCTTAGCCACCGGGATCCCCTTTAATGGTCTAGAGCATAAGACATTAAGTAATAAACTAATATATTGAAACAACACGAGTGACGTATAGTCACCCGAGTTGTTGTTGTTTCAATATATTCCGCAATGTCTTATGCTCAAGACCATTAAACAACTTAAAATACAGATACGCGCACGTGCTTTGCAATGAAATACGTCACGCGGGTCCAAAATTTTAACTAGTATAAATAATGTACGCTTATTGGCACATTGCCCGTACCATTATTTGAAATAATGATACGCCAACATCAAAGGATATGACGCCACATCTGAATTTTAAATACGAATGAAGGCTAGCCTATATATTTTAAGAGTTTTATAGCAACCAGAGAAAGAAATAATGATACGCCAACATCAAAGGATATGACGCCACATCTGAATTTTAAATACGAATGAAGGCTAGCCTATATATTTTAAGAGTTTTATAGCAACCAGAGAAAGAGATATAGAGAGAGCGTATAGTTGCAGTATAGTTCTTTCTGATTATACTGCATATATACTCATGCAATTAGAATAAAGGATATTACTTTAAATGATATTGTGTGCTTAACAGTGTTTTTACACCAACCCCCATATAACAATCCAAGAAATCTCAACAATTTTTGTTTTTGACCCATGTCAAAGAAGTCTAATTATTTTTAAGGTCATTTGAAAGTCAATGTATTGAAATGAATAACACTTTCTGTTGTTTATATTACATGTCATTTTCATCACATGATGTACAGTATTAAATATCGTGTCATTGAATAATTTTGTAATATATGTCAATGTCATCCGTCAAATCCTCTGTCAAATGTGTACTCTATGTTTTTAAAACATTAAACTATGTGACCTTTTTAAGTTAATAGGTGGGACATTGAATAGGATTCAGAGACAGTTTGCCATTGTACACGAAGCAGTTGATGTTTCATTTGTTGGGTGGTAAAATAAACCGCAAGTAAGAAACACGTGGTTACTTGTTTATGGCAGAAGGGTCGTGACCTTGAGAGTAAGACGAAAACCAATCAAAACTGTTTATCCTTGTGACGTCATGAGACATTACCATTTCCTGAAGATGGCGGAGAAGAGTAACCAACCTCAAGTGAAAATAGGCCATTACATACTTGGTGAAACATTAGGTGCAGGTACATTTGGCAAAGTAAAAAGTAAGTATAAATTTACAAACAGTATATATAATTTGGAAATTGTCACGTCCCATGGCATAATTTGGAGATACAGGAATCGGGAATTTCCCTTGACTGGCGAGTTCCAGCCTAAACGAGTAGGCTAGCTATTATTAGTAGGTACGGTAACGTTAAAAATTGACAAATACTCAAATACGCGTGTTCTAGGCCTTCGCAGGGCCCAAGGTCACTCTTGTTTATCAGCATTGGTTTGTTTACATTAAAGTAGAATTTATCGTTAACATATTATGGATGTCAATGACCGCAGCTGTGTCATTTTTTTATTAACAAGAATACAAGATACTTAACTTGATTTTGTCAGTGACGTGCTCGAAATCTCTACTTTAGTGTCTTTAGGGCACACACAGCAATTAAATTAAGACTAATAAATTCTGTCCATGGCCTAGCTAAGCCTTCTTGTTTTCTTGGGCAAATCATTTAGTAATGATGGAGATATGTGGACCTACTTTTCTGTTCATATTCCAATATTACAATTTATCAATCTTTAAAAGTTTAAATGTTGATCAACCCATTTGAACTTGGTAGGCCTACACTACATCATACTACATCTAAATATTAACTACCCGTACCTAAGTTTCTTGAAGAAAATTAGAGAAAAGTGATATATTAATTCTAGTACCAGTACATCCCTGGACAGACTAAAACTGTTGTTCATAAAGTCTCCTCAAACTGCCTGAGATATGTGAATAGCTTTACATAATATTTTACCATTTACTAATTCCCGTCGTGTGACTGGGCGGTTTGGGGCAGCCTAAGTGCTAAAGGGTTAAAGTCGATTAATCTTAATTCTCCAGTGTTGTCCTATATCTTCACATGTCCCAGTTTCAGTATCTTAGATCTACATGTATTTTATAAATCGGCCATGTAATTTCGTTGAATCAAGACCATTTCCTCCCACAAGTGTTTCATGTATTTTTGCATGTAATTACTTTTAAAGATTATCTTATTCTGTTTCGTCCTTGTTTCTGGAATATATTTCTCTTTGGTTGTAAGGAATGATTGTAAATCATTATAAATATTAATACATTGGCTTCATATTACTATCACTCACTGTGAAATTACTCAAAGTTATTGATTGGAAGTAGGAAAATATTCAATAGATAACTATAAGATGAACTAATAGCCCAACTCAAAATTATAGGTGAAGTCGAATAAAAATACTCCACTGATTTGAATTGAAAACTCATCTGTTCAAATTATATTATCAGATACACCAGGAGCAAATTTAATAGACATAATTATTATTAGTTGGTGCAAATGAACAGTCTACATTGTAATTCTCATATTTTTTCTACACTAATTTTTTTTCAGTTGCCAAACATCAGTTGACAGGTCATAAAGTTGCAGTAAAGATATTGAACAGACAAAAATTGAAAAGCCTTGATGTCGTGGGAAAAATTAAACGAGAGATTCAAAATCTCAAACTCTTTAGACATCCACATATCATTAAATTGTAAGTTAAAAATGTGCAATGTGTAAACTTAATAAAACTTAGTAAATGCAAATATATATTTTAAAAGAGGGGGAATTACTTTTAAAACTTACATGTATAGATTGATTATGCAAAGTTGTTCAAAGACATCTATGTAAATAATAACATTCATTCCGAGCAAGGAGACAGTTATTGCAAGTACATATATAACCTACATTTGTTAGTCCATTCAAAATAGATCCTTGAGTATAGTTATTTTCCCTATCCTGTGTTTCTATTTGCTGTACATATCCTTTGTTGTTGAGTCAGTAGTGTCAGACTGATAAGCATAGTATCTGGGTTTTCAAGGGTTAGGGAGGGACCCAAAACCCCTGATCATTCTATGTAGATTATGTGAGTATAATAAAACACATATAATTATTTTTCTGTTTTTTTAGATATCAAGTTATGAGCACACCAACCGATATATTTATGGTCATGGAATTTGTTGCTGGTGGTGAACTCTTTGACTATATTGTTAAGCATGGAAGAGTAAGAAAATCTTTTCTACAGATAGGCTACCCACTGGCTTACTCTATTGATTTTGATAAAAATGGCATATTAATAATTGGTCAGATTAGATAAAACTTTTATGGAATACAATTACTGAAAAAAAATTAGGAGCAGCGCTTTAACACTGATTCTTTTGTCGTTGCCAAGCTCGCTGTAGGTGATATCTCAGATGGTTACTTCGCATAAAGTCATAGTGCCCTAAGATCATAAAACGCCATAATTTTTCTTGTAAAGTTGAGAATTAGGGGATTTAAACCAAAAGTAGGATTAGTATTCGTGTCTACAGGTACTTTAATCCAATTATACCCAATATCTCTAACCTCAGTTAACTAGTTTAAAGGAATAGATGTGCATGTAGTGTAATAGATAAAAAACAGCATCTCCATATTCCATGACACCCAGTGTTACTTATTTGTATTCCATAAGAGTTAAGTGTTTTATTTAAAACTTTGTTATGTAGAGTAAGGTTACTCTTTAAGAAAATAATTCTGTTAGTGTAATAGATAAGAAACAGCATCCTCATATTCATCACACCCAATGTTACCCATTTGTATTCAATAAAAGAGGTGAGGGTTTATTTAAAACTTTTATCTGTAGAATGATATAAGTGTACAAGTTACATCTGAATATCGTATAAGCTTACATGTAGCTATTTATGAATTTATGACAGTTTTAATATGCCCTAAAAAGGTTTTGCATATATTCATTATCATGATAAACAGTCAACCAATAGTGTTATATAGATAAATATTCATCCTTAAAGATGCATTATTCAAGAGCTAACTCTGCCTGATGCAGATCTTTCGTTGGGCCTCATATGTTATATAATTCATTAATTAGACATTTATTTACATGCCAGGCCTATAATCAACTCTCTAGAACATCGGATGGTTTTGATTTTCAACAGATTTAAATACGATTGGCAGTTAATGATTTGATTTAAAAATGGATAATTGAGACTTTGTTTATTATCATAACAACAGAAGCAATGACAAACGAGACTACACTGTTCTGCATATGACAATAACTTCGTTCAGAACGGGGTAATCTGACTGAAATTTTCAACAAAATATTCCCTTTTCATTATCTATTTTTTAAATATTTTAGTGAGAACTGTCAGCTCTTTATCTAAATCTTACATAATGCATCTTTAAGTGTTGATAAATATTTAAAAAAAATGTATATATCCCAAAAATCCCAATCAAAAATTACATTTTACATTAGCCATTTCAATGGTTTTAAATACATGTAGGAGGAAAGTTCTGTTTTCTGAGTAGAAAGAAGCAACTATATAACTTTTATATTTTAGCTAAAGGAAGTAGAAGCACGTAGATTTTTTCAGCAGATAATATCAGGAATAAACTACTGTCACAAACATATGGTAGTTCATAGAGATCTAAAACCAGAAAATCTTTTATTAGATTCATTTGGAAGTGTGAAAATTGCTGATTTTGGTAAGTACATACATGTAGTATATGTCGGAAAATAATAGCATTGATGCACTTTTGAAAACAAATTAAAACATGATGTTTTATTAATCATTTTATAACAGAAACTAGAAACAATTTAACAGTACAATTATTAAACATGTACTGGTATCATAAGCAAAAGTTATGAAATTTCACACCCATATTCAAATTCTTTTGTGATTAAGCCAAGCCCACTTACACATACATCTCTTTTCTAGGTCTGTCCAATATGATGCATGATGGTGAATTTTTAAGAACAAGTTGTGGTTCCCCAAATTATGCTGCACCAGAAGTTATATCCGGAAAGTAGGTTTTATGTTTCCTTTAAAGTTTAAAGTAAGGAGATAAATGGAATTTCTTGCTAATACTGTCTACCTTAAGAATTACAATGCGACAACCTTTATGAATGTCTTTGACGACTTAGCTGCTCTGTTTGTATGTTTCATTACCTAGCAATGCAAGCAACCTATCTTTATTTTTAATGTAGATTGTATGCTGGTCCAGAAGTGGATATTTGGAGTTGTGGTGTGATATTGTATGCTCTTCTGTGTGGAACGGTAATCTACAACTATTCATATAACTTGATTGTTTAAATTAAGAATCCACACTTCAAACACACATCTAGGATTATATATATATATATATATATATATAGGTGATTTTGTCATCATTTTATTTTTTTAGAATATAAGCGATTGGCTACTGCAAGTATGTCATATTCTTTCCAATTTTAGTTTTTGAAAAACTTCCGATTATTAATATGAAATGCAGTTTGCTAAGCATTAAGGTTTCTAATCTGTTCAAACGGATTGCATTTATCCTTACCTTTTCAGCTTCCATTTGATGATGAGCATGTTCCTACATTGTTTAGAAAAATTAAATGTAAGTTTAAATTTATTAATTGTACATGTGACAACAAAATAAGAAAAGATATTAATAGAGGTATTTGACATATCATTTAAGCCAGTATATTGGATGATCATGATGTAAAGGCCAGTTGTGTCACAGTTATATTATTGTTTTATATTAACTTATAGCTCTATAAGCTTTAAGATGAATTTGAGAATGAGATTAACCTCTTATTATGCACGGCCTGCTCACCGGGTCATCACACACTTCCTCAGTCGTTTGTGGAATCCTAGAATAGCAACAAGCACGGCACACAAGAAACCACTATATCGAATTGTCGATATGTGAGACCTTGTCACCTGGTCATCACATACTAAAACATTCCATAGGAATAGGACCAAGTTATTGGGCCCCATTTGACGATTAGAATAGTCTATGATAAAATGGACCCAGTATGCTAGTGACCTTCATGACCAGTAACAAACAGGGGAATGGATATTGGATGTTTGAGGAAATAAAACTTTATCTCTTTATTGTTATATGACAAAGCCCAGCATTCTATTTTTTTGTTCTAGCGGGAATATTTGCTATACCAGATTATCTGTCAAAAGAAGTTGTTAGTTTTCTGTGTCACATGTTACAAGTTGATCCTTTAAAAAGAGCTACCATCAGTTCAATTATGTAAGTAAATTCTTTTATTTGAATATTTATATTTAGATATCCATGCTCTAATGTACAGGAAATTATATACTTTGAATGGCATTTAGTAATTGGAACATAATCAAAAACACACTTTTATGGATAACAATTACTATGGTTTATTTCACTGCGACGTTTCAACAAGGTTTCACAAGTCGTTATCAAGCATATATACAAATAGATAAAAAATGAGAAAGATATGAATATAAATACAAACATCAGTGCGAACTATCCAATGGAATGCAAGGTGAGTGAGCATGATTAGCTATAACAAGCTATTGATGTAACAAAGGTGCATAATCGTATATATTAGAGTTGGCTTATTGTACAATTAAAAGATGAAACAGGGGATTAACCAAGATTAACAAATATTGAAACCATACACATTGTACCATAACTGAAACCAGTATATACTAAGATTGACTAAATAAACATACAAGAAGATCAAACTGGGGGTTTATAGAATTATATCGAAACCATAATGTTTACATTGATTATAACAGTTAAGAAATATAGAATTTTACGGTTATGTTTTAAAGTTAAGTAATAAGTTGCATATATGTATTTACAAGGTGAATATATATCAAAGGGTTGAATAAAATATAAATAAATAATGATAAATTAAGCAGAAGGCCCTATGATGAAACCTTTTTATAATTATAAATATGAGAGGTATAACATAACATAAAATACTGTGAATAGCTAAATAAATTATAGAAAATAATTGAAACATACAAATTTTACATATTGTTAACAGAGGATTATAAAATGTGAGGGTTGTGGGTATGGAATATACAATGAATTCGGTATTGGAAAATGCCAGTAGTTAAATATGGTTTTGCATGGGGAATTACTTAGGGGGACTGTGTTACAATTTGATAATGCGGTCATATGCTCTGGGGATATAGACGCCTGGGTCTCGATTCAATTTCGGTTCATGTCTTCTGATATTGATCGCCTGATGTATTCTTCTGATTCTTTTGCTGTGGTGGTTCACAGCCAACGTTTTAACTGTGGTCCAATCGACACGGTGTCGTGGGTTGTCATTCATATGTTCAGCAACTGCAGATTGGTTGGTGGGGGCTTTTGACATGTGTTCTTTCAGTCGGATATCTAATGGTCTTTTAGATTCTCCAATGTAACTTTGCTGGCAACTGCAGTTGATTTTGTAGACACAGCCTTTTGGTGAGAAGGGTTTGAAATTATCCCTATTTTGTATTCAGTTGCTACTCAAATGAAGTTTGTTAATCTACTGTGATAATGAGAATGTCAGTGTATACAAGGATTAGGATATATTTTAAGTAACTGTATAATAGAATAAAATAATTTTATATTTTACAGTGAACATGAATGGTTTAAGAAAGATCTACCAGCATATTTATTCCCATCTCCAAATGATCAGGATGCTTCTATCGTTGATGTGGATGTTGTTAGAGAAGTTTGTGATGTATGTTGTCCTTGAATATTGATCATACTAAATATAATTTATTACGAGTAGAAGACAAAAAATTGTTAGGAATTGATGAATAACATTATATTCTAGTTGTAACATTATCCATAGAATTTTAAGTTTTTCTTGGTAATATTCACAATACTTGAAAGGGACCCACCCCATATTCAAGCAGGTTACTAGTGCACTCAAATTCTCAAAGTGATAAAAGTACTTATTAAATTCATGTGAATTATTTATTACAGAAATTTAGTGTTAGTGAAGATGATGTGCATAGAGCTATTTTAAGTGGTGATCCCCATGATCAGTTAGCTATAGCTTATAACTTAATCATTGATAATCAGAGGATGGCAGATGAAAGTAAGTTGATATTTACTTACCATAGCTACATAGGCCATATGAAAAAAATATTCTGGTTCTCAGATAACCCTGTTCACTTAAAAAGGGTCGCATGACCTGTTTTTATTACAATCTCATTAACGTTAATGTTAACCCTGGTTTATTCGAAGTAGGTCTGTGAAATTTTTTTTTCAATCAATCCAGAAATATGGCATTGGCTCATTTATCAAATACACAAGCCTAATAAATGTTACAGAGAATCATAAATGATACTGGATAAACAACATCAGATAGATTTTGTACCTTGAAATGTGATGTTTATGAGAAGTCATTTAGCCAAGTAGTGATCATTGGCAAAATAAAAACACAAAAATATAAACCTCCCTCCTGCATCAGATTTTTGTTAAGGACTGTCTGAGATCAAGAATATTATTTTGCATGCCTTTATATAATTACTTCAGTTCAATCAATGTACATATTGTTAATACATTCTGTAGTTGTTATAGTTGATACATGCAAATATAGAAATAAGTGCAACTACAAGTGGGTGTGAAAGGATCTATACTAATTTTGTACATGACTTAAAAACTTAGATTTGTAAACTAATTTACAAACGGTCTTTTTTTCTCCTGTAAGTTATTTTGATAATATTTTGTCTTTATTTCAGCTTCCAAAATAGATTTCCATGAGTTTTATTTGGCATCTAGTCCCCCACCAGAGTCTTTTTTAACTGTGAGTATCTTTTACGGTTCCATGTTGCTTTTATAGGTCCACATTTAATGGGGATACCTATATTAACATCACCCGTGTCTGTCCTTATGTCCGTACAACTGTCCTTGGGAATGCTCATAATGAAGAACCCTTAAAACTAAGTGGGATTGCTCATTAAAATTTTTCAGATTATAATTTTCGAATGTGAATGCCGATTTATTTTTCTGATCATATTTTCACTTTTATAACCTGTTAACAATTGAAATATGATTATATATTGCTGTCATGTCTGGCCACTGGTTTTAGGTTATACTTTGGGGATTTGAAGATTACAGATTGTATCAGAACACATGTTCATTTGTACTGTCATGTGTACACGATACAGAAAAACGTTTGCTATGTAATTTTTATAAGCCCACATTTCGTTATGTAGTCACCCCCGTTCATCGGTCTGATAGAACCTTGTGAACGCTCTATCGCCAAAAGTTATCAACCGATGTTTATGAAATTTATATGCAGGAAGCCTATTGAATCTCAGCAATTTACAATAATTACCTCTTGAGTTATGGCCCTTGCTTCACCTTTCAGGCATCAAGTCCTCACAGACCACCTCATCCAGAGAGAATGGGAGGTATGTATTGTTTACAATCTATCTATACTGATATTTGTGTCTGTCTGTTCAGGTTTGGTGGCTTCACTAGAGCTGTCCCGAGGTTGAAATTAGGTGTATAGGAGTAGCTCGGACCGGGGAGTAACATAGTTCTAGTGAGTTTGGACTACCACTTTCAGTTTCAGAGTTATTCTACTCATGGTTCATAGCTATACCCGTGCTACGCTGTGACAACCGCTAGTAATCTATAAATGCAAGGGAAGAAATTATGAAGTTTAAAATGTCCTAACACGGCACTGTCGAGTTTTGAATGCCCTCTTAACCATTAATTATTCAATTTATATTTACAGAAATGAAAGATTTAAACCAAACACTAGATCCTGTACCGTCTGTTGGTCCAGGCAAAGTACAACCAGTCCCTAAAAAGGCCAAGTGGCATCTAGGTTAGTAGAAATTTTCCGTGTTGCAGTTTAAGAAATTCACGTTAGTCTGGGGTAAATATTTAATGCCTGGAATTCTTTGAAAAATCATCTCTTTAAAATATATCGATTTGAAAGCAATAGAGAAATGTATAATTTGGTTACATCTAGATCTAATGTTTGCTTTGTCAGCAACAAACACACTTAAAGTTAGCCAGGGTCCATCAAGTTATGTTGGGATTAAGTGAGGAGAGTGCTTGGTTTGTGCCAGTCTTAACTTGGCTAAGCTGTCAGTGTAGCACTTTCCGGCTACATATCTTTTGTTTTGACCTGTGATCGTCTAGGTTTGTCTCTGGCAAGGATATTATTTTAATTCTCAACTCCTTGACTTCACTCTGATTTCATGTTACATATTTACAGCAGCCAAATCATGTTTATCAGGAACAACAATACAATAGTGTCTTGTATACATTTTTATGCCAAAGCAGGCTACATAGTTAAAGCCAAGACTACATAGAAATAACATGTCTCTCAGTCTATGTCAATCAAACTAAGTTGCTGATGGAAATCTCATCATGGCTATTCTAAGAATCAAATGGTTGTCTGATTATTCAAGCCCTGGTTATGCTCTTTTATAGGACTCAAACCCCTACTTGTTTACATCATAGACTGATCACACTACTAAATTCCAAATATGGAATAGACATGTTGCATACCTTGCATACTGACTAACAGGGATTATCGCCTAATTTGGTCAACAAAATACATTACATCACCGTTGGTGTAGTTCCATAAGGAAGAGGGTATATGATATGTTTATGCCCATCAAAACAACATGTTTATCAACCTATAGGTCATTTCATGTATCAAATTATCACATGTTGGTTTACATGCTATTTAACTTATGTCCAGGCCATAATCGCCTGTCCAGCTTCGTGGGTTTTCATCGTGTCCTCTGGTTTCCTCCCACTGCTAAAGACCCCTACGTGCAAGCGAATTATTGCAATAATATTAAACCATATGTTAGTCCCGAAATGACCTAGTTTGTGTCGGGTGGAAGTTAAACCTCATTTATCTCTCTCTCTCTCTCTCTCTCTCCAGGCCATAATATTATTACACCAGTTATAAAAATGGACATCATGATCTACAAGCACCACTATGAGATTCATTCCTCACAATGATGAACTTAATTTTTTTAAAATTTATTTTCAGGCATAAGATCTCAAAGTAAACCTCAGGATATAATGCATGAAGTATTTAGAGCTATGAAGTCATTGAATTATGTAAGTTTTCATTTGCTGTCTTAAATAAATGAATACAGACAAGTGTAAGAAGTCCCTGAAGAAAATTATAAATCATTATCTGTTGAAAAAGGTTTATATGAGTTATGTTCTATTTTATCAATTTTAGGAATGGAAAATAATCAACACATATCATGTCCGAGCAAGAAAGAGGAACAGTATAACTAATAAATTTGTAAGTTACCTTTTATACATCATATAAATTGCAAAAAAATCAACCTTGTATTGCAATCTCCAGTTATTCTGGATGGTTTAAAAATAGAAGGGCTTATTTTTGCTGGTATATATAAACTGTAAGATGGTTGTGCTATTGTTATTTATGTTAGATTGTCATCTATGCAAACTGTGGAATCAAGCCCATAACAAGGCACAAGTAGGATTGGCCATCTAATCTTGTTTGCTTTTGTGTTTTCTTCCGTTGTCAAATAATCTTTTATTAGCTAATGATTGAGGTAATGAATTACTATATGTTAGACCCCAAATTAGGCCACTGCTATAGCAGTAGAACATTAAATTAGCCTTGTAATTCTCTTTCAGACAAAAATGAGTCTACAACTATATCAAGTAGACCAAAAAAGTTTTCTTTTGGACTTTAAAAGTTTAACGCATGATGCTGAAAATAATTTTAATAATGAAATTGATGGACATCTTTCTAAATCAAAGTCGGATGATAGAATGGAAATTGATGGAGATTCCGAAGGACAGTGTCATCAAACTTTAGAATTTTTTGAAATGTGTGCGAATTTGATAACAGCATTAGCACATTGATAAATTCTTATAAACTGATGGAAAAGGTTTTTGTATAAATCATTTACACATACCATTGTTTTTATCATGGATTTTTTTGAATAATAACTTTTTATGGTTCATCATTGGTGATGATAAGAGTTTTATTTATATTATTTATAAAATATGTATAAAGATATTTTGTCTGTTGGTATATAAACACTAGACTTTAAATAAAAACGGTAACACAAGGCAATTTTATTGACAGACAATCTAGTAAAGCACTTTGCCAAATAACCATGTACCATTTTTGTTGATCAGTTCTAAAAGGAGCTCAAATCATACATTTTGTACAAAAGATTTTATTTTCATTAGATGGTTGGAAAATTAAAATGATTTTTGCATTTGTAATTTTAGAGCTCCATAGATTACCAAAGTGCTTTAGATTTGCTGTAAATCACATGAACTGTCAAATCTTTACTTCATAATAATGCCTGTTGGAACGCTTAAACTTGTTAAACAAGACGCTTTACTCAACATGGATAATTTACATGGTGACATGATACCGAGTGTAAATAAGAAATATTGGATCAGCTGTTACTGATTTTTCAAATGAATTGATCTTTAGAGATATTCACAAATAAACTTGTTTGTTGAAGATAATTTTGAGCTTTGGTCTTTGAACAAGTCAGAATATTAAGTCATGTTAGTGCTTCACTCTGTAACTGTAATTGATAGTTTGACATTTATGTTGAGTAAAGATTGTCAAAGAGAATACAATTATACCTGTTTTTCAGTTTAAAAGAACCTAGTTTAATCATTATTGCTTTATTAGGTTAAATGTTCATTTATTTTCTTAATACATTAAATGATAGAAAGAGGATAATTGATGTGATTAGAAACCTACAGACTGGATGAATGACGATGTGTATGAAATATTATGATTTACCCAACCATAATAATATATAGATAAATGTGTACATTTTGGTTTTAGAAAAATCTTGCATAGATAGCATGCTTAAATCAAACAATTGCGATATTGTCTTATGACATGTTATTATTCTAAGCAATGTATAACAGATATGTAGTGATTATTTTCATTTATAATATTAGAAAAGATCTACTATTTGTAAGCCTGTCTAATAATTTAATTTTTGTATAATTATCGCTAATGAGAATATAAATACGGTTTTAGATAAAAAAAAAAAAAGGTTAGACTATTTGATGTTTGAATGATCTCTCATTCCCTGTAAAAGGACATATTGCTGATGATATCCTTGTGTCTTACATGATATCTATCTGGATGTTGTAACTGAATATTCAATCAAGGGTCACTTAGTTGGATATTGCTCATATCAGTAAAATAACTACAAATACCTTGATTGTTCTTGAGAGGATTTTGTAAAGCCCAGACCGGTTTTGCTCTAGTGAAAGTTCTAAACTGTAACAATAAACCCCACCTTAAAATGGTATGATGTTGAAGTAATTTTATCTGCAACAATCTGTCCTTTTAACATCATATAAATACTGTACCAGTTATATATTGTATTAGAGTAGACTCCAATCTGTGATGGTTTAAAAATGGCAAAGACAAGACAGAAGAGAATTTTGTGAATATGTAAAATAGTATAAATAAATGTATACATGAATATATATTTAAAAACAAAGAAGTTAAAAAAAAAGTGCTAATGTTCAGTGTATATGTTATAAAATATGGAAATAAACTTTCCGACTAATATATAAATATTAGTATAATGAAACATTTTATTGGCTTTTATCTTATATATGAGGTTGACCTTTACTGGAGGTCTCATTGTTTAATAATTCCATGCAAGTGACTGAAATTGCTTCAAGGCGCATCTTTTCACAAATTATTGTTTGAATCCGTGCTCATTATTTGCTACATTCTTAGCCATTTGTTTAGCAGGCCAGGAAATTCAAGCTGTAAATAAAATTGAAAATACCCTGTACTCCCAATGATGAAGAAAATTGGTTTATGTTTTGATTACGATTTTTATTTACAATTATACAAAGTTATATACATGACGAAGTTACATTTGTGTTCAAATAAATTTACATATTTATAAAAAGTCTTAAACACTTCATTAAATTCTATATACACATAAATTCATCAATATTTATAACATGTATTTATTTTATAAATAGCTTGAAATTGTGTATTTCATACAAAACATACAACAAATGCACTTGATCCATTAGTTGGTTCCACAATACCATATTTATTAAACAGTCTTACAGAATCATTTAATACTTTTTTTAAAGTACAACATCATTACCCAAAACAGAAATTGAAAATTTAATGCTTCTCTTAATTAAAATTTTGTTTTACTGAATACCATAAACAAACAGTGGTTCAAAACGATGAAATAGTTGTATTTGATGCTGATGTTTTTAAAATGCATTCTATATGGATTAAAATCTCAAATACTACTGTCTCATATTGATCATTTGGCTACGTTTCATATTTATGAGTTATTCAAAATAGGAACTAAAATAAGACATGTGTAGAATCCCAATCATTGTCAGCACTATTATATTATGGAAGACCAAACAGCTCTTCATTCAGTGTTCTTAGCTCTTAATTCATAGTCCTCAATTCTTATTTATTTCTTCATTTGTTGTCGTATATCAACATTTGTACACTAAAATTAACATTTGTACACTATTTTGTCATATCAGATTTCTAAAATGTATTTTTGTTTAATTCAATTGTATTTTAATATAAAGATAAAATTTATATTAGTAAATCAAAAAAATAATCTACATTTACATTTCAACATATACATACAATGAAAAACAAATCTCGAACAACAAATCTCCAAATACAAATTTTGCAAAACATTTCTCCAAAAATATTTATCAAAATTCATCGAACTGGAACATCATGACGACATGAGCTGAAATCAACCTGGCATACAATAAGTCACCATACAATAAAATAGAAACGAGCAAGCATATATATACAATAAGAAAGATAGGTTGCCAGGCAACGAAGCATACGCCCACATCAGCTATATCGTCCGGGCAGTCAACAAGAGTTGTCGCATATTTTTACGGTAATGAAACATTTATAATACATTAAAATCTGATTAAGAGTAACAACTTATTAAGTAATTATCAGAAAACCATTAGAATTTATTTGGTTTTTTAAAGGTTCTGCCCCATGCTAACGTTTAGTATACGAAACTTTTAGCATCATGGATTTAGCTGTTCAAGTCATTAGCCCAGTATAGGAGCAGAACAGTAGGACGTTAAACCCCATTTCATTTTCATTTCATAAAGATTCATTGAAAATCAATATACTTGTTCGTCTCAAGACCTTAAACTCTGTGTATCAATCTGAAGTCAATCGGATGATAACTTTAGCCTCTAGAGCGTCACAAGATTTTTCAAAGTGATCAAGAGCCATAAGTCTGGCAGCAATTATCCGAAATCGTTGAAAATCAATGATTCTTTATCTCATGGCCTCAAACACTGTGTATAAATTTAAAGTCAATCAGATATTAACTTTAGCCTCTAGAGTGTTCAAAAGATTTTTCAAAGTGATCAAGGGCAATAACTCTGGCAGTAATTATTGGAAATCGCTAAAAATCAATAGGCTTCTTCGACTCATGACCTTAAACACTGTGTATAAATTTAAAGTCAATCGGATATTAACTTTAGCCTCTAGAGCATCCACAAGATTTTTCAAAGTGATCAAGGGCAATAACTCTGTCAGTAATTATTGGAAATCGCTAAAAATCAATAGGCTTCTTCGTCTCCTGACCTTAAACACTATGTATAACTTTAAAGTCAATCGGATATTAACTTTAGCATCTAGAGCACCGGACCGACAGACTGATGGACGGACGGGGGCGATAACAATATAAAAATTGCTCAATGACCGTGACTTTAGTGAAATCACGTGTGTGTTATGTTTCCATGTTAATTTGATCTAGCATTTAAAATAAAATAAATTGAAAGCAGTGTAATTTTAGTAATTAGGTTATTTTTTGATAGCGACATAGTTCTTTGGACAAACGAAAGAGGACTTGATCACTTCTAAATTATGTAATCTTGAATGTACCAGTGTATATTCAAAGAGTGACAGACAAATACTTTCCGGTGAAGTATTACACGAAAACTGGAATTTTGAATTAGGACGTGTATTTTGACTTTTTAAATACCCCCTCACTTAAATAGAGTTAAGACGATCCAAATTATATCTGCTATAACAAGGTACGTAAATATGAATGTCAGAAAATATTTTACAATTTTGAAAATCTATTTGGACCTTTTTAATGGCATGCATCCTGATATCTTGTATTATGGCCCGTATTTTGACCTTAAATACCTCTCCCTCATTTAATACAGGTTAGGGCCATTCAAATTTGTTCTTTTTTCAAGGTATGTAAATATAAATTTACATTTTATAGCAAGCAATAAACATCTTTCCAGCAGTACATGAACAGAATTTCTTATTAAGATCGTTTTTTTTTTACTTTAAATATTCCTCCCCTCACTTAATAAAGTTTTAAGTACCATGGAACTTTGATCTTTTTTCAAGGTATGTAAATATAAATGTGGCAGAAAATAACATGAAAAGTTGTACAGTATTAAACACTATTAAGTGATGGAGAGGGGGTGGGTGGGGTCTTAAATGTCAAAATACGGGCCATACTATGACATTCCGGATATCACACAGAATACCACTGACAAGAAATTTCATTTACTTTTTCAGAAATGTAAACTATATTCTGGCACATTTAAATTTACATAGCTTGAAAAGGGTATTACAGTTGGATGAGGCTAAATACTATTAAGTTAGTAGGGGTGAGAGGGGGTATTTAATAGTTAAAATATGGGTTATCGTGTAATGCATGACCGGAAATTTTTTTATTTTTTTATTCCTCTTTCAAAATATTACTTATTCCCTGGCACATTCATAAAATCACGATTTCAAAAACCTAATTTCTGAAAATAGACATTTTCAATTATCTTCTTGGTCCGATTAGCCATGCTACGCACATGGTTTCACTAGAGTCGCGGTCATCGAGCAATTTTTCTTATTGTACATATGCTTACTCAATTCCCCATTATTGTATGGTGACTTATTGTATGCCAGGTTGATTTCCACTCATGTCGTCATAATGTTACGATTCGATGAATTTCAAGAAATGTGTTTTGCAAGGTTTGTATATGGAGATCTGTATTTGGAAATTTGTTGTTCGAGATTTGTTTTTCATTGTATTTCGCTGATGAAATGTAAATATAGGCTAATTTTTTGAAAATATTAAAATACAATTAAGTTAAACAAAAATACATTTTACAAATCTGATATGACAAATGTCTGATTTGTAAAACAACTATTGATTTTAAGATACAAATGTTAATTTTAGAGTACCAATGTCGAAATATGACAACAAATGAAGAAATAAGAATTAAGGACTATGAATTAAGAACACTAAATAAAGAGCTGTTTGGTCTTCCATATTATATTGTTTTCTGTCTTTTTACCATCCCCAGCTACCTGTATCAAAAATAAATCTAATCGCTGTTTTTAATTCCTTCATTCTTCCATTACATAAAATTATTTACTGTACAAAATTTTTAAAAATATTTTAACTGGCCATAAACAGGCTGGTTGTGACAGAAACAATTTGGCAAGTACGATTCCTTTTAAAATCATTTTCATTGATTATTAAAAATCCACCTCTAAATTCAAGTTCAACATCAGTTATTATCACATTATTAAAGTACACATAGTTATGTATACATTCATCCTCTTAGTTCTCATAATATTTCCACTGTATTGTGTTTACCTTATACACAGCCAGTATTTTCTTCCATGTTATAATATCCCCACCATTTTACTCAGAACTTTGGAATACCCTATTCAATTCATCACAGTAGTTGGCTTGCTGCACTTTGACTTAAGTAAATAATCGCACCTACAAAGTTAACACCTGCAGCGATAATGAACACAGGAAACCACCGACCATGAGATTGAGTTACTAACTCGGCTGTCAATGGCCCACAAGTAATACCCGGTATGGTAGCCTGAAATATAACAAATAAACTTCATAAGCCATAAAACTACCAGATGCCACTTTTAAGACAAACATACTGAAATTATTGCAAGCTATTACAGTTATAGTTAAGAGCTTCACAATCACACAGGCAAAATTATATAACTGAGCACAATGACCACACTTTTATCACAGAGTTATAAAGGGATATCAAAACTTCATAATGTAGTTTAAGTACCATTATTATAAACGTAAGCAGCAATACATCTAGTTGAATACATGTAATTGCCTAATATTTACAGTATAATGCAGTCAAAATGAAATGACGTTTTATTTTTCTGCACTGACTGGGCTAATGAAGATGGGTGCAGTCAAAATAGAATGAAGTAAATAATAGCTAGGGCTGGCAGAAAATATATTGATCATTGCACAATTATAGGTAGTTACTTGCAAGAAGACGGTTTTGTCTTCCAAATGATGTTGATTGAGTTTCGACTTGGTTTTGGTATGGGATGCTATTATTTTATTGTCAAATCAATGAAACAAATTCTACATGTATGCATAATGATATTACAGCATAAACCGTCAACAATTGGCTTGTGATTGCAATAGAGGCAGTTTTTAACAGATTTTTATAGACCCACATACCGGTGGAGACCTATTATATTGTCAGCCTGTTGGACAACAATTGGCTTGTGAACACTATGGAGGCTACAGTGTTTTAATATTTTGGTGTGAATCATTTTGGTCACGAGAAGACAAACCCCATCGGCTTTAAGCATTTTAGGATCATCCATTTAAGGAAATTTTGTCAAAAAAAGGTGCGGAGCACAGGCCTCATGAGAGGATGAACACTATCGTTATTCAGGATTCCGCATAGCTGCTGTGTGGGCTTAGTTCCACACTTAACATGGCTATCTTTTTAAACTGATCATTAACACTCGTTTTGATTGGTTTTTACTACAATTTTCATTTTAAAGATAAGCATACATGGTATGCTCAGCCTTAATGGGATTAAATTAACTTCTGTACTTACAAGAGTATTTGATATAGCAAACGTTATTCCAGCATGACTTGGTGCTATTTCTGCATGATTACTTAAATGTCCCGATGAATTACAGGCACTCAGTCCTAATGATATTGATACAAAACTGAAAATAAAGAGATGGACATGGTATATTTTAAATAACCTGACCAAAAACCACAATAAAATATACAATTATTAATTTATATCTTTCTGTAATGATAATTGTTATGTCATTTTTCATATGCGGAAATATATTTGATAATGTAACATGAATGTACATAAACAGATTTACATTCAATTGTTTCGGTTTTTACTGTAATTTCTAATCAATTATGTTTGGAGAAATATGCGAAGAGTCCGAATCGAATGGCAGTCTTTGGCGTCTGGTTATTCAAGTCTACACCAGTAGTATTCTCCTAGACTTGTTCATCGAGGCACTTCATTTAAATGGCGCTCGAAAGCATTCTGGCCCATTAAAATCAATGTTGATTCAAATTGACCAGTAAGTCGTGTTTGCAATGTCAAAGACTGTGGATGATAATGAGTTAAAGACTTCGCTCCTTTAAGAAAAACAATGAAGACAACTTAATACTTCAAAATAGATGTCTTATCTAAGTATTATCTTTTTTCTGTTCCGTAAATCAACATGTATCATGGCTGACTTAGCCAAGACCAAACTGTGTGAATAAACCTTTGATACTTACAAAACTGCTAAAGGAAGATTATTTACAGCACTAAAAAATAGAATAAATACACCTGGTCCTAACAGACCAATAGTAGTCATTAATCGTCGTACAGATAACACTGTCCATTTATGTCCTATTAAGGCATCAGCAAAATGGGCGGCAACTGAAATATAATCAATAATAGAGTTGAGTTGCATGGTTTGGTTTGTATGTGATTTTCAAAATACTTTGTACCCTAACTAAATAGGTAATGCAATATCATTTCAGTATAAAAGATTAAACCTAAAACAACCCATTGATAACTTCATTATAATCAATATTTCATTAAAAGATTATTGATTACACAAATAATATAGTATAACAGGGAAGAGAAGATCAATAAAATAATATAGAAATATCAATATGATTAATGTATTGAACTTACCAACTCCTATTAAAGAATTCATCACATAAGGCACTGCTGTAAACATAATATGACTTTTATTTGCCTTCAGATTTCTGGTCATATAGGTAGGAAGCCACTGCATTATAATATAATTGGACCAGTTCATGCAGAAATGAGCAATATAAATAGACCATAATGGCCAATGACAAATAAATTCTGACCAGCGAACATTTGTATTATTTACCTGGAAATAACAGATTAGAATTATTTTATAAATTCAGTAAAGCATTTTCTATCTCCCTCTATGATAAAGTCACAAAATACAAATTAATAATTAATTACCCTGGTACTAAAGTTCAAATTATCTTAAGCCCGTCCCAGATGACAGACATTTAATAAGAATATGTTCTGACCACAGACATTTATAGCAAATAAACCACATAGATAGATGGCGTTTTCAGGTCCGCTAATACAAATTTATAAGACAGCCATGCAAAGCATGGAATACACTCACTGTCACACATTAGCTTTGTCTAAATTGCAGCTTATCTGAAAGGAAAACTTGGATGTTAAGCAAATTTGATATGTATCTAGGATCCTCAAAGTTCATCCTCTAATGACCCCATTGCTTCCATCCAATTTTGAACAGTGCCCGCTAATCTATCCTAGTTGGGGTCTGTGGGATTTTAGGTGTGTCTATAAGGGGTAAACCACCGCACAAACTGTCTGGCAGTGGTCATTCATGATTCCTGTAGTGGTACTGAACAACTCCAAAGCTGTTTTAGGTGGTACAGATTTCAGCTAATCTAGCCTAGCTGTGGTCTGGAAATTATAAAACTCTTGTCAGGGATACTCCATCACTACAAACGTCTGGCAATTACATAGCTCTGTCATAGGTACTCCACCACAAGAAATGTCTGTCAGAGTGTTTTTGCAATACCCGAAGATGTACCGTACACTGCTGTACGATTTTTATGTGGTACACTTTTGAGCTAATAGAGCCTAGTTGGGGGGGCATGGCATTTTGGGCGTGGATACCACACCCACCACCAGATACCCGTCATGACTTACATTGATACCATATAGGAGAAAATTGGTACACTTTTCAACTAGGTTGACCCCACCCCAGGCTCCCGCTCTTGATGATTCCAGAACGGAAAGCCACAGATCACTTAGTATCGATAGGGTTCATCCTCTCATGACCTCAAAGCTTCCCATCAAATTTGAAAGAAACCCATTAAAAACTATAGCCTCTTTCTTTTTCACAATGTTATGCGAAAAGGGGGATAACTATGTAACAAAAAATACAGACTGCTGAAAAACAATAGTGTTCAACCCATATAATTCAATAATTGTATATTGTACATACTTTTGGTGGATCAACAAATTCTTCCTCATATGTTCCTCTTATTTCTGTATATGACACCAACCACATTAAAACCCATAGAAAACCTAATGATCCAAAGGTATAAAACATCCATGGCCAAGGTAAATGTGGACAAACCTAGAAAAAAGAGAGATAGTTAATTTGACTAAACCTATTCAAAGGCAATGTAAAATCTAAGATCAATATCAAATATTTACTTTGGTTTTATTTCATTCAAAAGACATGGTGGTTGAGTGATTAAGGTTCTGGCTAGCTAACCTGGAGGTCCTGGTTTTCGATCCTGGTGTTGGTTAAGGAAGTTTTTCCAGGTTTCCTCCATCCTCTGTATCCGCAGTGGTATTGTTCGTTCTATTCCACAATCCCCCGGAGTTCATTCGCTAGGTTTTCACGAATTCAAATTATCTGCCCTTGATCGTAGGTTGATTCTACGAACCAATCAAAAAACAGTTTACATACCAGTATAGGCGTCATTGTTTACGTTCACAACAATAATCTAAGTTGCAATAAAATGTGAGATTCGGTTACTTCTCTTCCCCCTGCGATCAGTCAATAAAAATAGCACAAGTATCAAGGGTGGATGCAGATAATTTGACTATGTTTCTCTCCCGTGAATGAACCTAGGAGTTAGTGGAATAAAACGTAACAATACTACTTGGGATATCGAGGATGGGTTTTTTTCTTGTCAACCATACAAATTGGAAGGTCTGGCAAATAACAGCATAGTCATTTGGATGTTTTTCCGACGTGGTTTCCCCTTGTCAGTGGTGCAGAACGGAGGGCCTGACAAGGACAGCTGTCTAGTCCTTCGGATGAGACGAAAAACCGAGGTCCTGTGTATACATTGGAATGCACGTAAAAAGATCCCTTGGCAGTTAGAATTCGATATAAGAGTAGGCGATAGTGCTGCTGCCCGGGCAAAATTTCCCTCATAACACACTGTATGGCGTATGCCCGTCTTCATTAGCCCAGTATAGGAGCAGAACAGTAGGACGTTAAACCCCATTTCATTTCATTTGGATGTTAATAAAAAAATGATGTCTTGGGTATATATTGACATGTAGGTAAAAGAACCAGACAGTTGGAGAGAAAGAGAGAGAGAAATAGGGTTTAACGTCCACTCAACACAAACTAGGTCATTTCGGGACAAACATATGGTTCAATTTTATTTCCATAATTCGCTTGCGTGTAGGGGTCTTAAGCAGTGGGAGGAAACTGGAGGACCCGGAGAAAACCCACGAGGTTGGACAGGCGACCCTACTCCTTGTCACATACAACCGGGGAATTGAAACCATGCCAGTTGACTCAATGAAAGACTTTACGATACAGAGCGCACATGCTGACCATTCAGCCATCTAACCCCTCTAGACAGTTGGAATTTGAATTAAAAGTAGCCTCATTGTACACTGCATGGCATATACCCATCTTTATTAACACCTTTTGGAGCAGAAATGTAGGACGTTAAACCCGTATTTCATTTTATTAAATAATCAGTATAAAGTTCTAAATTAAACATACAACTGCTGCAACAGTCTGTCCAATTGAACCAAATGCAACCAGATATCCAAATGCTCGTGATCGTTCTTCACCAGGAATGGCATGGGAAAAAATATGAAATATGGTAGGTAATCCTGAAAAGAAAAAAAATTTTATTAAAGGTTTAGTGTCTGTGGCACACTATTGTTAGCACCTATAATATAGCATCAGTGAATGCTGCTCATGTTCCTTGAAATAAACTTGAAGACTGAGCACTGCATCTGTTATTTTATCTAATATTGTTTTTACTGGATACTTTCTTTGCTCTTCGAACTTAACTAATGAACTTAACTAATCGATATAGAATCAAAAAAAAAATTACATTCACTCCAAACGAGTTTTGAGCTTCTGATCTGAAACAAAAATTGTAGGTAGTATTCTCGATGCAAAATAACCAAAAAGTAAAGAGATCCTTTATAAACTTTCAAGTTGTCTGACTCTGCATGTTCAAGAGAAAGAATTGGTATTTGAATACTACACGTACATCAGTGATGGGAATTCGCATGTATATTCCGGACATGTCCAACACTATTTTCCAAACATCCGAAATTGTCGGACCAGGAATATGCCCAATAGGACATCAAGATATGGTGAATAATATTCAAAATTCCAAAATTAATATAGTGTACTGAGTGTATAACTACCACTCAACCCGATTATCGTTGATAATAGGCTGGATTGATTAGGTAATTAAACATACATTATGCAAGAGCTAAATCTGCCTATTGCAGGTCTTTCTTTAGGACTGAAATGTTTTCTAAATTATTAATTAGACATTAATTAACTTATCCAGGCCATAATCAACTCTCGGTGGCATCGGATTTCTCCGATATTAAATAGATTACAACAGTTCAGCCATATTTTGATTTGAGCTAAAAATGGAGAAGCAAGACTTAGCTTCGAACAACCAGTACATTGGTTGAAATTATTGCACATGTCTTGTCAAACCTTCAAAAGATATGTTTTACATCCTTTAAGACTCCATATAGAAATTCTCATCCACAGTGGCACTTTCTTGCAATTTCGATTGCCACACGAAAATCATTAAGAGTCACATAAGCCATACACTGAAGTTAGCTATGCCTTTTTTCAAGTGATTTAACCATCAATGTAATTTTAAAATACCAATTCATGAAGAAGAGAAAGGTGTTTTGACATCACCACAAGTATTATAATTCGCATGCCTTTCTTTCATTTACTGCCATATAAACCAAGATATGTAATTTTTGAGGAATATTACTGACGTGAGTTTGAAGCAGGCACGGATCGGTAAGCTTGGATCGGTAAGCTTTCATTCTATCGTATTACAAAAACACGTAATTTTGTAGGAATATTACTGACATAGATTTGAATACCATACAGGATATAAATATGAAAAATAGAGAGGTGTTCCTTTTTTTTATCACGCATGGATTTGATTATTTTGCTGACATTTTATAAAGAAGAAAACGATGATCTGACATCACAAACTATTCTTATTTTGGAAGTTCTGCATTCATTTGCTGCTGTAGGCCTATAAACAAAGACATGTAATTTTGAAGGAATATAACTGTTTGAATTTGATGTCGAAGCAGGGTCGGCAGGCTGTCATTTAATGTAGTACGAAAATGGGTTATTTTGTAGGAATGTTACTGACATATATCTGAATACCGTATGGGAATTAAATATGAAAAATAGTGAGGTTCACCTATTTTTATTACGTACGGGATTTGAATATTTTGTTGACATGTGATTTTTGATTGTGGTATGAATCCGTCTGCTTAAATAACGATAAGAGTTATGCCACTTTATTATCGGTAAAATGCTCGACAAGCAAAATTTTGAAATCCCATCCCTGATGTATAGGTACATGCTTTTTTCAAATTGTCAATAAATATAGATATGGTTACATGTGATACCAGCCTCACCTTGATGAACTATAGATCTGACAAAATCAAAACTAAATGATATCGAGTCTGGAATATGGATTAATACAGAAAAAAATGAAGATAAGGTGTATTTGTCATTAATCAATTTAAGTTAAGAATTTGACATCATCGTCACTTAGAAAGAATTTCACTTTGAAGATCGTTTGAATCTGAATAGGTCCAAATTTGATAAGAAATCTGATTAAGATTTGTTTAGCAATCAAACACTTCTAGTTCTTACAAAACTTGATGAAATCGTTATCAGGACTAAGTTGAAGTTAAATAGTTAATGAAAGAAAACTCACCCAACCCTTCTCCCAATCCTAAAAATACTCTTGACATTATCAAGGCATAAATTGAGCTTGAAAAAAAAGGAACCAGGAAAGTAGAGAGTGACCACAACAGGACAGAAACAGTTAATATCAACTTTCCTCCATATTTCTTGGAAGCACTACCACCAATCACCTGTTAGAGATGTGAAAGTGCCAAATAATAATATTACAAGGATCAAATAAAAAAACACATAGTTGGGATTTTATTAAGTGGATAAGGACTCCAAACCCATTTGTAAAGAGAAGAACTCCAATAATTTCAGTTTTTGTATTTTTATTACGGTATTGATTCTTTTTCCATAAGTTTTGAAAATGGAATCAAATTATACTGTATATTACGATACAATGCATGGTGTAAACTACAAAGACAGGAAAACTTTCATTTTTTTCTTCTTCATATTTTGATATAAATTTGTGTTATGTCTAAATTACCAATGTTCTGGTTTAATTGATTTTTCTATTTAATACAGATTTTCTATTTAACAACTTTTTAAGGTATAATAACACACATTCATAAACTTTATAAAAACAATCAGGTGCAACTTACCTGACTACTCATATATCCAACTGCAAATGAGCTGAGAACCCAACCTTGTCCGTGTAGATCCCACTTGAATTCATCTGTCATTGGAACTATAGCTATCGGCATAATTACTCGATCTGCCGAATTGATAAAATTAGCTATGGAACATAATGCTATTGTTTTTGATGTTTTAGTCAACATAGCTAAATGTTGTTTCACTGTCAAAATGACAGCTTACATCCCCTACTTGATACACAAGATGATCTTCACTGCGTCATTTTCTGTTATTTAATAACTGCAAAGAAAGAAAAATAAATTTACCAGACGAACACAAACCTGCAGGTAAAAACCAACAAAATCAGTCCACCACTCACATTGCCACCCCAGTGAATACAATACAGGTTTGAGTTCAGGTAATTAGGTAAAGTACATACATATAATATGCCTATGATACATCAATTTGTAGTCGTTAGAACAAATTGGTGCACAGAATTAGAAATCGCTGCCTTCCTAGTGGTACTTTCAGACTCTCCTGGGTTTGAATAAAACAAATCTTTGATATAATTTATCATCACTAGTCATGTTTACAACCATTATGATCACATTGTATTATCTACAGAGTTAGGGCTGTGTTTCTTTGAGCAAGCTTACAAATACAACAAATTGGGGTGAATCATTGGTTATGCAGAGATCTGCAGAGCTAACAAAATAATGAAAACTAGTAAGCACGCCTAAATGATGGGAAAAGCACAGAATAGAATAGATGCCGGCACCAGTGCCCCAATGGCGATCAACTGAACGGTGCTGACAGCATGCAGTAGCAATAAGTTTTATAGTAGGCTATACCTACAATGTTTTGCAAGTCTTGCTTGTTGATATTGTTGTCAAAAGTTGAGGTTAAGATGTGGGGTTGCAAGAAAAATGTCATTCCTTCTAACAAACCTATGCGTTTCTGAACAATGTAATTTACTATGATAAGCATTAACATATAATAAGATAAATAATTAGTAAAAAAAAACTAAAAGTAGATGAATTAATTAGACAAAAACGCAAACCTTATAACAAACGACGTGGCATGACAAAATATGGCAGCCATGTTTACAAGAATTAAGGTCGCTTACGATCTCAGGGATTTGGTAATTCTGTACGCAATTGATCACTTATGAAAAGGTACATCTATGAGCATTTTACTTTCATTACAATTCTTATGATCACAGATCAGATATAAATTGATTTGTTCGATAGTTGCAAATCATCTGAAAAACTAATCTAGGTATGTTGTCATTGATGTAGGCGACAGCAAGTGTCACCAAACACAACAAAAACTTTCCATTATTATTATAGTCTAGAAATCTACTCTTATTTTTTATTTTTATTTTTTTAAAAAATGGATTGTATGTATGGCTGGCTGTAAAAGTTCCTTCGGATTTCCCCCTTGTCAGTGGTGCATGATGGAGGGTTAGGCAAATGTACTGCAGTATAATCATTCGGATGGGACAATAAAACCCCAAAATAAGAGTAGTCTAGGCTAGCACAGAACTGCTGTCCGGGCAAAATATTACCTCATAGCACACTGCATGGCGTTTGCCAGTATTAATTTATCAGCCCATTAGGCATATAATTAGGCCTATCTATGATCAAGAGTGAGGGTCAAGAGTTCCATTTTTTCAAATTTTCTGGTCAAGCCCACCCAAGCACTGTTGAATTGTCTCTTCAACACTTCAACAAAACACAAAAACAACCCAAACACACTAAACAAGTTTTTAAATTTATAGCAGAGCCTATATAAATCAATACAAACAAACAAATAAAACAAACCAATGAAAACTGATCCCATGCCCCTGAAATATTTATTCTAACATGAAATTGTTGGTACAGTTTCAGAGTGGATACAGGAATTTTGAAAAGGGGGGGGAACGAACTTCATGCCAAGCAACACTAGGTCCAAAAAATTTTGGACCATTTCTTTCGATTTTCCCCCAAGAATAAACTCACGGAAATGGCACAAGTTTTAATGAGTTAACTGCATACTTCATGTGTCCCATCAGGTGGAGCAAAGTCACTTTACAGAAGCACAATTAAACTTCTTCAAAGCTTAACTGCGCATGTGCATTTTATGTTCATATGTATGTCTGAACTAGCATCCCAATAGTGGGAGCGAAAAAAAATTAGGGGACCTTTTCTTACAATATTTCTGAGAAAAAAAAAAGCGAAGGCAAGGCAGAGTAAAATAAAAAGTGTAATTTGGTACATTACATTCAAACAGCTTGTGACATATTTATTTCTTCATATGTTCATGCTGTATTGTCCGTAGCACAGTTTTGATTTCTTACCGATATATAGAAACACCTATCATTCCTGGCAAAGAGATATAAGAAAATCAAGAACCCAAGCAGACCCAGTCAAATAAACTTATTCAAGCTCTTTAAAGCTTGATAAAAACAAATATGCTTTTTAGATTTGTATACAAAAAAGCACATGTTTATTTTGCATTTTGAGAATTTATATCATCGCATATACATAATATACAAATCAGTAAGTTAATTGCAACAGTAACTTAATTGCAAAAGGTCAAGCTAGTCGGTAGTATATAAAAGCAAAATTAACTTTCTTTGAAGCTTGACATGTGCATTTTATGTTTATATGTGTAAAGGACACTGCCGAGTTCATCAGTGCAGAACAATCTTCTTACATTTTAATCTTCCAAATGATCGACCCACTCACTGAGCCTTTTTGAGTCACACCTGAAAGAAAACTAAACCCTACTGTTCCGACAGTCCAGAATAGTTGGGCAAGTGTATAGTATTATGAGAACTGCCAAAAAAAAGATTTCCAATGAAAAAGGGATGGGGTTTCTGACAATGCTTGTCTGAACTCATCACGGTCACAGAGTTATAAATATTTTTGTGTGGACAGTCGTCCTGAAATGACTTCTGGGGATAATAAATCACCCACTCCTTGGAAACAAAATTGAACAGTATTTGATTATTTAGTTGGTGGATGTTGTAAACTGTCATGCTAAAAGTGTACAAACTGCTGCATAATATACTCAATGCTTGGCTTGGATTTTCAGTAAAAATGTGAGACTAAATTTATTTTAAATATAATATATAATATTCAAAATATTTTACATTTATTTCCTTGGTCAGAGTGATTATCCCTCTACCCTAACCCTTGATATTAACATGTAAAATCAAAACAAAAGTATAGTTTAAGAATATTTTAGTATTTATTAATTCCATTCCATATAATTACAATTGTTTTGTATTCAGTATAGTATAATAAGTTTAACAACTAGATAAATATTTACTGTAGTACACCAACTAGAATCAATTCTTAAAAACTTGTAGACTACACACAATATTTAACAGAAAGCTTATAAAATTTCATTAAATATTAACAATAATAAAATAACACCGCAAATTTTTTTTTACCGGTATAATTAGCTGATCTGTCCTCAGTATTAATCAATAATACAACAAACAAAATATATATTTTACACTGACCTGATTTTGGAATATTAGTAGTAAAATAAAGAACAAATAACAAATATTCTGGTACATGATGGTGAAAATGAGTAACAAATGTAGTGGATTTTATGCAGGATGACAGTTATGTAGGGCAATAACTTTTCAAGTATTTTCAACAATTTAATAGAATGTCAAATATTATAAAGTAAAATTATAGTAAAGCTGGGATGAATTTATGTAATTTCTGTTAAGTATATAATTGCTAACATCCTTGCTATAGATGCTTATTTTATAAATGCAGGTTGCTAGGGAAGAAACATATACTAACAGCAGTCAACAAAGGTCGCATATTGTAGGTAAAATGTGAGTGTTGACGACAAGACATCAAAAACTGAATAAGAGTAACAACTTATGGACTAATTATCAGAAATAATTCAAATTTGATTGGCTTCTAGTTCTTCCTAGTGTTAACATTTATCATACAAAACATGAACCGGTAATCAGATAATATTCATCTGACGAAAATAAAAACTGTTTATAAATTTCAGATCAATTGGATAACTTTAGTATCTAGATCATCCACAAGATTTTTTAAACTGATCAAGGGCCATAACTTTGACAGTCGGAAATCGTTGAAAATGCCTATTGAGACATTAATATAGCACTTAATAATAAATTTGACGACACTACTATACAGCCACATTTCAAAGCGGTTTATAATATATATATACATGTAATTAACAATTACATTAGAAAGGCATATTTTTTTTCTATTAAATATCATTTATAAAGAAATACTGTATAGTGTTCATGTACAAAAACCTTTGCACAATGAATCTGAAAGGGGTGAGGACAATACATGACCACATTATTATGTGGGTGTATTAAAAAAGATACCAGGTATTTTAACATTTATATTAGAAAGGCATATTTTTCTCTTCCTATAAAATATAATTTATAAAGAAATACTATAGTGTTCATGTACAAAAACTTTTATACAATCAATGTCAGGTATCGATACTATATGTACCGGTAATAACAAATGTATACATATGTTTACAGTTATATATAATAAAGGCAAAGCTAAAATTCCATATCAATAATATTCTCTAAGAGATATAAATTAACTGTCTTTTCCAAGTTATTGGAACATTCTTTAAAGATACATTATGTAAGATTCAGATAAAGAGCTGACCATTCTTGCTATAATAGCTCAAAAATAGATAATGTAAAATGAAAATATCATTCAAATTACTTCATTCGTAGCCAAGTTATCACTGTTTGTAGTTTTGACAAGATGTGTGCATTGTGGTAACCAGGGCGCTGGTATATTCGAAACTTAGCCTCGCTTTCCCATTTTTAAATTAAATTTTGAAATGGTGAACTGTTCTAATCTAGTTAAAATCTGGAGTATCCGATGCCATTGAGAGTTGATTATGGTCTTGTTTTGTTAATAAATGTCTAATTAATAGTTTATATAATAATTATGACCTAAAGAAAGACCTGCAATAGGTAGATTTAGCTCTTGCATAATGTCTGTTTAAGTAAATAAGTAATACATGTAGTTAAAAAATTCTAGAATAATTGGTTAACAGTTTTATATTATAAATATATGTTCCAAGACTAGTTTGAGCAATTTTAACAAGAATTATATACATAAATATACATACATGTAAATATAAACTGGGTCTTATAGAGATTTAAATAAATTTTATATATAATGAGATACAATGGAAACAAACCAAAATAAGAAATAGATGATTGTAAATCTTATTTGAGAGATACAACTTAATCTTGCAATTCTGAAGAGAGAGAAATGGTGTTTAAGGTCCACTTGTCACCAACTAGTTCATTTTGGGACTAACATGGTTCAATTTTATTTCAATAATTTGCTTGAGCATAGGGATCTTTAGCAGTGGGAGAAAAACCACAAGGTTGGACAGGCAACCCTACTGATTGTCACATACAACCGGGGAATCGAAACCGCGCCAGTTGACTCAATGACAGACCTTATGATACAACGCGCACATGCTAACCATTTGGACATCCACCCCAACCACCCTGCAATTCTGAAAGTAAGCACATGTATATCAGACCACAATGATAACACATGAGAATGATGGTTGCACAATCGTGTAAACTGTAAACGCAGATCAATTCTCTCAAACACAAAAATTGAATTCAACAGAATGGGTGTGTTAAAATCATGATTTTATGATGCAAACATGGCGATCTCACATGTTATTGTTGTGATCTGATGTTGTAACATTCAAAATTGCAAGACTAAAGTCTAAGCTTATGAAACAAGATATACAATCATTCAGTCGATCATTTATAAAAATGGTGTGTTTTCAATGGGTCTAGCAGAGAAAGATCATGTGGTTCAAGAAAAACTAAAGAACACTATTTATGTTTATAGATCTGGATAGCATTTCTGCAAGATTCAATTAGGCAGACCATGTATATGACTGCCTAGGCTCTACAAACTTGCTCTTATTTTTACTACTGGTTGTTTGCCTGGTCGAACTTTTTCTACGAAGGGAGATTCGTATGCTGACATAGGTGGACATGTGCACATAATATTCTGGTCACCAAATTTATCATCAATTCTTCCAACAGATGGCCAAAATTTTGTATCTGGTTTTACAAATGTCTAGAAA